CTATGGGTACCGACCGCGTTGTGTCCGCCTTCAATATCCAGGAAGATGTTATCCAACGTGCTGGCCCGGTGAATGATGGTGTGGTCAAGACTACCTTGGAGGACATGCACTTGCTCGCTGAGTATCTGAGCACGCGTCTACCGCCTAGCATCGCCGTTCCGCTTTCTTCAAAGATCGTTCCGATCATTGCGTCTCGTTTAATTTCGAACCTGCTTTTGCCTGCCGTGCCATTATCAACGGACGGGATACCACATTTCCAAGAATCGCTCTCATATATCTTGGGCTTTGTGGAGTACCTCGATGAGCTCGGCTGGTCAGGTCAGAATCGTCTAGCTGAATGGGTAGATAAATCTGCCGAGATTTGGCTTGCTAAACAGAAAGAGGATGCGATCGCTCGAGTACAAACGATGTTTCCGAAAAAGGTGCAAGAGAAGAAGACTGTTGAACGGGTCGAGACGCAAGTCATCTCGAAGGGTGATGCATTGCATGCTAGTAACGAACAAGAAGATGACTGGGCTGCTGATTGGGACGAGGAGGGTGACGTCGCAGAAGAGAAAAAGGAGACTATCGAAGAAGAAGATATGAGTGCTTGGGGTGAAGATGATGATGTGGTCGGAGATGAACCAAAAGAGCAAGAGGCCAAAGAAAAGCCAGCCGATGCAGAGGATGCAGATGATTGGGGCGCGGATTGGGATGACGAGGCTGATACCAAACCCACCACAACGCCGAAGCCTGCAGCACATACAATAGAGCAAGCGAATACGAACGGAAAACCTGCCTCTCAAAAACAGCCGGCGCATCAGGAAGTCACCCTTCGGGAGACATATACAGTGACAGCGATCCCAGATGCCATAATGGAGATCATCTTGCAGGTCGTTGCAGAAGTAGACACGCTAAACTCACCCGAGCTGGTCAAGTCTGCAATCTCACCAGCAAGCGGGGGTCTATATGCGATTCCGAGCCTCCTGTTGGCGATGTACCGAGCTACTGCTGTAATGCATTACTCAAAAGATATCGCGAGTAATATGCTCATCTACAACGACTGCCAGCGACTGTCGGATCGTTTGCGACTCTTTCTTCAAGAACAAGCTGAGAGAGATAAATCGTCTACATTGCCACAGCATTTGCGACCTTCCAAACGCCTCCAGCCGTTGATCGAATCTGATATCAAGACGATTGACGGATTTGGGAAGCGTGCATATGGACGCGAGATGGAATCGCAAAGACAAATCGTTCGAGACCATCTCGAAGATGCGCAAGGCTTCCAAGGCTGTACGAACGTCCCGTTCGCTACGGTCTGTGATGATGCCATCGCTACGACGATAGATCGCATAGGTGATGTGAAGCGACAATGGCAGAATGTCCTTTCACATAGCGCTCTACATCAGTCACTTGGCTCATTGGTGTCGGCTGCCCTCACAAAGTTCATCAACGACGTCGAGGACATGTCAGATATTGCAGAAGATGAGTCAAGGAAGCTACATGGGTATTGTGTCTCGCTTGCCACTCTATCCCAACATTTCCAAACTGAGGATGGCAACGGAGAAACAAGAGACATGGCCGGTATCTACACGCCCAACTGGTTCAAGTTCCAGTATCTCAGCGAAATTCTGGACAGTAGCCTTGCGGATATCAAATACTTCTGGACGGACGGCGAGCTGAAGTTGGAGATGGAAGCTGAAGAGGTAATCGGACTGATCGAGGCTCTGTTTGCGCCTAGTGATCACCGCAGGAGAGCAATCGCTGAGATCAGAAGAGCCAGTATGACTTAGTCAATGACATTTTCGTGAAGGAAACACGGCAATCTTCCTCTTGAGCGCATGCGTGGTGCTCTAGTGATAAAATTAACCCCAGTTCTCGGTCGATCTTCTGAAACCATCAAAGCCTTTGCCCGATGATCAGCCGGCTTTGATACTTTCCAGAAAGATTGAACTACTGAGAAGACATAATCTGTAGTACCACGAGCGGAGGTTTGTGAACGCCGACTGGCTGGCTTCTTCTGCGCTAACCGGATTTGAAAAAAAGTTCGAGATCCCAAAATTTCCTAAGCTTCGTAACTTCAACACCAATCAACACATATCTCCAAACCCGCCGACGCCATGGATATCGACGCCGCAGAGACCAAGGTGCAGATTCGCCTCACGACGCGCGATGCTGCTCTGCAGATTTCGGAGGAGCCGAACATCCTCTTGGTTCAAACATGTGAGTAGAACTATCGGAAGCCTAGCATGTCGCGGCGTCTAGCCACCCACTGCAACATGTCCGCACAGGCAATTTGAGCCGTCGCGATTACACTGCTGTGGCTTCAGGCTACCAAACGCTGCGCAGTTCGTCTAGATTCAGAGCTAACGCAGATGCGCCCATAGCTTTGACTCGACACAAACTTTCCACACTTGTGAACGAACTCCTGCACCGCGATGACGGCAGTCGCATACCCTTCGACATCCTGATCAACGGCGAATTTCTCCGAACTACAATCGACGAGTTCCTCACAAAGAACGGTATCAATGCCGAATCGACACTGGACGTTGAATACACGAGGGCTTTGGTGCCACCGCTAAACGTCACGAGCTTCGAACACGACGACTGGGTTTCGGCTGTGGACGTTCTATCAGGAGTGCAAAGTGGGCAAGAGAGGATATTGAGTGCGAGTTATGATGGACTGTTAAGAGTATGGAATACCTCGGGCGATGTTTTGGCGACTTCGGAGGCTCCCAACAACGGTGGTCGAATTACAAGCTTGAAGACGGCTAAATGGTTGTCGGAGAAGAAGATGGTAGCGGCGGGGCTGGACAACACTGTCCGAGTCTACAAGTACGACGATGACGCAAGAACTATCACCACAGCTCTCGAGCTGTTCAATCACCGCTGGGGTGTAGAAGACGTCGCGATCCACGCGCCTTCGAGCCGCATTCTCTCCGCCTCTTCGGATACCACTATTTCGCTGTTCTCGAGCAACGCAAAGGAGAACCCCGTCGCGCCGGCGAATTTCCTGCCCAGTTCAACGGCTGCGTCGAACAAGCGACAGAAGCTTTCAAAGCCCGATCGCACGGTCCCCGCTCGCGGAGCGCTGGCTACATTCAGCGGCCACACTTCGCCGGTATCTAGCGTCATCTTCAAACCAGATGATGCTACAGTCGCATACTCGGCATCTCACGACCACACACTCAAAACGTGGGATCTGCCTACCCAGTCATGCGTTGACACTCGAACGACCGGCCACTCGCTTCTCTCCCTATGCGCCATCCCTTCCCGAAACCTGCTTGCAACCGGTACCTCAGCACGGCACATTACACTGGTCGACCCCCGCGCTTCCGCCACGCAGATCAGTGTCATGACACTACGAGGCCACAAGAACGGTGTCGTTTCTCTGGACACAGATCCATCTTCCGAATACAACCTTGTGTCTGCTTCGCATGACGGAACCGTTCAGATTTGGGATCTCAGGAATGTTAGCACGGGTGGACAGGTCGGAGAAGGAATGACTGGTGAGAGTGTGTACACGATCTACAGGCAAGGACGCGAAACTGCCAAGAGTCATGGAGAGGGCGCGAAAGTTTTCAGCGTAAGATGGGATAGCGCAGTGGGCATTGTCTCGGGTGGTGAGGATAAGAGGGTGCAGATCAACCGCGCTCTCGGCTCGTAAGAGTTGGAAGTTTTCGCTGGTAGAAGTACCATCGTATGGGTGTTTGGGCGCATATCGTAGATACCATTTTGGCTAGGGAAAAGTGTAGCTTCAATTCTTGAACGCGTTGCCCTCCACCTCTTTAGATTGACTCGGACAATGCTTTCGCAAGTGACACAGGCCGCAAGGACATTGAGACGCTTATGTCACACAATGATTCTCTCTTTATATGGGTAGACGCAATCGGAAGGGTATCATATAACAGCTCCCACCTACCAGGTCTATTCCTCTCCCTCGGTCATCGTTCCCCTCTGATGGCGCACAGCGTGTATCCTTGTGCCCACCCATGGCACCACGACGCCGTACACCATCATCAGCCCGCGTCGATCGCAGACTGCTGGCAGCGCTCGCAATCGTCCGACAAGATATGTCCTACACCTGTACCCTAAGATCCAGCCTAAAACCTGATCCTCCGCCTTGCCGACTCACACCAAATGTCCCGGCAATAAGAAATTCGCAACCCCCTCTTTGACCGCATACTCATGCTCGCACGCCCCGCACACCAGCTTGCCCTCTTGTATACACGTCTCAAGCAATATCCTGTGTAGATCCTTCGCTGTCTGGCTAGGCTCCTCTTCTATCTCTTCCGTCGCGGCCGTTGGTGTCGCATCCGTGGTATCTAACGCTGAAGCGGAGGAAGAGGAAGGTTCGACGAGATCGGCGGGCGTGGGTGCTGTTGCGGGGAGTTCAGGAAGACCAAGCTACATTTCATAATACATGCGTCAGCTTTCTATTCAAAGGATTTGGAATATCTGCAGCTCTTCGGAGACGCAATACGCGTGGGCTTCGCGCTTGGTGGGTCATTTTCTCTTTCACGTACCTCGCTGCATATCCCCCTCAGTTCATCCCACATTATCCTCGGTAGTATGTTTTTGAGAAAGGCGAGGTTGACGTCTGCTTCTACGATTTCGAGTTCGGCATCGCGGGGGTGGAGGGGGAAGGACGCGGGGTTGGTTTTGCAGGTTTTGATGGCGCATGTGAGGAAGTTGAGGGTGAGGAGCTTCATTTTGTGGGTTTGGTTACAGAAGTCGGTTTGGGATTCGGCGCTTTCGAGTCACGTAGGTTTGTTGTGGAATGCGTGGTTTTGGCGGATACGTTTGGGGCTGGACGCTTTGCGACAAATAAATTTTGGCCGCGGATGCGAGCCTGTCTCTCTCTCAGCCCTGTGGGGCCAATCAGAGTCTCGCCTACAGGGAAACCTTCTAAATTAGGAAGGTATGCGAAAACCATCGATTGTGGCAGAGAGGGCACTGTGGAGACCCAGCTCCCTGTAGGCCCAATCAAAGCCGTTAGGTAGGGCCAGAGACGCTAATGCAGGGCTCTGGTTCTGACATTCGTCATGCCGCTTTCCCACTGCTTCGACGGGAGATCCGCATTTACTGCGATTCGTCTGCAATGCAGATATGCGAAGATGTAACTCATTTATGTCGCAGTTAAGCTCGTACAGTAGCAATCGCAATGCTTCCACTGTCTCATAAACTCATGATCTTAGAACTCAACAGCAAACATCCAGCCTACCACTTGCCTACATCCTCCAACACCAAATCCGTCGCCCTCTCGCTCAACAAAAACGTACTAACCGCCGGAAACGCACCCGGACATCTAGGAAACGCACTCGCATCTACAACTCGCAGCCCTTCGATCCCTCTAACCCGCAGCCTTGTATCCAACACAGCCATCGGATCAGAATCCGGGCCGACTTTGTTCGTGCTTGTAGGATGGTGACCGAAGACCTGATCTTTGATCCACTCCCTATCAATCTGCACGTCGCGGCAGTAGCCCGTCTCAAGGATATCAGCAGGCGGACAGGGTGGAGAGACAGAGGTTACAGGGCCGACCGGTGCTTCTGTGGAAGCAAATGCTCTACGGACGAAGGCGACAGTGTCGAGCATGGCGTTTAGATCTGTTTCTGCGCCCTCGGCGAAGTAGTTCAGGTTCACTTCTGGTGTGTCCACCGGGTCGGCCGATCGGATTTGGACGTATCCGGCAGTGTTCTGGGGATGAATCTTGACGGTGGACCAAGAGAATGTTGTAGGAGGGTAGCGTGTGGTGTTTTGAGACGTCGGTGGCGCGAAGCCCGTAAAGGAGCCACCCGTGAAGCCGAACATTAGCTCGTCTCTTTCGCCTTCCACCGCATGGGCTGTCTTGAGGAGGAACGCGTTTGAGTTTGTGCCACCGCGCGCGTAGGGTCCTTGGCCTTGGTACCAGAGTTCGAGACATGGGTCACCAGGTGTGCCGTACGTGCATTTTGGTGCATCTGGATCAGGTGTCGTTGCGAAGCTGATTTGGGCGTTTCCGTAGATGGGTACCTCGTAGTTATCCTGGAGGTTGCGGCCCACGCCCGGTAAGTCAGATATCACAGGGATATTGTACTTCTCGAGAAGGGCTTTGGGTCCGATGCCAGAGAGCTGCAGGATCTGGGGCGAGTTGAACGCACCACCGGCTACGATGACTTCTTTTCGAGCAAAAGCTTGGTGCAGTGTACCGGTGGTGGAAGCATTACGACGTGGGTCAGCTTTGTATACGGACTTGCCTTGCAAGTATTCAACCCCAATTGCTCGCGGCTTTGTGCCATTACCATGGCACTCATCGAACAGCACCTTTGTCGTCAGAGACTCAAGCTGGACATGTAGCGGGTACATCAGTGTTCCATCCGAATTCGTCAGGTTGCGCATTTCCAGGATACGGTCGCGTGGACTGAAGCGCTTCCAGTTGGGTGTGACATGGAATGGCAGTGACGACAGACCCTCTGTCTGATCACGCATTGGATCGAGATAGTTTGCATCGCTGGTGAGGTAGTCCAGTACATTTTCCGGATCTTTCCCAACCAATTTCAACCCAGCTTGGAAGACCTTGAAGCGGAGTGCTTCAGCCGCATGGGTAGCTCGGTCAGCGATGTTCGTCTGTAGCCAGCCTGTAAAGCCGTGACCAGGGGTACCGGGTTCGAGATAGTTATTATGCTCGATTTTCTCAAAGTATTTCCGCATCAATTCGGCGCTGCATGAATGTTAGTACTACCTTGATAGACGAGATTTGTTGGCGGCTTACCTCCAGATGCCATCTTCAACGCCCTTGTCAAAGAAGTCCCAATCGCTGTCGCTTGGCAGGAACGTCGCAGCCGCGTTAATGATTGCGCTCCCGCCCAAAGTAGCCTACGTTGCGGCATATACAGTCAGTAACCATTTCGCATGCAATTCGCAACGGGAGGATGCCACTCACACCTCTAGGATAGAAAACGCCCAACCTCTCGGCGCCTACATGTCCTTCAAGACTGGGATCTTTTCCAACCCAATCTATCACTGGAATTAGCAATGTACACAGGTCATCTATACCAATATTCCGACTTACACTCCCCATTCTTCAACCTCCAAACCAACAGATTATACCTCTTCAACCTTTCCTCGTCATCACCATGCTTGACGAAGAAATGCCAGGCTACATTCGTGTTGGAGAAGTCATTCAGAGCGAGCACTTGGGTGCGGATATCAAACGAAGCGTCTGATCCAGCCTCGATTAACAGAACGGAGTGTCCAGCAAGAGCAAGATTGGTGGCGATTGTACCGCCTCCTGGACCGCTACCGGTGACAATATAATCGTACACGTTTGAAGCGTTGGAGGAAGATTGTGGCGAAATGCAAGAAGCATGGTGCAGGGGGGAGGCTGAGGCAAGAATTGGAAGTAAGATGAGCGGGATTGCAGGCACTCTCATGACGGGGTATGTGTAGACGTTAGCAGTCTGTTTCCGAGGTGCTTCCGTAGAGTTGTCAGTACTTGTATACTGTCAGCTGTCTTTTTAGATCTGACTTCACTGCTTCTCTGTTGAGATGCGAGATACCTAGCAGCGAAGTGCGCCCGCATCTTTAACCGGCATGTAATATTGTCCCAGGACGTCTTGGAACCCCACGTTGTTTATGAATCGGTGCGAATGTACCCAATCACAATCTGCACTCTGCGTCTAACTTCCGGTGCCATGATCGCGGCTGTACTCCGGTGCGGGGAGACGATCCGATTGAGTACCTGCATACGCCTTGTCACACGGAAAGCCAATGACGATTGGTCAGTATAGGCTCAGCTCCGAGCTGCCTATAGTGGAAAGAGTGTATGGCTTTCGGCATTGAAGCTGATGGTGACCAAGCAGGGCGCTGTATGAGTAAGCTCCTCACTAATTGACCCTATGCCGAACCCTGCAAGTTTAAGGTTTCGATAGCAAGCCGGGCTGTTGTTTCCGGAATGGGTCCTCGGGAGATGCCTTGGTGCGCACAGCAAGTTACTATCGAATGATCAACGCTGCTTCACTAAAGTCACGGATTACGGCAACTGCGTGAAGGTCAAGATCTGGGCATATGCCGATGCGAGGGGGTATTGGGAGACGAGGCCCAGAACATGTTCCCCGACCAATGGCATCGCATGATTCTTGTTCACATTATATGTCGTACTCTAACGTCAGTACTATTTTTCTCATATCAGACAGAAAGATGCTGCAGTGGGTGCTTCGTCAGGGTCCGTTATCAACGCGTCCAACCCCACTACTGAAAGCTCCTCAATAGCTCCGACAGTTGCGCATAGGTATCATCCGGGTTCTTGACCTTGTGTCCGATGGTCCGCTCGTCGCTGTAGATCTCCCAGTCGTTTCCACCCTCGTAGGCCTTGTCGCCAAAGAAGTGGATCTTGTCGTAGACGACACCAGACAAGCCCTTCTCCGCCTCAATGTGTCGCAGGCAGTAGGTCTTGTCCCAGCCGGTAGGGAATACGTCGAACGAGATTTGACCGCCGATGGAGTATGTGAGGCCAGAGTCGGGGAATGCTTCCTTGAGCTTGGCGACCATGGTTTCCCTGACCTTGTGCTCAAGATCGTACTTTTGGTATTCGTTTCGCTCTTCGGTGGAGGCATTACGACCGATGGGGGAGACGTTGATCATGCCGTTGCGGAACTCGATGAAGGTACCGCGCTTAATGGGGATGTCGAGATCGGCAATGTAGTGAAGGATCCTGGCATGGAGATTAGCAATGCTCTACAGCCCGCTGTATTTACGTACCACTTGGTCAATTCCTTGTATTTGTCCTCGCCAATCCACGCGATGAAGCTCTGGCTAGCCAAGACCTCGCCCATGCGGATGGCGGTGAGTCCGTTCTCGGCGAAGCAGAAATCGAATAGCGAGGTAACATCTACGGGACCGCCGAGCTGTTCTTGTTGTTTAACGAGGTTGGAGCCGCCAACGAAACCGATGGCGCACTTGTGACGGACTTCGGAAAGGAGCTGCAGCATCTGCGGAGTGACGAGCTGGGACGGAGTTAGAGAAGCATCGTTGAGCATGCATCAAGTGTACGCACTTGCCGGGGCTTTGTGAGTGTGTCATCGACATCGAACAGGAGGACCGTGTTCTTAACCGGGCGCTGGTTGAGCGGGGGATAGACAGCTGCGGCGGCGGCCATGGTGGAGGTCTTCTTGTGAGTCTTGGATAGACAGGTATGTGGGCAAAGATCGCTCAATTGGGATGGTGGGAGATCGTCAAGATAGTCAGAGCTGTAGCAGAGCAGGGGCCGACTGTCCTGATATATCTCGGAGGGGTTCCTGCAGGGATGGCTGCTCCTCACCGCAGTTTCGCGGTTGGCACGCGTGGGGTTAGCTAGTGCGTGTCTGGACCCTGACTTAGTTTGCGCCGCACATGGTACCTGGTGAGTGCGGCCGTGGCTGAATGGTGACATGTGTCCACTGCTCATGTGCTTGGACATCATTGGAGTATCACATCATTTCGCGAGATCATAGACGCGCAACACTGAGTATAGACGCGTGAGCTGAGCATACACGCGTGAAGATGAGCCACGACTTGGTTGACAAAAGCGGAATGGCTTCCGCGCAGTGCGTTCCATGTGCAAACTGACAAGTCTGAATACGAAGAGACCACATAACACTAAAATCACCGGAAATCCTCTCAACACGTATTCAACTTCATCCCGCGGTTTTAGAATGTCTAAGAATAGCCCGTTCATTGAAAAAATACTGTGGCAAAATCTTCAAGTTACGGCCGATGTAGTAACGTCTTCTGCGTATTCATTTCACACGCCAACTTTCTCGGCTAGCTGCCTCCATCGTCCCTTTCGCATCCCTGAAGGTAGTGCTAGTAGCACACTTCGGAGAGAGTCCTCCTCATATTCAAGCCTCTCCAACGTCACTGCATGCAAGATATAGTTCGCGATCGTGTTACTTGAGAGCGGCGGATCTCGCAAGATCGCCACCATTCTCTCAACCGAGAGCTTCTGGTAGTGCCACATGTGATAAGTGCGAAGGTGTGTCACAGTTGCGCGTATACGTGAGGGTGTCGTTGAAGTCGGTGATGGAATAGTAACTTGAAGATGTTCCTGTGCCCATGTTGTCGCGAAGTTGTACTCAGGTGTTCGTGATGGCTCGCTCAGTAGGCCGATGTTTGACTGCGGGGCTGGTGTTGGCTCGGCGGATTCGGGAGCATCAAGGGAAATATGATTGGGGCTTGGTGGGTCAGCCACTTTGGCAGCATTAGAAGCTTGAACGATTGCTGGTTCGGCATGTAGTATTGACTGCGTTCCCAGATCGTTTTGGCTTATGGTAATTGGCGGGCTAGTATGCTCTGATGCTGGATCGTTCACGTCTTGAATAAGCCTCCCACTTTCGTCCAAAGTCATGCATCTTAGCGCATCCTCAAGTTCTGGGTCTGCGTATTCATCATCGATATCGTTCTGCTCCCGGCGTGAAATATCATGGCCTTGATTCCCCATTTGCATGGCAACTTCATCTTTGGGAGGTCCGGTAGACTGTGGGTCCACGTCTTCTTCCTGCGATGTCTTGGGCAGCTCAGGGTATCCGGGGTCGGTATTTTGAAGCCAGGAAAGGTCCTCACGGCCAATTTGCTTTTGTGAAGGAGGTCCACTTGCCTTAAGCTTTTTCGAATCGATCTTCACCGCAGCCTGGGCCGTAGAGATCTTGTTCGAGTCATCTACGGATGCAGCTTTTCGTGTTTCATTTGGTGCGTATTCGAGTTCGTGGCTGTCGGTAAATTCCTCCGTCGCGGTCTCATACCCTTCGGCATCCTCTTCATCTGCTTGTTGCTCTTCTGTCGCGTCGATTGACGACTTCGCAACTACGTCCACTGCATCATCAGACTTGGTAGCTGTCTTTACCTTTTTACGAGGCTCCTTTGACCTGGGAGTAGGCTTGTTGTCGAAGTCGCAAAGAGCTACTGGAGGAGGGGCTGGCTTCATCCGTGTCCTCTTCCATTCAAGCATATGATAAAGCCGAAAGCCAGCATATGCATCGGCAGCCGCGTAGTGTATCTGTTGCAAATCCAGGGGCAGACTCCAGTCACTTTCTCGGACACTGGAGGTCGTATCCGGATCGTCAACTAGTCGCTCACCTTTATATAAAGGCAGTTGGAGATGCTGTAACACCTGAGAAGCGAGTTTCACAAGTCTGTTTGACACTTTGCTAGGCTCCACCTCGTACCATTCAACTAGATTGTGCAAGCGACTAAGCTCGAAGACACCTTGAGATTGAATGTTGAGGTACTTCTCTAGGCGCTTGAAGTCGCCTTTGATAGCCACGCCTACCTTGTAAATGCTGGGTGATTCGAGAACAGCCCTCAGACTGGGTGGCATCAGTTGCTCCACTGTCTTCCCGGAGAACAGCGACACGTGAAAGAGTGCGATGCGATCTTCGCACGCCAGCTGAATCAAGGAAGCGTTCTGCTTGATAGAATATGGGTTTCCGCGAGGCTTCCACTCAATATCAAAGCCTATCACCTTCTCTTGTAAGAAGTATTTGGCCACCCTTTCAGCAACGTCGAAAGACTTGCAATAATGGGTCGAGAGCGATTCGCCATCGGGTCCTTGATATAGCTTCGCACTCCAATAACTATCACGAGTTTGGGGAGTGGCAAGCATTGCAGCACGCAGCTTCTCCTCCGGGATCTGGTAGGCAAGAGAGACGTGCTCATCTACGTCTTCGTCGTCCTTGGCCTCTGACTCTCCTTCGAACGAGAGGTCGCTAGAGTCCGTACTCTCCGAGACATGTCCCATACTAGCTTCTCCATCCTGTCCGACAGCATCGCCTGCTTCGTTATCAGTGTGCGGGGAGGGGTCGTCGATGTGGGTTGCCGCGGCGAGTTCGTCTTTAGTTGAAGATTCGGTCTCTGCAGTTTCAGAGATATCCGGCTTGGGCGCCTCCGCTGTCGCTGTTGTCGCAAAACGCAGTCCGTGAGCTGGATTCCATAGTCCCACTCGCTGAAATCGGTCAGCGCTCAATGTTGGAGCCGTCTCAGCCAGCCGTACATGTAGCGTAGCCGAAGCCTGACGTATTTGACGATGGTCCCGGGCCATAGGGGCTGGGTCTTTAGAAGTAGGCTGGCTAGCCGGAGGTTGTAGCCCCGGGGTGGGAGTCTTGTGGATTCGTCTAGGAAAGTTGTCGCTTTGAGGAACGGGCCGTCCCCGCTTCCATCGGCAGGTCGAGGTAGGTGGGGTGGTAGGCGTCGAGCGTAATGGGGTAGTGTGCATCGCTCTGAGTATATGAGAATGCCGTATATGGCGCTCTAGGGAGAAGAAGGCGTGGGTAGGCGGCTCATGGCAAACACGCCGCGGGGCATCTGACGCGCTCAGCAGAGAGGCGCGTCGACGGAAGAGCATAACACTCCATGGTAGTGCACCCAATAGGCACCGGCAGGAGGGGATAGTCGCCACGGGTGCGAGTCAATTGTGTGGACAAGGACGTTTGCTGCCTGGTGTGGCGCGAGCAATGGTTGGCTAGCACGGCCTGTCGCAGATAGTCTTGAACGCCAAGATATCAAGCCCACCTGGGTAATCACCACCTCGATTGCATCGACACCTCAAACGCGACAGTCACCTCCAACGACGGAAACTCAGCTCACAACAAACCACGCCGCCATGTCGCTCGAGAACCTTCTTCCGCTAGGTGCGTTACTTCCGACCGGGTGTCGGTTCCTGACTAATTCCTGCAGAGCTCATCGACAAGTGCGTGGGTTCGCAGATCTGGGTCATCATGAACGGTGGAAAGGAATTCACTGGAAAGCTGGTGGGTTTTGATGACTACGTCAGTAAGTATATTTGGCAAGTCGGGAGATGGAACTACTCTAACAGACACAGACATGGTGCTGGAGAATGTGACGGAGATGTGCGTGCTTCCAAGGTTCTTTGCATGTTTAACATGGACGTATTCACTAACATGACGGCAGTGACCCAGCGGAGGGGAACGTCGAGTTGCCCAAAATCCTACTGAACGGCAACAACATCTGCATGGTATGAAACAGGCTGTTTCGTTTGGCGCCAGTACTGACAGCTCCAGATGGTGCCGGGAGGCGATGGGCAAACTGTACTGGAGGACGAATAGGGCCGATGCAAAGCAGCATCGTATGACTTCAGCCCATATTGCGACAACGACGACACGGCCACGACTGCGGTTGGTGGTTGGTGCGCCTAGCCCGGCACGGTCTGCTACCGAGGGACACGGCGACGTTAGTGAGAAGGCTGACGAGCCGTCGGTCGCGATGGTCACGCTGGGGCAGATTCAAGGCGGTTCTGATGACACGTAGGGTCTAGAATGCCATGACCTTGGACCTTGAGATGAGACATAGCGCAATGGAATATCATGGATATGCATGTGCCCACCTATCATGTCACGTGCGTACTGTGACCAAGAAACCTTGGAAACAACGTTCCGCTCCGCTGGCGATGACGCTCGGGCGGAGGTGGGTGCCCAGGGGTCCTGTCCGCCCCTGGCAGCACAGCGATCGGCCAGCTGAGCCATGACGGCTACAGTAACCTGCTGGCAGACCTTGGAACTGATGGGAGTCGGTGGACAATGGCTGCAACGCCAGCTACAGAGCGTCGCTGCGTGCTGAGCGACTGGATCCAGAATTTTCCATCGCCGATGCAGCCCGTCCCGGGCTCTGAAGGGTCTGCTGTTCGTTCGTACACGGCGCCGCCAGCTGCGTCGCATCGCAGATCGAGTGTCGGTAGTCGCTTAACTGAGACCGTCTGCTCGGCTATACAGCGGTGTTTGCAATGGATGGCAATGGCTTCAACATGACGCAAGGCGCCTGCGCTGCACTGCACTGTGGCAAGGCTCTGGCAGGCCTGGCGCCCGGCACGAGCTGCGATGGGCATCTGGGTGTTTCCATGGTTGTTACGAGATTGCAATTACGGTCAGCGTGTATTGGCAGCGCACATGGCAGCCCAGGACGTCGCCGGCTCATGCGAACCGGCCCTACTGTAGGTACCGGCGTTTCGTCGATCGTGCCTCTGCGTGAGATGTTCTGTAGACTTGACAGCATCACCCGCTGCCCGCACGCGTCGCAGCCTATCAGCCCACGTCATCGCCAGGACGAGATTCCGCATCAGTGAGCTCCCCGTCCGGAAGACGTGGCTGGAGCGTTCGCTCGCACCGTGGCCCCCCTGGTCGCCCTCTGCCTGTCTGTTCCGCCGATCGCCTGCTCTGATCTCGAGAGCCCTGGCCCTAGGTGTTGCTGCACAGTCACACGTCCTTATTTTCTGGCTCCCAGGCTCTTGTTTTTGCAAATCCCATCGTCCCATCATCATCATCATCAGCGTCATCCCTCGTCCACGCCGCCTTCTCCTGACCCGCCCCTGCGCCAATTGCAACGCCCGCCATGATTGCGCCGAATCCTGCCTACTGCTAGCCCTGTCCCTCTGCCCTGGACCTGCTCCTGCACCGCTCTCGCCCGGAACTGCCTACTCTCACCGCAAACCCAGGCCTCGTGCGACTCTGCTCAGCGCGCACCACCGCTTGGGACGCGCCAAATGAGCTCCGGCCGCTTGCTGACTCTCGACGGCCGTTGTCCTGGCCGCGTTTCTACTAGGCTGCGTCCGCTGTCTTCACCACTACAGTAGCCGAGACACTCCCTCCCTGCCCCTACCACAGCATAATCACAGAATTCTGCTGATCGGTCCGCGACCCACCTACCCCAAACCCAACGTTAGGCGCCACCACATATGGATGCACCTTAGTCGTTGACTGCTCCTTCACTTGCTCTTCTCTGCGCTTTGCGCCCTGCAACACTTTGACCCCTACGCGGATTTTCGTTACGAGTCGATCCGCCACACTCGTCGTGCCGCACCAATCACATAGCCACCCCACGACCCAGACATTTCCTATTTGATCCTTGTACACTAGTTCCGCCATACTCGAGCCCTCTCGATCACGCTCGATTCCCACCCCGTTGCCACTAGTGCTCTAATAATCTACGACATACCAAGTCCTCTCTGGCCCGCGCTGTTCGAGTTGGTCGCTACACCACACCGCCCAGTCCACGCGCCCACGCCCTCCTACATGAGCGACTTGAGAGAACGTCTCGCGCGATTGGGACTGTCCCAGTACCACGAAGTGTTCACGGCCGAAGGCTTCGACACTTGGGAGACTGTGCTCGACATCACAGAATCAGACTTGTGCGCAACTGCCCCACCCCTACCTGCCCAAGCCGCCCCTGCTTACTATTCCGCAGAAGTCACCTCAACGTCAAGCTTGGCCATCGTCGGGTACGTCAATATCCTGCCACGTTGTCAATGGCAATAACTGACCTCTTCGTAGAAACTTCAACGGGCCATCGCCGAATCGCGCGGACAGTCTTCGGATAGGCCTTTACCTATCAATCTTGCACGAGCTGGAAGCACCGCCGGCTCGTATCGCAGTGACGACTCGGGGCCAGAGAGCAAAAGCAAGCAGCCAGAGCCTACCAATACTGCACCGAATGGAACAGGGGCGAAGCGGAAGTACCGTCGACATCCCAAGGTAGCCCACTCTGCAGATCCTGTCTGTCGTGCAACATCGCTAACCCAACGCAGCCTGATGAACATGCTCCAGAACGTCCACCCTCTGCTTACGTCATATTCTCCAATCGTAAGTCTGGTCTATGGTGCAACGTGATCACGACTAATCCGCAGCAGAGGTGCGAGAGTCACTCAAGGGACAAGATCTTACTTTTACCGAGATTGCCAAGGTAGTCGGCGAGAAATGGCAAGTCTTGCCTGCCGAGGAACGCGAAGGTTGTGAACGGCAGGCCAACGGTGCCAAAGAGAAGTACTATGCAGAGCTGGCTGAGTACAAGAAGACGCCCCATTTCGAGGCGTATCAAAAGTATCTCGAAGATTTCAAGTCGAAGCACTCCGTGCCCACTAAAGGTCTGTCCACCGCTTCCGTCGCCATGTACCGCAACGTATTGACATTTGCAGAAGGCAAACGCTCGAAACTCGAGACCGAAACCAGCGCTTCAACACGAGGAGGTAGCTATGAACAGACCGACCAGCCAGCAAACAGAAGGTTGAGTTCTATCCAGTCTGATGCCCAAGCAGCAGTGCAACAGAAACCAGATTCCACTCAACCTATCCCCCCTTCACGACTTCCAGCTGGCCCAGTCTACCCTTCAAACTCGACACCGCCGGCCAATATTCCCCTTTCTGGCTTCAACTCTCCCCGTTCGGGCGAACAGTTCTCCCCTACTTCTGCATCTCCACGGACCACGGCCCTGCAAAGAGATGGCGGTGCCTATGACCCATCCGTACCCAGTTCCAACCGAGATACGAGGATCCCGTTCGATGCCAATCCGTACCATCAGCCGACAGCGTACAACCTGGACCTCCACCAAAAAATTGCATCGACGCCACCACCTCCATATCCCCACCCAAATCACTATCAGGGGCCTAACGACATGCTCTCTCGCAGGACTCCGCGCGACTCCGCGCGTCTTCCCCCACTCAGTCATGAAGATACAACATTATCGTCTGAGAGTGGTCACAGCAATCAAGGATCTCAAGCGTACTCCATGTCAGTTTATCCCGGGCAGACATTACCTGCAGATCCGAGTAAGACGATGCGCATGCTTCCCCAGCCAGTGCCCAGTATAGCACCCCTAGCCTCTCCACTGGATCGGCCGATACCGCCGATGCCAACATCACACCTCTCACATATTCCCCATGATTATCGTAATCAGGGGTCACTTGCGGTCCTCGTAAGAGCAGGGGAACTAGCATCAAGAGCAGCGGACGACGATATGGTCGAGACCGAGAGCTCGCCTTGATTCCTTTTTTGAGCGTTATACCAATGTTACAGTACATGATTCGGCATGAGCATTCCGCATGGCTCGTTCCAGTGGGCAGTATATACCGCATGCGATCACAAGCTGTTTCGCTGCGAGACGTCAGTAACGACAGGACTGCCATACGTGTACCGCGCACCAGCCAAGTGAGCATGCGCGGGGACGCTTTACGTTTTCATATGTTATTTGCTATTTCGAGATGATACCCCAACGCAACCAGTCCACTTATCAGCCTATCGAATACCAAGTGATTATACGGAGGATGGATCCATACCTCAAGGATTGAAGTGTTGGAAATGGACTATGGGTCCTTTCAAGTCCGCAACGCACGCGCCGTTCGGATGATGCTAAGTGCATACAGAGAGCCTGTCCTGACATGGCAGAGTTTCGGAAAGCTCAGCCTCCACGGTTCATGCCGTGAGGACACACGAACGTCTGCATGTGGAGCGTGTGTGCAAGTGCAAGGAAGGCGTGTAGTATGTACATAGGAAATCTAGATCTATTCGCTTGGACAGCTGGTCTAAACGGCAGTCCGGATTATTCCAAAAACTGCATAATGTGGTGTGATTGGCAGTCAGTCTTGTCTGGGATCAAGAAGCGCACAAGCCGTGCAAGGCGGTTACAGTGTTCGCATGCGGCGGATTCAATAGTGGCCAACGGAAAGCATGCACCCGACAGCAGCTAGTTTAACTGCAGCCTGCAGCCAGAGCTAGGAGGACAGTACATATGCGCAAGCGGACCCCCTTCGGTCAATTGTCCCGGGCAACATCGAGATCCTGTGCTTGGCGTGGCGTGTTGAGTGGATTTTGGTGGTTTTATCCATGTCTGCCAACATCGAAGATTTGGCATGCTAATCTGTCACCACATGTCCAGGGTTTAAGCAAACCCACCGACATCACGTGGCAGATGCTAGTCGCGCGACAACATTGATCTTCGGGGTTTTGACCCGAAGCCGCCTGCAGATCGACGGCGCGCCAAAGGAATGGAGCAAGCCCACCCACGCCATAAGCCACCTGACATGGCAGGCAGCAGAACCCCAATGTGCAACAACACCTAGTCTCACAAAGGCATTTGTCGATGTTCTTTCGCAAGGCGCTTGGATACGTACTTAATCACTGGGGCTATAGTTCTTGTTTGTCCATCTGCCGCATATAGCGCTTTGCATTGTCCCCGCAGCACTTCCCTTCCGCGGAGTAAGATAATACATCGTCCGATATTATTTCACAAAGACAAAATAGCTGATTATGCATTGCCTGGTTTTCGCATTAGCATGCCTCTTGACATGATAAACTTAGCATTTCGGCATGTCGTTTCGAACGGGCAAAGACAAACCGCAAGGATGTACTGAACTTGCATCATGCAGGTGCTGTGGAGTAAATAACTTGCAGCCCGGCTACCAATCAAACCTTGGACGTGATTCGAGCCAGATATTGGGAACGAGGGATCACGCCATCTGTTATGTGGGAATAGCGGAATCGGGTCCTGCAGGCGTTGGTTATACGCTCCGTGGAGCAATTGGTTTCTCATCATGACGTCCGCGGAGCGTGAACACAACAGGTCGGCGACCGAAGTTGTTTCGACCGGCATGCTGGACTGGAAATCGGCCCGCGTCTGCACAAGTTCTCCTCATTTTGCTCTCATGCTGATGATATTGTTACATCAGATGGCATAGGTTTGCTCTTTTTTACTTCACATGCTGATCAGGCATGCTTAGACCGCTATTCCGATTCTCCGCATCGCTTCAGGCTTTCAAATCATGGGAGCTGATTCTGCGCGAATACACGTTGAGGAGGGTTCGCTTCAATATCCGTCTATCGACAAACATGCATTTCTAATGTGTCAGGTCTGCAGGAGTTTGCATTCGGGACGCCGCATCCGACGTACCCTAGAAACGCTTGTGGTACTTCACGAATACAGCAGAAAACGTCGTAGTGCACAGGAGCAATCATTTTATACTACAAACAGGTGGACCGATAAAAAGGATCTGTCGTACTCTTTGACTTGCTAAGCACTAGACCCGTGAGCTGCGGGTCAGTAGGCGTGTAATTTGTAGAACGCAAGGCCTTATCCTCATCAACGTTTCGAGCTACCTAGGTACCTGCAACACAGGGCTCGGGTTTCTTTCAGCTACCGTGTAGTACAGGGCAAACACTTCCAAGATTGCTACTTCCCAGCTAGCACATCGTAGTGTCACACAAACAGGAACGAGCCAATCAGGGCTAGATCTACCCTTGTCGATCTCCCGTTTCAGTGCCACGACTCCATCTCTATCATCACGTCGTCCATCAGACTTCTGCTTGGCATTTATCAAGTTGCCTCTACACTAGTTTGAGATCTCTGCAAACATACTTCTAGGTTGTTCTAGACCCACGCCGTACATCCCGACGTCTGAATGTGGCGTGTCAGACCAGTCACAGGTCACAGCATTCGCCACGATTTTCCTTGCACAAGCCTGTAGCTTCCCGAGATATGTACGTAAAAGAGGCGACGTGACTGGGGTGCAACAATGCTAACTAATATTGGTAGCCGGTTCACCTACTCGTTATCCTACACTGGGCCTTGCATCACAGTGGTCTAGACCTCCGACGCACCTGTTCCATCAGCCACCAAGCAGCCACAACCATTCCACTTTTGTTCACCTATGGTAGCTCACTGCGTATCTCCAAGACTTCCGCTCCGCTACTCTGATCGCCACCATGACGGAGCCTGTCGATGTCAACGATTCTGTTCAGCCCACGCCAGTACAAACCCAAAACGATCTTAGCCAGAACGTTGGTACAGACACTATACCTGGCCAAACCACTAGATCTCCTACGTCAGGAACAGCACGCAAATATCTGACCTTGGAACCTCTGAAGAAACTCGATCTGCCTCATCACCCGTCATATGATAATGCTAATTCAGATCATCGTGTCAGCTTAGCCAAGTTCCTCGAAAGTGTTTTCAAAGAAGTGCAAGGAATTGACTTCGACGAAGGGTTCGAAAAGCGCGGGACTTGGAGCCCCGAAACTGGACATGTGATGATGCCGCCACTGAATGCTACAGGGAGCAGCGACATGGTTCCAGTTCCAATCTCGGTTGAGAAACGCATCAAAGACGTGAACCAAGCCAGTTGGATGGTTAGAACTTCTACCCACAGCGACAGTCATGTCAAGTTCTCTGAGTTGGGTGATCTTTTGGCAAGAGATCACAGCCGGAATGAAGCTGCATATACTCCGAGCGTTTTCGACGCTGTCGAGCTGTTGAGATGGGATCCTGAAGAAGCGTTGAGAGCCGTGCATCACCAAGAGGAGATCCATAGCGTGGAAATGTTCAGTAAGTTCGCTAAAGCGCAAGCTACATGACTGCGTGTACCGTTGCTGACGCATCGTAGTATCGCAAATGTTCCATATGATGCCCAAAGTTGCCGGACTGAGTTTACTACAAGATCGCGTATTTCATGCGTTAATAATCACGATGAACACGTACAAAACAGGGAGTCTCTCCGAGCTCGCTTTGTCTTTGACAGTCCAGCTTCCGATCGATTATGCATCCTTTGAAGATGTTAAGGTCATGCAAGAGAGGAGTCGAATGAAGACGAAAGGATCTTCGCAAATCTATCAATTCCCGTCGAGCGCCGGGTCTGGATCAACACCTGACGCGAACCAGAAGCAGCGTCAGGGGAAGAAGCTGACAGAAGGTACCTACGTCTCGTTGGAGAGGCTCATTAGCGCATCGGCAGTACCCATCGATGGAGACGTTGCACAACAAGCAGAGTCTTCTGATAGCAACCGCCATCGTTGGGATATGGTAGGTTTATTTTTCGCATGTCAATGATCATGTGGTTAACGTGGCGCAGATGACGTTGAGTACGGCGGGGGGCATGACAAAAAAGGCACCAAAGGGTATCCAGCAGAAGGAAACATTGGAGGCGATCGCGATGGACGTGGAGTATGTTCTGTCGTATATCGCGGATCAAAGACGGAAGGGCAGGACTTGAATGGTGATGGCTGTGAAGGAATCATGTCACATGAGGTAAAGCGAAGCGGGGATGAAGCGCGGCGTGCAGATCATCGCGTGGCTGTGACACCATTCCACTTTCTGCACACTTGGACTCCAGCTTTCAGCCTTATGCCGGGGAAACGAGGCCCAGTTTGATGTATCTTAGTATCGCCTACTTGTACTTATTCCCTACATCAATGTTATACGATACACCGCAATTGCCTTCGTGATCGCATTCCAGCGCGTGCCGTACATGTGCATGTCACACTTGTGGAGGGCCTATTAATACACACAGGCACTTCAGCTGGCATCTCGAGCCCACACTCGCGACGAACACGATCCGCTATCTCCCGCGACACATAGATTGGGTGGTAACGCAAGAAGAATCCAATCGCGATGCAGAACTACGGGCAAGCACCAGGATATCAGCGGCCAGGAAGCACGACAGGCTTCACAGGACAGCAGGGCGCTCCTCCACCAGTCCCGCCACCGCCGCCTGGATATGGAGGTATGTTGATCCGGGATAGAACACAGCTCCAGAGCGAGGCGCTGACACGATGAAGCTTCCCAGGGATACCAAACGTCTGCTCCCCCAGCCCACGGTCAATGGGCTGCGCCTACGCCAACGCACACATCAAATCCATGGAATCAGTCGCAACAGCAAGTACCAGGAGGATATGACCCGGGCACTTATGGCACCATGTCAGGCGCGCAGCACCAATCGCATCCTCAGCAACAGGAGCAACCTCCTCCGCCTCCACCCAAACCGTACGGCTTCGCAGCGGCGGTCCAACGGCAGGAACAACAACAACAGCAGCAGCAGAGCATGCAAAACTGGCCACAACAGCCGCAACAAGGTACCGCCTTTGCGCCTCATATGCAGCAGGGAGGATATCCAGTGCAAGGGACACCACAACAACCATATCATCACGCAGCTCCTCCGCCGCCCTCAACCACACCGGGTGGGACATACTTCCAGTCTTCACAGGGAGGCAGACCCAGCTCTATCTATGGGGCAGGTCACGTCAGCTCATACCCACCAGTAGGGCCACAGCAACCCTCTGCGACCAGCCATCAGAACGAGCAGCAGCCGGCATACACACAACAGGGTGCACAAGCGTACACGTCTTCGAATACGAATCCAGCACCTGGCGCATACGTCCCTCCCCCACCAGAAGCTCCTTCATGGCAGCAGGCACAGCATGCGCCGCCTCATGGGGGCATGGCTAGTTTCACGAATACTACATCACATACCGAAACAAACGCCTATGCACAAGGACATCATAGTCTACAGCAGCAGCAGCAGCAGCAGCAACCGCCGCCTTTACCTCCACGACATGGCCAACAGGTTGTTCCTCCCCAAAACCATTACCAACCTCAGTATGGACATTCAACGCCCGTCCAATACAATTCGCAATCGCAGATACCCAGCCAGTACCAGCAGTCATCGGGCCAATTCGCGACACCCCAGCAGCACCAATATCAGCAACCATCGGTTGAACATGCAGCGTATTCCCAAGCTCCGTCGCAACAACCGGCCGCAACGACAATATATGGACAGTCTGTGTACGACCGACAAGGACAGCCTTCTCCACAGCATCCTCGCCCTCAGGAATCATGGCAGTCTGCATCTCCAGCACCTGAGCCTAGCTATGAATACAACAGACCGCAGGCATATGAGTTCCAGCAGCCACCCTTGCAATCGGGGTACCAAACGCAAGAACCAGTCCCACCGCAACAGCATTCTCAGATCTCGAACGAGGGAATCCAACGAACAAAGCCATATAATCGAATCGATACTGCTGGGTCGAACTTCTACCATCAGCCAAGCCCGCAGAGTCAGCCTGTGTCTCCGATATCAAATCGGCCTAGTGTGAGCTCCGCCTCTGGCTATCAACCTATCTCTGGGCGCACCGACTCAGTGAGCTCGATAGCTTTGGCTAACCTCTACGCACAACGTGCAGAGAATAAGACATCTTCGCCAAAACCACCCGGACAGAAACTGCCCGCGTCACCTCCGCCTAGAGATGATAAATCCAAGTTTAGTGTTCTGGCTGCCGGTGCACCTTCTGATTGGGAACACCTAGGTGGTAGTGAGGAGATTGACGATGAAGAACTCTTCGGTGCAAAGAAAGAAGAGAATAAAAGCGACAGTACTCAACCGGAAAGCATTGAGCTGCCCGCTCACGTCCCGTCTCCTCCCTCGACGCATGGGTTCCCCAGTCCTGCTGTGCGTCCCGCACACGTGAGTTCGAGCGAGTGGGATGAAGGCTATACACCCACACCGCCGTCTGTGGCGACAGGACTACCTGGACGACAGGACTCGCAGTCATCGCATCAAGGATTCATTGTCGAAGATGCCATTGTCGCGCCCTTACGGACAACTCCCAAACCCATACAGGGTACGAAACCCCCTCATCAGCCCGTTGCGTTGATGACTGGGTCCGGCTCGGCAGAGGGCGGATGGAATACGTCGCAACACACACCCACCCAACCGAAGCATCATTTTGGGTCACAAATTAGTAATGAATCACACGGCGCGGTGTCCTCCAGCTATGACTTTACTGTAGAACTTCAAGAGAAGGATGACATTATCAAACAACTACGCGTAGACGCGGAACGGGAGAAGAAAGAAAAGGGCAACCTTCTCAACCAATTACGCACAGATGCAGAACGGGAAAGGACCGTACTACAAGCGAAGATTGAGGAACTTGAGGCTAATAGCCAGAAAGTCGTGTCTGAGTACGAAGCTAAGAAGGCTCACAGCGCGAGCGAGAGAGATGTGTTGCGTGCACAGATTGAGACTATGAGAACCACCGCAGACGAAGCTAGTGTCAATTTTGACGCTTTGGTGAAGGAGAAGAACACGACGATTGAGATTCTGAAAGAAGATGTCGAAGGGAAGGAACACAATATTGAGGAGCGTGATGGTTCTGTCGCTGAACTAAAGCGCCAACTCGAAGTCGAAAAGGCGAGAGAATCGCCGAAACCCACAGCTGCTGATCTGATACCGGATCTTGATCCGTGGTATACTGGCTCGTTAGAGCGATACATAGTCATGCTTCGTAGTGAGGCCGCGCAACCACAAGTTGAAGAGAAGGTCAAGATTTTCAAGGCGTTCATAAAGGTTGAGTCTAGCATGCGGGCAATCATCTCCCTCGATACCTCAACCCAAACGAATCCAGTGGGACCAGAGACATCACACCAACCAGAGCAAGCTGCTCGCTCTCGTGCAACTTCGAACATCACCACCAAGAAACAGGATCTGAACATCCACGTACCGCAGGAATCGGAATTCGATGATGACTTTGAATATAGTCCTGGTGGCAGACCCATCTTGACGCGTCAAACTACGTTGCCGCCAACTGACTACCAGGGCGTTCCAAAGGCGCCACCTTCAGTGCAATCAACAACGATCCTGACTCCGACAAGCTCCATTGATGATGATACGAACAAGACGCCAGTGCAATCCCCGCCTGAAGAGCAGATGCAACACCAATATAAGGCATACGTCCCACCTGCTAGCATATCCATTGACCCAGCCCCATTGAGACACAGACCAACAATGTCGTTCTCCAATACTCCGGGGCTAGCTTCACCTTCGGGCCGCAACAACAGTAAAGGACACGATGAGATATTCTTTGGGGCCCATCAGCCGGCTGCGCAGACGCCTGCATCCCGGCCTTCCAGTAGCGACGCGGATGTTCCCTTGCCCGCACCATTGACTCTGACCCCACGCCGCCCAGTTTCAATTGCACCAACGAAGGAAGATGCGAACAAATTGCTCAAGGGACTCTTGCCCAAACAGATGCGCGATAGCCTCCCAAATCACCGGATTCAAGATATAAGAGCGAGGCTCACAGATGTGGGATCGAAACCCACCAACGCCGATGAAATCACGAAGACATGGGAAAAATCAGCATCTCTGAATCGCCGCAAGAGGGACGACGCCCGCCGCAAGCGTCAAGAAGAGAACGAGGAGCACAACGACGATCTTTTCAACAGCAATGAGATCTCGTATGCGGAGATGAATCAGCTCGAGGAAGAGTTCAAGCAGAAAGAGGGAGATCTCAAAGCGCAAGAAGACAAAGACGAGTACAAGAGTTATGTAGAGACTGTGTTTGACCCCATCTTCACCAGCCTACATGGCGAGATCAAAGCCCTGATGGATTTGTACGTCGAAGCTAAGCGCCTACTACCGTCTTCCGTCGCTGGACTTAAGAGCATGGAAGGAACCGATACTCCGAGCACGAAAGACTGTTTCGAGCTCCTGGAAGACATCCACACGCAGGTTGAAAAGAGACACGATGTCGTCATACAACTCGTTGCCGAACGCGACAGACGCTACAAAAAGACGGAGACGCAGCCTCTTTATGCCGCCGGAAACATCAGCCAAATGAAAGCCATGGAGAAGCACTATGAGAACGCCGAGAAGCAAGCTATGTTCAAAGCCAAGCGCGAGAAGGCGGAGCGTGTAGGCGAGCTTGTCCGCCTTGTCGAGGATGTGATTGTCAATGCAGTCAGTACTGAGCAAAAAGAAATCGACCACATCGTTGCAGCAACCAAGGATCTTGAGGATGGCACCGGTGATCCAGCAGTTCTCCAAGATGTACAGACCGCTCTCAAGGCTCTGAAGGAATCGTCAAAGACGCTTCTGTCCCTCTTCAACGCGCTGGAGATTGAATCCAACAACGCCGATATAGACGCGGAGATTGCGCAAGTGACAGCCGGTGGTGCGGATCCAGCGCGCATACGCGAATTGGAGACTGAAAAGAGGGAAGCAGAGAAAGACTTGGTGGAAGAGTTTCGAAGGAGGGTCAGTGTGCTGGATAGCGATGATGTTGAAATCGGGGAGTTGGTGCAGAGGAAGATGGGTAAGAGTGGCGAGGACGCAGAGAAGGAAAATCGATTACGAATGGCGTTGGAGGAAGCGAAGAGACGGAATGGTCATGCTTGATGGCATCATTTTATGTATTTACGACGAAGCGTGGCATTTCTCATGCCTGTAATGTGTACTTATGGATATCACAATCGCCCGCACTGTCAGTCACAATTCATCCTACTTTGCATGCTCGCCCAGCTTGCATGCTCAAAGACCACTGTCCTTCCTCTCCCTCACTGGCCTCTTTGGCTTGTCCTCCGTCTTCTCCTCCACCTTCTCTTCATCATCCAAATGAGTCCTCCGATCAATATCCAGCCTCTTCTGGAAATACTCCCCAACGCCAAACTCATCGTACCGCTTCCCCTCCTCTCTCAAATGCGGCACAACACTAACCTTTGCATCTTCATTCGGGCTAAAGAAGAACGGCATACTATACCTCTCCTCGCCCCCGATATTCCGCACTCTGTGTACAGTACTCTGCCACGAGCCGCCCGTAACCAACTTGAGGAAATCCGCAATATTGACAACGAACGTGTTGGGTTGGGGATGAACAGGGACCCAGATGCCGTTCCCGTTCAGCACTTCGAGAGCCGGGTATGCGGTTTTGGATTGACATACGAGCGTGAACCAGCAAAAGTCTGTGTGGGCACCGATTCCTACGTCGCTTTGACGCTCTTGGGGTGGGTAGTGGACGGCGCGGACGTTGGTCATGGGGTGCGTGGTTATGGTGTCGAAGTAGTCTTCGGGGAGGTCGAGAGCGAGGGCGAAGATGTGGAGCATGCGTTTGCTGAACTCGAACATGGATTTGTAGTAGCGGTAGATGGCTGGGCGCCAGAAGAGGGCGGACGGGTGGCTGGGCCATTGATTGCGCGGGGCTTGTGGTGAGGGAGGGAGCGAGGTGATGAGGGAGAGTTGTTCTGAGTCGGTGAAGTCTTCGCCCATTAGGAAGCCTTCTTTGAGATCTTGATGGTGTTGTTAGAGACAGAAGATCGTCTTGTGGGTGGAGACAGTGAAGACGTTACCTCCTCGTGTACTTGGGTCGAGCTTGCCTTCTAAGAACGCTTCGTAGCCCCTGAACTTCTCTGTCTTTTGATTATGAGTCTCCATTTTGACGTCGGTTGGTAACGCAAAGTACTCCTTTAACGCATCGAAGGTGTCTTCCAGTACATCATCGTCCACTCCGTGGTTCACTGCGTAGAAGAAGCCTATGTCTCGACATGCGGCGCCGACTTCTCTGGCTAGTTCTTTCCTGTCCTCCAGGTTGTTTGAGTATATGCGTCTGAAGTCGATCTTTGGTAGTTCGGTGAACGTCTCTTTGGCAGCGGTGCCCTTGAGAACCGGTCTTCGACCAGGAACACCACCATCATGGTAGTGAACCCACGTATCTGCGTACGTCTTCGTCTCGGTAGTAGTAGTCGACATACTGGCGATGAATGATGATCTATCTACTGCTCAGATAGTCTTGAGGAGTGGATTCATATAAAGCAGCAAGAGATTGCGAAAGGCAAAAAGGTATGCAAAGCCGGTAATCCACCACGGCGGGACGTACCGCAACCTTAATACACAAGCCGACACTCATACTACCATAAGCCGAATCACGTCCAGCTGGAAAGAAAAACGTCGGCTAAGTTGAAGGCTGCACAAGGGCACCTACAGACCAATCGTGCCAACCCACGTCGTACGATGAGGCGTACTTGTCGTAAGCTGGGCGAAACACATACCTACGCATAAACGGTGTGGTGTCATCATGTCCAAGATTCCGAGGTTCACGCCCTCGGACAAGAGCGCATGCCGGGGAGGTCTACCGCCGCTCACCGGACTACTTGCCTATGTCTGGACAGTGTGAAGCGGAGCAAGATCCGGAGCTGGTATAGGACCGATGCTGTGCATATACGGATCTCGAGAGGGTGCGGAAGAGTACAGTAAGGCTGCTCTATGCGAACTGCCTCGCGTACTCTGGAGTATTGCGTCTGTCTACCTCTTGCGCAAGTCAAAGTACTGTTTCGAAACCCCGTAGATGGCCTCTCTTCCTGACAGTCTCGCATGTCAGCTGGACGTTTGCTGGACTCTCTACGTCACCCCCTTACATCCCCCACCAAAAGCATGCATCCCAATGAGGCATTATCTGCAGCCACAGTGTAGCGGTCGGACGACCCTCCATAACGGCAGGACCATACCAGGTGATGGAGGAGCGGCGGACTGCGGATAGCGTACCGAGCCATCGGATACCGGAGTTGAGCGCGACTGGAATGGGTTGTTAGTTCACCACGTCGGTAGAGGGCGGCTCGTATGTGGTGGTGTGCTCGTCAGAATCGGCAGTTGGAGGTGACACATCCGCTCGGAACACCTTTCCTGGGACTTGCATGGCGATACTGCAGTGCAAGACTTCGAGGAGGTGCATTCAGACCATGCGCATGACGCTGTCTTGATGGAACAGTAGAAGGATGAGTGCCCCGCTATGGGTGGACGTCCCGGGTTGGAAATCCCCCGCGCATGACGCTTGCCTCTTGCCGAGGACCCTTTATGGGCGGAATAACCAGCATCGTCCTATCAAAGCATTTCGCGGGTTCTAAAATAACTGACTGCCGATGGTGCTAACGAGAGGAGAAAAGCAAGCATTAGTGCGCAATCCGTATGTAAGCGGTGAAGGGACTGTATGAATGTTGGGATCGGCCGTGTGATGATGTAATACTTGGGCACTCTCAGGCCGTTAGGAGATGGCTGCGTAGTATGCATGGACGCCCAATCAACACACTATCGCGATGAGCAAGCACGCTATCTCGAAAAAATGGCATGGCAGCCGCATCGAAAAGCTGATTAGTCAAGCATGGCAGTCAATAGGATGATCAAGCAACTGACTACCATTATGCTAGTTAGGTTAGACGATGTTGAAAATCATAACAAGATACACCAACTCCTCCGCCCACAGACCAAAAGCCTTGCAATTCCGGGGATATCATGAACCGTAAAAGAGAAACCGAAAGCCTCATCGACCACTCCAGGCAGGCAGCGCATCATGCATGGCTATACTGTAGCATGATGTTGACCGTTGGACAGGTCAGACTTATTTCTTGCCCAACTTATTCAACAAATCCTTGCCCTTGCCGAGCAGGCCCTTGCCGTTGTCCTCGCGCTTCTCGTCCTCGCTCTTGCGCTTAGCTTCGGCGCTCTTTCGTTGCGCAGGTTGTCCATCACCGATGATGTTGGCGGCACCTCCACGACCGTAGTGTTTGGGGCCTTGTGGCTCTGGGTGCGGCTTGCTTTCAACGTCTTGAGCAGCGCGCGCAAGTTCAGGACGCTCGGGATCGTTGCGCGCCATGTTTCCAGTTCCACCTCGACCTGTGGTGTAGGTATTGGACTTGAGGGTTGGGGTGACGAGGTCTTCTGGCTTGGGGTAATTGGTAGGGTCGTCCTTTGCGATGTTGCCTACAAACGTCAGTAGTCGCTCAGAAGCAGAAGCTGGTGAACAATCGTAGACACTCTAAGGGTTGCTTTGTAGCGCACAACAACGCGCCAAGGCTGCCACCCTCTGCCGCATAGCCAAAGACATACAGACCCAGCCGTTCCACTCCAAGCGTCGCAGAGTCGCGCTTCACATCTGTAGGAAAGTATAGGCTTACCAGCACCTCCTCGCCCGTGCGACGCAACACGCTGGTACTCGTTCGGTCGAGTGGTCATCTTGGGCGAATCGTTGTTGAAATAAACTTTGGGAGCACGATGGATAGCAGGCTGCTGTTGTAGGGGTGTGTTCGCTGGCGCAAACCGTGAAGTCGCGGCGTTTGTTTGGGTACGAAGCGTCAAGGTGAGAGAGATTGAACAAGGCCCAAGTGATGACGCGATGGCAGTCACAACACTTCTTATATTGACCGTGCTCTTGGCTCTTCCGTGAGCAGCAAGCCAGGCGCGAGGACAAGACTTTCAAGGACTGTGCTCCGTTTTGCACGCCAGAAGGGATCGTGTTTGCTGAAGACCTTGGTGACAAGCACCAGTCGTCTGCTCGCGCCTGGGCACGACGCGCCGGTGGTACTCATTCTGGTTGACTAGGCGGCACGTTGCTTTCTGAGCCGTGAAAATCTCCATGCTGTGCGCGTGCGTGACTCTGTTTTTGGGTTTCTGTGACTAACGTCTAGGTGCTGCTGCGGGGTCCGTAAGCCGAGCACTATGGGCGGGAGAACGTCATGCTCGAGTCGAAAGACGAGATCTAGGAGTCGATAATGAGGCCATCAGGTATTTCGAGGGAATGGTTAAAGAGGTGCCTGGAGGTTTGCTTACGACGCAAATGCGCGCATACATGATACACGCACCCACGGGGAGAAGAAGCAAGCATGTAGGCGCGTCCATGCCTGTACAGTAATCTCATTATCTATGCCAAGGCTTGGGCCAGGCAGCGTGGGGTAGAGATATAGATACGCGAGCGAACACCCAGTTCAAGAATCCCATCAACTTTAACTCGTTTCTACAATCACCCTCACTACTTGATTTCAATGCAGAGGGTCTTATTGAACTTTTAGTTCAGCGATTGTCATAGCCACGTAGTGTGGCCACTCATTATCTACTCTATGATACATGTTGAATGGAAAGCAATCCAATGATGTATCGACGCAATGCCTGTCTGTCCTGCCTGAAAGGCGCCAAGCCGACATCCAGGCCATGAGGTTGCCCTGCTTTCTATGGAAACGCCGTCTATATCCCCAAAAAAGAAATCGCTGTCATGCCCATTGTACAGTCTCTTATTGTACAGTAAAAGAAAGCCCCAAACGCTCAAGATGCAACTGATGATACAGAATAATGAAGGAAGTCGACGTCGATGTAGGAAATGGTGTACCGGAAGGACGATGCAATGGTGCTGCTAGTTCAGGGCCGAGGCCGCGGGTAGCACGCGTAGGAGTCGTTGGTGTTGTAGTTGTTTACATCGATCCGGGTTTGTTTGGGAGTAATGATGGAAAGATGGAAGTCGGATTGTTCAGCTGGATGAAGGACAGGAGGTATGATCTGGTCCATATTAGTTTGCGGATGGGCATAGTATAAAGCATTGGACATACCCAAGTCAATTCGAAGCTTATTAGCCGCCATCGCGAGGTTGGGGCTCTGTTCCTGCCATGGAAAGCAACATGGATGATGATAGTCTTGCGCCTGGGTTTGGTGCACCTCCGTCTCGAGGTTGGGGGTCGGCGTAGGAGGGAGTGTTGTTTTGCTCGAGGAGTCCCATGGTGGTGTGGTAGTTGTATATGGATTTGAGTTTGAGTTAGGGCTGAGATGGCTTGCTGATAGGCGTGGCTAAAGGTTGCGGGCTGTGGTTCGTGTAAGGTATGCAGGCAGAGTCAAGGTTGAGATGTGGTTGATGAGGTTTCAAGCCAGAGGCGTTTCTATTGTATATAAATCTAACCTGAGGCCTGTCGTAATGCCTCAATTCCCGCCAGGAACAGGCAATGACTGCCTTCTTTCAGGCTGCGACGCAGAGAGAGAGTTGAGATTCAACCGCTCCGGTGATTCAATTGCTTGTCAAAAGAACCATGACTGCGCCACTAGAGAGAGAATTGGAAATGCTCATTGGGTGCGACCTGACATACAAGGCGATTTCCAGGCTGCACTTTGTTCTAGCGTCCTTCCAGAAGGCTAACAGCCCTGTCTACCTCGAGGGTGACTCCTTTAGTCACCGCCGTTTAGTAGCAGAGCCACGGTGTTGAAGCCGAATGACGGGCCAGGGCCCAATCTCCAGGCAGAAAAGCGGCCAGTGGATACCGCAAATGGTGAACTGACGTTCGCTGCCTAGTAGGGCTGGGTGAAGTTTGTGGGCACATGGGTTGCACAGCCGCAGCCTTAGAGCCACACCGCGGCGGGGCACACTCAAGGCTCCCACAGGCAACTTCGCGATTTGGCCTCAAGGATAAGTAGCAGCCCCAGGTCCTCCAAGTCGCCTCGGTCGTGTCGTTGATGACTCCTGTGCCGGTACGGCTCACCGGCGCAAACACAGCCCGGAGCAGCATTCTCCCGATCGGTCGTTGCTGTGGTGCTGCGCCTCGTGAAGCGATCTCAGCGATAGCGCGTCTTGGACCTAGCAGGGAGGACGGGGGCCAGGGGAACGACAGCCGGATCGCGAGACAAAAGCGACGCGGTTGCACTGCAACATGCTGAGCAGCTTTTTTCCATGGCAATAAGGAATGCGGAATCGGTTTTCGAAACAAAACGTATGATGCGCCAGCCGAGATGCAGGAGATGGTGGATGGTTGATTGGTGGTGAAGGCGCAGCCTTTCTTTCATTTGTCGGCCTGGGTAAGCGGCTTTCCTGATGTGGCTGTTAGCGAGGGAACTCCATGACCATTCTTTTGGGAAACACTTACGACCACCATCACCGGGCTGACCATTGCCGGGGTTCTTGGGTTTGTACATCGCGGAGACCATGTTGTCGGATTTGGTAGTGATGATGTTGTGTGATGTTGTACGGGCGGTGTTCAGATTGGTGCAGGTGTGCTTAAGAGTGGGTAGAAGTGAGACTTTGTGTGAGACTTTAAAGATTCGCAAACGTTGTTTTGTATGGTAGCGGTGCAACAGGAGTGTCAGTACTTGTGACAGTGGACCGATAGCTGGGACATATATATTTAACTTCTGAAGTCATGGTCCTCCAGTAACTCATGATACTGACGTCTACCTTGGCCGTGTCCTCCATGATCCACGGGGCAACGGACGGGCCATCAGAGGGCACCCAGTACGTGGCCCTTCGGTGCGTATGGCAGGCACAGCCAACTGGAAGTGAAGCAATCGCACATTGCTTCTCTGGGATGACTCTTGGACGGTGTCTGAAAGGGGATGGAACAGGACAAAGCTGTCACCCCCACAATTCAGTGTGAAACAGCCAATCGTGGATCCGCCTCGTTGACCCGGTGTCTCAAAGAATCGTCGACAAGCCTGGCATCCGTGCCTGAATAACATAAGCTGTCGCGCCTGTGTGAGGAAGGTCCTGGGGGACTAGAAGCTGCGGAAGCCGAACCCATTCGCTGCTTCACTCTCCCCATCCCTGCACATCGAGGCCCGGGACCCAGCAGCACCCCTTCACAACCTTTCATAAGGTGTTTCTAGATGCCTTCTAGGTGCTTCGCCGAACAGGCGTTATGCCGTCATAGGACAGCGCGTCACCGCGTCTCAGGCCACGCGCGGTCCACCAGAGCCGCATGCGCTGGCGACACAAGATCACGAGATTCCCGGATGCTGCTCCCCTCCCCTTCCCAGCCACGCTGTCACGTTAAAACGAGCCACGCCGCCAGTGCGCGCTAGGTCTGGATCGGTCGGCCCGCTCTCGGAGACGCAGGTACAGGCCTGGAGGGTGCGCCTACTGACGTCTCGAGAGCTTTCGTCAGCCAGAGAGACGGCCAGCCAGGGCTCCGTTTCATCCCTTTTGCGGATGACACCTGGGCAGAGAGCTGGACTTGTGGCCGTGGACAAGACTGGGAAGTTTACGCGTTCCCAGTGGCCACGCCCTCCCAAGGTGCCCGGCTGCGCCCCAGCGCCCTTTACCAATCATCGACACACTGGTAAACCGCTCAGTTGCCGCAACAGCGTGTCTGGGAAAGCCCTACAGGTCGCCCTGCAGTGCCCCTCAGAGGGGGACTCTATAGTAGCCTTTTGCCTACTGAAGGACTCTTTGCCTTCGTCCTGAAATTGCCACCCAGCATGGGCTGCACAGCCAGAGGACACAAAGTCTGAGTCGAGCACGAAGGACTATGGAAGTCCTCTGGTCCCAGGGGCTATAACCTTTCGGGTACCACGCACGCCTCATCTTACAATAGCAACCAGATCTGAGACGATCCTAACTGTGAAAATCTTGGCTGGCGAGACTTTGAGTTGGTTTGGGTAATTCCAGACGCCCTGCTTGGCTGTAACTCATGATTTGGGTTGCGCTTGCCGGCGCACACGTGTTGAACGTTAGCCAGACTGAAATCTATCCTCAAAGACACTCGTCTCGCCGAGGAGGGTCAATCACCCTCCACACGCGCATCTACGATCGATGCACAGCGAGGCGCTTGTGCCGTCACGAAATGACCGAGTTGAGAATGCCATGGTCTGCACAGTGCATTGGGCTCGCCCCAGAAGAAGCTTCATCTCTACGGCTTTACTTGCTAGTCAGTGTGCATCGCCATAGGGTTATGCATCCTCAGGTACAACTGCGGCGGTCGCGCATCGGTGCCTAGTTACTTTCGTACTTTGCGCGTGTTGATTTGCGGTCGCGTGCTTCCAAGGTCGCCCAACACAATGCCTTGGAACGTAAGGGCCGTCAACATCAAGCATTCCAGTACCCAGAGACGGGAGGTTGGCAGTGAATGTAGTCCGCCCAGTCTTGCTTGCGTCATGTTGTAGATTCTAGCTGCCGGGCGATCAATCTGCGCCATGTTGGATCTACGAGACCCTGCCGCCAGCGGTCACTGCTCCACCTGGGCACCCTTCCAACAGCTCACCCCGCAGCCACCACGCGAAGCAGAGCTGGACCCCGATAATGAGAAACACACGCACTCGTATACAACCACCACAGTCTCTACCGTGATATCTGAACCATGGCGACCAAGTCCAACTTCAAGCGGGCGGTGCCCCCGACACAGCAGTCCGTCCTCGCGTCGCTAAGAACCACGCAGTTGGTGCACGATTCGAAAGCTGTATTGCCAGCCGGTAGGGAGACAGTACCATACGAAAACATGCGTCTGACGAAACAACGTAGAGCTCATCAATGCCATCCTCGATTATCTGCCCGTCGCCGACATGTTCAGCTTCGCGCGCACCTCGAGACGCATGCGCGAAATGGTATACGACGATACCAGGTGGATACAAAGGCTTCGGAGCATGGGCTGCTGGAATGAAGCTGAGGCCAAACAAAGATTTGAGGAATCCATGCGGAAAAAACTCGAGGCACAAAAAGCGGAGGAGGCCCGGAGATCTGGCGTTGCACTCAATGGCAGCACCAACGGGATGCCCCCGGGGGACGACATACCTGGCAAGACAAGCATGACACTGTTCGATGCCACCATAGAGGAGGATATGCTGCGCAAGTCTCAGGAACACCGAAGTAGACCTCGTGCTACCACGCTGGACAAGGGCTTCAATGACATGACATTGTCACCTTCTGGGACGTTGGCACAAAGCTCGTACGCGGTGGATCCGCAGGCAGCTGTGAGGGTTCTGGCGAATGTCCGTTCGATTCGAGGCATGGCCCGGCAAGAGTATGGCACAGTCTACGGAGCGCTGGCCCCGTTCTACTACGATTTGGAGAGGTCAAGAAGTCATACAGACCCTATTCTGTTTCGGACCTACCGCGATCCTGAGCAACAAGCTCAGATGCTGGCGCAGCTCAAGATATTTGCAAAAAGCGATTATGCGCAAGGTTGGAGTCAGCGCGAGGAGAAACTAGACACAATGACTGGCATCTTCGAGAACGCTGTACTCCGAGAGTTTGAGCAAGGCTATGCAGAGAAAGATTTTGACGGACGTATGAAGAGATTTGCTACCGTCCTCGTGGCTCTTAACGGCGGTGCGGCATGTCTGGACTCTTTTATTCACAATCACCCTTTGATGTTGGAGAAAGAGAAGCTTGGTGACCCTGCAGATTGCCTACGCAACGAAGTGCTGACACTGGAACCATCCCATGAGTTTTTCAGAGGATTGGCAAGTGCGCTCAACGAAGAAGCAGACATTATCGATCGTGTCTTTCCACCTACTGTGGATGTGCTACAAACGTTCTTTGAACGCGTTGCGGATGACGTCATCGCTGAATATCTTACGACTTTATTCGACGAGGCTCACGATGTAAGCATCGAAGCATATCTTAAAGCAGTTGCGGGACTCTATGAGCAAGCGCTGCAACTTGCAGTCTCATTACATCCTACCAACGCATCGAAGCCCGATTTCCGCGAAGAGGCCATGCGCATTGTGTCTCGCTGCTTTGAGCAACACATCGACCTTTACCTACAAGAGGAATTAGATTACTTCAAACGGAAGTCAGCTGCAGAGGTCGACCTTTGGGAGAAACGTTTGATGCAAGAAGAGCAGAGCACCGAAACTTTATACATGGCCAATGTCAATAGGAAAGCTGTTAAACAAGACTTTCTGTCATCATTCAAGAAGGTGGTCATGATGCCTGTCAATGTACTCCCAGCTATTGGCGGCTCCAGCGCTGGTAAGGCCAACGAAAGCGCAACTGGCATGAATGGCACTGGTACTTTGGACCCTACCTCAAGACTCGGCACTCCTCTCTCTGGCGAACGGTCGCCTACACCGCGAATCGAAGCCCCAACCACTGAACTTGCCGCCAAAGCAGCAATCATGAACTCCCGTTTGGAGGGCATCCGGTCGCTGTTTAGCATCGAAGTGGCGCTGAACCTGACACACATGGCGAAATCTGGGTTGGAAAGAGCCGCGCGATTTGTTAGACTTGGTGGTCAATCCGGTGAAGAGGCGAAGGAACAGTCTGAGCAGATCTTTATCAACCTAGTCCAGATTCTCGGCAACCGCCATATGAAGTTGGGATTCGACAAAGCTGTTAGTCATTTGGCTGACTACAAGCCGCGAGAAGTCGCGGATCATAGTAAAGAAGGTGTTGCGCCACTGGTAGCCTTTTTGGAACTGGTCAATGTTGGCGACTTGATACAACAGATGGTTGAGGTGTTCTATCTCCAGGAGCTTGTGGCTGCCAATCTTACCGAGCGCGACGATTTCCTCAGCCTTGCCGCAAAGGAGAAGAAGCGCTTTGAGGCCATGTTGGACGAACGTGTCGCTGCAGGTCTCAACAAAGGCATCGATGTGCTGATGGACGAAGTGGAGTATCTCTGCGGCACTACACAACATCCATCCGACTTCAACCCTCCCGTCGGGCCCAACGGGCAGGTGCAAATGTCCGACATTGGACCTAGCCAAACGGCGACGAAGATTGTGGAAGTTGTTTCGTCGCATACAAACATGCTCATTGGCAGCACAGACAAGAACGTGCTAGATGTCTTCAACCAAGAAGTTGGCGTGCGCTTGTTCACTGCTCTCTGCAAGCACTTGAAACGTCAGAGAATCAGTGTGGATGGCGCCATCAAACTCATCAGGTATGACACATGATCCATAGACCTAGATACAGACTAATTCCTGCAGCGACATGAATGCATACAACGCGTACATTGTCTCGCTGCGCAACAAGCCCCTGATGCAGTATTTTGCGGCGCTTCGCGAACTCTCCCAGATATATCTCATCGACGCAAAGGAAGCGAAAGAGATCGCTACCATCATTGCCGATACGGATCGATATCATGGCATCTTCCGAGCAGAAGAAGTGTATGAATTTGCGGAGAGAAGAGCGGATTGGTATCAAATCAAAAGCGCGGTGGAAAAGCAGATGTACGGAGTAGGATGTCTGGTTATGTGAAGTTGTTCGCGGCTTCAAGTGGCGTCGACTCGAAGGGTTGAAAGCAAGGCTGCTGGACCAGACTAGTGGCATGCATAGATTACCGCTTTTGGCAAATACTCTTGGGAACCAATAAATACGCAGCTTGCAGCTTGTGCAGGCGATGCGATGCATGACGTAAAGCCCATGCCTGTGACAATCGCACGCGTGCAAGCATCGTGAGGGCCAACAAGACTGTCGAGTTTGTTTTTCTTTGTCGGCTCGAACTACTTAGATGGTCGTGGTTCCCAGCCTCCGTCGGCGTACCTGAGCTAGACAGCGCCCGTGCATTCGACTTCACACCTCATCGCGCATACTGCAACGATCCATGAACCTTAGTTCTGTTCACCTGCCCCGTTCATCTCCACGACAGCGCCGAAGCTACGCTGCAACCATTTTCTACATTTGAGTCTCTTGCGATTCGAGACTGCCGTTGCTTTCCAGTGACTGCACCCCACTACGGAACTACCCTTTTGAGGCGCCCGACGTACTTGGCTGCCCGGGCACCTTCGCTGGCCGTCTCTCGCCCGTCTTGGAGGTTATTGCGCGACGACGAGAGCCTGTCGCTACGTGAGAGCCTGGCGACACTCGCGCCATACGCGACGCTCTCTACGTATCTTCTACATCCACATCATAGGTCCCGTTGGTGGTTCCAAGACCCTGGTACCAGCCGCGGTTCTTCGCACGACATAGCCACTACGAACATCGCAGCTGCATCGGAGCTCCGCGATACTCTGTGGTTTTGAGACTGGTCCCCGCGGCGATCAGGTCTCTACCTACAACGCCCACCTTGGCAAGCTGTTGCTGTCGAAAGTTGAAATATCGCAGCCATGGCAGGCAAGTACCCGCTTGCCGTCTGCTACGCGTATGTCTACATTCTAACGTGTCACAGCAGACCCTCTCCCCGCCGAAGTGCAAGCTTCCTACTCGGTCATCATCGACGAGATCCTACGCGCCAGCGACATAAACACCATCAGCGCAAAGCGCATACGGAAGGGTTTACAAGAGAGAGTCGAGGATGACCTTTCACAGCAGAAGGTTCGAAGCTCAACATGGCATACAACGGCATATACTAAGACTCGCAAATAGGCCCAGATCACCGCGCTCATTATGCAGCGGTTCGACAAGTTCAACAACGAGCAGAATGGCGGCTCCGAGGTTTCTGAACCTATACCCACAGTCGAGAACGGCGCAAAGGCCTCGAATGACGATACCTCCGACGTCTCTCACAACAAGCGATCGCCGCCCGATGACGAGTCAGTGTTGTCTGAGGTGGAAGATGTTGCGCCTCCTAAGAAGAAGGTCAAGAAGACCAAGGTCAAGGACGAGGACGACGATGCTGCATTCGCGGCGAGGTTACAGGCTGAGGAGAATGCGCGCATAGGTAGGGCGACACGCGGCGGGAACACAAAGCGGAAAGCAGCTGCGCCCAAGAAGACCAAGACAAAGAAGAAGAGCTCAACCCGGATCAAGGATGAAGATGACAGCGACATCGCATCAGGTAGCGGAGGCGAAAAGAAGAGCCCGAGCCGGAAAGGAGGTTTCCATGTTAGTTTACCTCCTCCAGTCTATGTCACCTCCCCGAGCCAAAGCTAATCACACCCAGAAACCCATGGCTCTCTCCCCAGCCCTCTCCGAACTCCTCGGCGAAACCCAGCTCTCACGCCCCCAGACCGTTAAGAAGATATGGGAGTACGTCAAAGAGCGCGAGTTACAAGACCCGGACGACAGGCGCCAAATCCGCTGTGACGATGCCATGCGCGCCGTCTTCAAACAGGACCGCGTCCACATGTTCACCATGAATAAGATTCTCAACCAGAATCTCTATGCCGTCGACGAGGTTGTCAACTGATCCGTCTGGTTCAGCAGCTCACCGTACTTTGAAACCCACGTTTGCCGACGCATACATGTCAGGCAGTGGAAGAGCAAGTAAATCTAATCTACACAACCATATACCGCATCACACAAACCTTCCATCCGTCCTCATATCACGACAATATCACGAACATTCGTATCCATCCGCGACAGTCACCCACGCTCAGAGTCACTCGTCGTCATCGTTTTCCCAGTCTCACTTGATTCTAGCAGCATGGCGCATTTACGGTGTTTTCCTCCTTCTTGGATTCCAGAAGCGCGCATCTTGGCCTCCTCCCTTTGTGTAGGGACTGGGGCAGGCACATGGGGTCTTTTTCCATCATCTAGTCCTGCGTAGTCTTTTCCTTGAATCAAAAGAAACTGGATGGATGGTCTGGGGAAAGGAAGGCAGAATGGGTATATGCTTGATAAAGACAGGGGCAAATGATTGGTGGGACTAGAGGAAGGGTCGCTTCCTCTGGTCGACGACGTTTGCCACATCTCAATGAAATGCTATTATCGAATGGACAGTCCGTTGACGGCAATTTTACATTGGTGATATATGTCTTGATGTGTAGTAGTGACAGTGAAACGTCTGGTGTTTAATACAAGTACAATCATGCTATGTATTATGCATAGGAAACCACCGTGATAGAATGTAGACCCAAATAATCATGCGCGTGTAAAGCAAGAGGTATCCAATACCGGTACTCCGCAACCCATTAACAGCACAACGACGAATAAAGTGGTGATCCGCTGATATGCCGTTTCCAAACTGTCTATTAAGGTCTAGAAGCCTTCAGGGAGTTGAAGCTGGAAATTTTCGTGATCTTCCTCGAGTGGATCTTCACCATGTAGCTGTGTGTTGAAGCTATTCATCCACGCATCATCGTCCTCGTCGTCGGAGCGTGACAGAAGCAACAACTCCATTTCACGCTCTACATCTTCAGCTGTGCGGCGGGGTTGCTCTTCCTCTTGACTTGTGACAAGTGTGGCATTGGTGGAAGTTGAGCTGCAGCGAGACACCGGGCCGCGACCTCGCATGGTACCAGTGTTGGTGCTGACACTGCGGATGTGCGTCGAGGAGGCGGGTCGGGGGGCGGCGGAGAAAGGAGCGGGCTTGGTGACGTTGGAGAGAGGCTTGCGTGCAGCTGGGGCTGCGCGTCCGGCGCGGCCTTGGGCGTAGCCGATGGTGCTCTTGGAGGCTGCTACGGCGGATGCTTGACGGGATGCTGTGAGCTCCGTGGGAGTTTTTGCTCCCTTCCTGCCTGCGACTAGTCCAGTGGGTACACGCGACTTTACAGCTGCAGTGGGGGCAGCGTAGCTAGGCTTGGACGGTGGAGAGAGTGCGGCAGCGGCAGATCTGGCTCGCATAGTCGATGGTCCAGTGGCCGCCTTCCTGAGGGCAGTGGGTGCCTTGGGGGCCTCCTTCTTGGGCTCCTTGATACCGTAGTACTCCCTCGTCTCAGCATCGTCCTTGGCCAGCTGTGCCGCGAGTATTTTGTCCATCTGCTCATCACGCTTCTTCCTGCCCTGCTCTATCTCCTCCTCAAACTTGCGCTGCTCACGGGTCCTTCCGTCGTCCTCAATTGGATTGTGATAGGCTTGCCAAATGCCACGGACCATGTCCTCGTTACTGATCTTGGGCATGGTCCAGTTCTTAGGTAGGTATTCGTCCATGTCATCTTCCAGAGGGACCTCCTTGGGGGGCATGTATTCGATCTCAGGCACGTCATCTTCGGACTCTTGCGCGACTTCCGGCTGGTGGACCTTGACTTTTGGGCGGCGCAGGCGAGGGCTGAGCTTTTGTGTCTTTGCGGAGGAGAGAGGCGCCGGGGTTCCAAAGGGCCTGGATTTGGCGTTGGTCGTCTTCATGCCCAGCGGCGCGCGCGTGCGCGGACCTAAACACGTCAGTTGTCTTCTTGCGCAGTCTGCCATTTCTTCTCTTACCGGCTGGCGTCACAAAGGCATTCTGGTCGATCTTGCCGCCCTTGTTGGTGGTAAAGAGCTCGTTTCCCTTGCCCTTGGTTTGCAGGACCGACTTTCCGGCTTTGCCCACGGCATTTTCGTCGTTGAGGGGGATCTTGAAGGGCGTCTTGGGGGCTTTGTTTCCGGGTGTTTTGGCGTTGAAGCCCTTGAGGCCGGCATTGAGCGACTTTCCCGCCGCGCCGGCGTGCAGATGGCGGACGGCGTTCTCCTGGTCGTTTGCTGCGAGGGTAGTCATTCTGGGCGTTACATTGAGCGAATCGTGTTGCTATCTCTATCGGGTGCTGGCGATGGTGGCATGCGACGCTCGCGGCCAGTGTTTACGGCCGGTTGCTGGGGCGGCAGCAAAGAGGGTCTGGGCTTCGCACAGGGTCCGGGCGGAGGTAGCGCCTGCCCGCATTATCAGCTTGCCCATCCGCTTGCAGGAGACAATTCTTACAACAAAGCACCACCGACCCGCCGCCGCACCACGTCCCTACATAAGCTGCAGCTCTTTTGCTCTCGTCACCTGCAAACTCCACACAAACACCTTTCCCCCGCACCACACACCTCTCGCAGCTATGGATCAGATCAAGAAGGTGAGTCTACGCATACCCCGCCAAATCCCCTTTCTTTGGTACCCAGTTCACAGCCGACGCCACAATGCACGCCTGTCGTACCAAAGCAGACGCTGACATGACGTTCTGCACAGCGCATGGAAGCTCTCCGCGTCGAGGCGGACGAGAGCAGCGCCCGCGCCGAGGAGTACAAGGCCAAGATCAAGCAGCTCGAGTCGGAGACGACACAGAAGGAGCAGGAGATCACGTCGCTGACGCACAAGAACTCCGTTCTCGAAAGTGAGGTGGAGAAGCTTGAGGGGCAAGTCAAGGTCCACAAGGACGAAGCTGGTGCAGGTGCTCAGGCCGGCACCCAGGCCGAGAGCCTCCAGCGCAAGATCCAAGTTCTCGAGGAAGAAGCTGAGGAATCGGACAGGACCATCCGCGAGCTCAACGAGAAGTACGTTCATTCACCCTCTGGTTCCATTGCTGTTCCCCTTCCCTATCTACCCTCTACGCTTCCGACCCCTGATCTGCAGCCACTGACACGTCACCCTCCAGGCTCCGCCAAACCGACGTCAAGTCCGGCCACTACGAACGCAAAGTCCAAGCCCTCGAGCAGTCCCGCGACCAGTGGGAAACCAAGTACGAAGAGATGGCCAAGAAATATGCCGACACCAAGAAGGAGCTCGACGACTTTGTCAAGGAGATCGGTAACATCTGATCTCGCTGTCGTCTTCTCTCTTTTGCGGTTGTTGACTGTATCTAGTCGAGTTCTGAGTCGAGCTTCGATATCGTCTCTCTGCGGATGCCGATTTCGAGCGCGTGCGACAAGAGGAACGGTCCGTGGTGGCTAGTGGCGGAGGATGATTACTACGGCATGCAGTGGAGCTTGGAGAAGAGGCAGATTTCACATTACATTCCCCCGTACCCCCTACCCTACCCTAAACCCCTATATATCTGTTTCCTTCCTGCGGCTGCTTGCTGGGCGGGCCTTCGCTTTAGATAATCCCTGAGCGAATACATTGTTGGCGGTTCCTGACACACATTTGTCTTTGGTACTCACATGTGCTTTGCCAGGTTTGACCAAGGAGCGGTGTACGACCCACTGCATTTATGCAGTGGAATAATGCTAGACTTGTGCAGAACACGACCAGAGCAGCGCACCAACATGCGGGTTCCGATTGACTTCGTGAAGGGGTATCATTGTCTTGACATGTATAGTCACTAGCTTTCTTTCCAACAAGCAACACATCTGCCTGTTTACTTGTTCTCTCTAGCCTCCTTCTGCTTCCTCTTCTTCATGCCCTGCTTCATGCGCTCCGCCTTTCTCTCCGTCTTGGTCTCGTACCTAAACTTCTTCTTCTTCTTCTTTGGCCTCTCGCTATTCTTCGGCCACGCCTTTGTCCACACCCGCTTCTTGCTCTCTTCCTCCTCCTTTTTCCTCTCCTCGTCAGCTTTCCTCTTTGCAGCAGCCTCTTCGTCTTCTTGTCCCGGTGTTGAAAAACCCGCTTTGGATATGCCCACGCTTTCTATAGTGACGGTTGTGTATTTGTCCTCGTCCACGTATTCGTCTTCCTGGTTTATGGGCTCTGGTTCTTGGAAGCCTGTGAACTCTTCCTCATCATCGTCGTCGTCGTCGTCGTCGTCATCGTTGGCGGATGTTTCGCCTGCTTCGCTGAGGTCGCCGTTTGCTTGCTTGACGAGTCGGTTTACTTCTTCGACGTGTCTCTCTAGGTCGACTTTGCGCTGCTCCCGGAGCTGAATTGTAGGGTATCGTTAGCCTCTGTACTGGTCCGAAAACGACCCAGAGATGTGCCGGTGGCATAAGACGAACGTCCTTGTCGCGCAACTTTAGAGATGGGATGTAGCGATCATGTGCTTACCTCGCGCCTAAACCTTAGCTTCTCCTCCTTCTCCCTCTTCGCGTTCTCCTCTTGCGCATGCTTTATCCGCGCAAGTTTGCGCTTGTGGAACCCGGTGAGGTATTCTTCGCGCGCAGAAAAGTCAAACTCGATCTTTTCGGGGACTGTGACGGCGATTTTGCGCTTCTTCGAGGGCGGCGGCATGTTCCTCATGGCTGCAATCTGTATTGAATGCAATCTGGAATGTGGGGCTGGGCGTGATTTGGCTCGTTGCTGTCGCTAGATGTTCGCAGAGAATGGTGTCGGAGTTTGGGAAAATTACCTGGCTGACAGGGATCTGAGAGTCCAGGTGGGGCCGAGGTATTTTGGCGCTACGCCGTCTAAGGACTACCATGAACCTTGGAAGGCAGGATCGCGCTGTGATGGCAGTCTAATTGCATTCTGATCAATTGAAATTTATTGTTCTAGATTCATGGTGACTGAGAAGGCCCGTCGCAGCCTTAAAACAGTGATGCGCGCTGGGTGTGTCGACTCCCATGTGTCTATGCATCTATATGTGTTTTTTCACCAGCCAGGCTAATGCTTTCTTGTGAGGGAGCATTTGCACCATTGGATTCTTTGTCTAGTCCTAGAATCTTCCTCCGCCACGACAGTGATTCCAGGTGCTTCTTCGCCTTGTGCGTGATACACAGAGCTGGGTCGACGTCCTGAAGGCCAGTCTCTCCAAACATGGCAAGGACCATGAGACCTAGGAAAGAATGATACATGTCGGGTGGGTCTCCTGTGACTTTGCCGAATCCTCCCACGAGATGTTGCGTCTTATCTAGTAACCACTTCCGGATCGGTTGCCGATCGACAATATCTAGATGACCGAGGAGTTGTAAGGGCGTGCAGGTCCAGTAAGCATAGCATGTATCTGCTACCTTGTTACATCGACCATTCACCCCAACCCACTCGAGTTCGAAGTGAATGTGAGGCCGTCCTTTTGTGTTGGTTTTTGCCTGTACTGATGGGTAGGCGCCCAACTTGACAAACGTATGCGCGTCATGGCAGGTTTCTGACGTGTCTGTCTCGTCGTTCATAGTATCCAGGCTGTCGTCCTCGTCTAGAGTCAGCGTCTGCCGTGAGACGAGCCAGTGCAGCGTCTTTGGGACGTCGGTCACTCCGCGGATGACACCGTCCGGTTTTTGTGATGGAGGTAAGGGTAGACGATCCAAGAAAGCCAAGGCAGCGATGGCGCAGCAGGTGAAGCCCGCATGCGCTTCATGGTAGGGCGATTCTGAGATGCCGCCGTCGTAGCACTCTGCTTGTCGGACACACGTGACGAAGTTGTCAACGTTGATATCTGGTATACCCTCACACGGTCCCTCGAGGTTGCCTCGAAGTATCCATCTGATAGCTGTAGCCATGTAGCCGAATCTTGAGTCGTTACCGCCATGGACGTAGTCGCCATCGCCCAAAGTCTCTCCAAAGCTACCCTCTGGTCTCTGCATCTTCACCAGCCATGTTAAGATCTCCTTTCTCTTGACCCTCTCCAAATTGTCCCCCAGTACGACCAGCGTCAAGAGAGCAAAGAAGGTTCCAGGAATATGGGCAGGGTCCCAGTTCTTGTTTTCTTCGCTTCTGAGGTCGCCATAGTTGGACCCTGGCCACGGGCGGAAGCCACCTTCAGGCAGTTGGCAGCTGTAGACCCATTCGATGTGCCCATGTCGCTCCTCGGCTGACAAAGCAGCGTCTAAATCTCCCAAAATGTCGAGAGCGGACACGGTGAAAAGGGCCAATAGCATGCGGTTGGAGTCATTGCTGGTGTAGAAGTGCGGCAGCAGAGTCTTCAGGTTCCGCCGCCAGTACTTGATGTGGCGAGCATAGTTGAGTTGTGTGTTGGCATCAAAGGCCGCTGGAGCCATGATAGGAAGAAGAGGTGCGTGGACCCGGAGGCGTTTGCCGAGCGAGATCTCGGTCCCGCTGCGAGGCGTGAGTTTTGATGGCGGGGCTGACCTGGAAGGCCAAGGCGAATGTCTGCGCAGAGTATGTAAGACGGAGGAATGATTAGCAGGGAGGGTCCACGCCGGACAGACGTGGGTTTCTCCTGAATGCACCTGTAGTAAGGCTTGTTCCGCGTGCAGGGTTAGTCAGGCAGTGATGACGGAGCCCCGCAGATGCCGCGTCTGTGGTTGTTCGGAGGAGCAACTTGGTGGTTTAGGGGCCCTGGCAGGGCGACAGCATTGGCACCAGCCCAGCGACTGGCGATGATGCATAGACGGTAGTAGGCGCGGGCTCGGACTAGTCTACCACATCGTATGCAGGGGCCGCGCTTGGGGTCGGTGAATTGCGAGGGTATTTATATCGTCCGCTAAAGGCGAAATGTCGGAAGCGCGCAAGATTGGTAGGCCTGCCTGACGCTGCCAGGGCTGTCACGACAAACGGCCACATGCAGGGGTACATGAGACATCATTCAGCTCTCAGCTCTTCTGCAGTCGTGCCCCAGCTGCGGCCTGCAAAACCCTCCTGACACCGACGTGCCTCAGTCACTGACTGCCCTCGCTTCCCCGACGCCGCCGCCGCCCGTGTCGAGTACCACTGCACTGCGCCCACGCACGACGCACGACGCACGACGCACTGCCCGTTACGCGAGTAGCCTCTTCGTAGGGCGACGTCACCCACGCTCGAGCACCGGGCCTGCGCTTGCGTGTTCCCCAGACTCACTTCTCCGCGCGCTCACTACGGCCGTTGACCGACCACACCTGTACCCAACTTGGTTGTTTCTTTTTGATACCCCACTTCACACGCCGCCATGACGACGGGCTTTGCGGCCTCTTTTTGGTCGAGCGACTATGCTGGAGGTAAGCTGCAGGCGCACCCAACACCACCCCGCTCTGGCTGACTCTCGCAGGCTTGGGCGTCCTCTTTGGCAAGCTGCAGCAGGGCGTGCAGGAAAACCAGCAGATCCTGACCGTGGCCCGCATGCGAGCTGATGCCGAGGAGGCCTACGGAAACAGCCTGTCTTCGATTACACCAGCCACGGATCGCATAGGCGGGGGCTTTAGCAGAGATGAGGGCGCAAGCGTGCGCAAGGTGCGTGAGCAGGAGACACGACGACAGCTCCAGGCTAACTGGTACTAGGCCTACGAGGGCGTGCGCACCGAGATGGAGGCCGCGGCCGCGAACCACAAGAAGATTGCGTCCAACATCCGAGAGCTTGTCGTGAACCCATTCGGCCGCTGGTGCGATGCGCATGCCGCCCGCGTGCAGAATTCCCAGGACGACCTCCAATCGCGCATCAAGATCCACGACCGACAGGCCGATGCTGTCCGCAAGTACCGATCGCAATACTACAACAAGTGCCGGCTTGTCGAAGACCTGGAGGAGGAGGACAAGCTTGCCTTCCAAGATCCCCAGAGCGAGGCCGCACAGAGCCCCAAGATGAAGGTGCCCACCATAAAGATGTCGGAGCCAGAAAACGAGGAAGAGGAGCCCATTGATCTTGGTGACGAGACGTACCAGCCCGACCAGATCAAGAAGATCCTCACGCACATGCTGGACAACATCAAGATTGCAGAGGTCAAGGTTCCCATCCTCGGCACCTACCAGAACTGCTCAAGCGGTGCCGATATCACTGAATACATCCAGAAGCACATGGCAGCAACCACCGTGAGCTATGCCGAGCGCATTGGTCAAGACCTGGTAGCACATGGCTTCCTGCGCCTAGTCGGAAATGTGGGAAACACATTTGCAAACAGCTCCCGCATGAACTACCAATGGAAGCCCAAGACCTTCCAGGTTACCGGACTACCCGAGAAGAAGCAGCCGCTGGCCCGCTCTTCTACCACTATGTCTAGCTCCTCGGCCGACAGCATTGCCGTTGACTCGCCCGTCTCAACCGTGCAAGAATACCTCCAGGGGTGGAACCCACTCAACAACCAGTACCCGAACGAGACACCAGCAGAGAGGCTCAGGCGGGAAGCGCACGAGTCCGATGAGCGCTACAAGGCATCAGTCAAGAAGCTTGACTCGCTACGATGCAACCTGGAAGAGGCTATGGTGGATCATCTCAAATTCATGGAGCGTTGCGAATTGGACAGGCTGAAGGCCATCAAGGCGGTCATCTTGGATTTCTCTGGCGCCGTCAGTAACGTCATCCCCAGTCTGCAGAGCACTGTCGACAAGATGATGTTGTTCCAGGAGACAGTCCAGCCTTTGGGCGATCTCCGATATATGCTCGAGAACTACAGGACAGGGCCATTCGTGCCTAGAGTTACGACCTATGAGAACTACTACAACTCAGTAGACGGTACGTCACGCTGTCTATTCAGATGCAACTATATACTAACAAACACAGAACAAACATTCGGTGTAGACTTGGAGGCTCGGGCTCGCTCAGACAAGAAGCGCGTTCCAGTGCTTATTACAACAGTCCTCACCTTCCTAGACAACCACTACCCCGACTTGGAGGGTGACGAAGCTCGCCGTGGCATCTGGCTCGTTGATGTTCCTCTGGCGCAGACTCACACCCTCCGAGCTGAGATTAACACTGGGAAGAGGTTCCCTGACGAGCTGCTCGAGAAGTACGATGTACCGATCGTTGCAAGTGTCCTTAAACTCTACCTGCTGGAACTTCCTGGTAGGTGTCGACTCCCCTTCCTCAGGTCCCTTGCTAATTGTGTCAGACTCGCTGGTTTCTTCTCACGTCTACGAGATTATCAAGACCATCTACAGCACCACCGCTACAGATGTCTCCGAAGAGACTCGGGTCTCTGTTTTGCAATCTACCCTCGGCCAACTCCGCCTCGCTAACATCGCAACGCTCGACGCGATCTGTACCCACTTCACTCGTCTCATCGAGTTGACTTCGGCCGACGAGACTTATGTTACAGCACTGGCCAATGCACTTGCGCCATGCATATTGAGGCCAAGGCAAGAATCGAGTTTGACGATGAACGAGCGCTACAGCTACCGCCTCGTCCGTGACCTTTTTGCGCACAAGGATGCCATTTTTGGAGAGTTGAAGCGCGCGAGCACGCTCACCCACTCAGCCTCGGGCGCACAGCGTCCACGCGCGATCTCGACGGATGAGAGCAACCGACGAGCAAACATGGAAGAGCGCCAACGAGCCATCGCAGCTCAACGCTCTCCTCGTGCGGTATCACCAGCACCTGGTTCCCGTGTCTCTGGCTCGCATCGCCGTGACCGAAGTCAGACTCGATTCCCCGTGAACACATCGTCACCAACAGAAACACGAAGGAGCAAAGGAGATCGTGGCTCTCTTGAGGTACCTGGAAGCGACGACAGCCCTACCAACGAGGAAGCTGCTGCAACCACAAATGGTACAACAGAGCCTGCCACTGTTTCTGTGCCTGTTCCTGCTCCCGCTGAGCACCCAGCGCCATCAAGTACCCGGGTACCTTTCCCACGGAAACATGCAGGCAGCTTGACGAGAGGCAATCGGGACTCTACCGGCAGCTTGAGGAGTGACGACACAGCAGCGCCAAGAGGGGTCACGCTGGAAGACAAGCCCATGGACGACTAGTGGTAGACATGGCCTGACTCCAGCAAGCACCTTGGTTAGGACGTGGAAATAGGAAGCCTACACCGCCCGGCCCGCCCAGAGACTCCCATGTGTACGAGAAAGTAACGTACCGGGAAACTAGCTAGGGACCCTGAGAGCGAGGTAGCATGACGGGCAGTCGCACGGCACCTGTGGAAGAATGAATAGCGTATGTGAACGCTGTATGATAGTTTGGGACGGGAAGACTGGCGGCATGTCTGATGGTCGTATGTGAAATGCAGCATGATAATCACGAGTGTAGACGGCTATTACAATATCATGTTTATCTACTCGGCCCTGCTTGTTGACATTGGCGGCTCCGTCCGTACCTGAGGCTAACCAGGGTGACGAGGACGCTAGTACTCAGCTGTCAGAAAAGCCCAGACCCCATCGTCACACTCGCATGCTGAGTTCCAAGGCGGAGCAGCATGGAATTGACATGGGGGTCAGCTGTGTGGCTGGGCACCGGCTGCCCGATCTGTAGGACATATACATCCCCTCTGGTGACTTTTTCAGGTGCCGTTCGTTTTGTGCCTGTCAACCCATCTTCTCCAGCTCTCGTTGCGCTCGCTGAGCCTCTCATTCACTCGTGGTGCGCCCCGTCCCGCCCTCGATCGAACCCCACGTTGATCGTCGCGCGAATCACATCGCGATCGCATCGCAGCTTCCCACTTTTTGAGGCCTCGCTGTCACTGCATACCCTACCGAGAGTGAAAGCGCCATGTGTCTGGTCAAAGTCAAGCAGGAAGAGGACCACATTGTCCCTTACCGCGTGGTCCAGCGGAACCGCTCCCCGCCCCGTCGCCGCGCATCACGCCAATCGCGCGACATTGAGCGCCGCTATTCGCGCACCGAGATTGTGCACGAGTCTTCTCCACGGCCGTCAGCATCCTACGTCGCGGTGCCCTCGCCAAAGCCTCTCCAGATTCCCGCACCACAGCCTGTGCCTGTGTTTGTGCAGCCTCCTCCTCCACCCCCAGCGCCCATGCCGGCTCCACCTCCACCGCCTAGCCACATCTCCTCTCACCACACCCAGTCACGCCATGGCGGCGCGCACTACGTCGAAGTCTCACCAAGGTCTAGCATGAGTTCTCGCTCATCGAGCCCTGGCCGCAGCGAATATGTGTATACGGAACGTGAGGTCCGGCGTGAGCGCGAACGCAACTACAGTCCGGAGAACCCTCGCTACGAGCACTACAGATATGTGGAGCCTGCATCGAGCGAGAGCGATCATTATGAAAGATACCAGAGGCGCGACAGGAGCAGACAGCGCAGTCGCAGTCGGGGCGGCTATGAAGACCCCAGGGGCAGCTACACGGAGACTAACACCAGAGTTGCGTACAGGCAGAGATGAGTGTCTTGTTGAGGAACACGTTCCCTGTTGGCTTACGATTGATATCACTACTTATGTCTTGAAGGACTTGCAGCATCTGTTTATAGTTATGACGCGGTTGTTTATAGCTGTTTATCCAAACTAATTTACCTTTCATGTTCGACTGTTCGTGCTATGAGGTCACTAGTCATGCTGCACCTGGACGAGATGCACGAACCAGCAAAGACGTCGCGCCGCACTTTCCGAGACGGAGAGAATCAGCTCCACATGTTTCTCAGCCCAAATGTCGCGTTCCGGCTGCCGGTGTGCACCTAAGCGATAGTCAGGGCAGCCTTGTAAAGCATCGGGCACCAGTCGAGTGGTGTACATCTAGGGTTGCGATCAGCATCCAGGCCAACATTATCTTGCGAGCTGAGAGCAACCGTCAAAGCACACGTGCTTACTTGCCGCGACCGTCATACTTGCGCAAACGCCTTGACTGCCTTAACGTGTAGCGGAACCCCGAGCATGATCGAAGCACCCGCGCAGCCCTCCTCCGCCCTCGTCTACCTCCGACCATGTCTATCCGTGTCCTGATCAAAGATTACCCACACCGCGCAATCGCCCTCGCTACCTCGACCCACGCCCTCGTCCTCCGACACAGCTCGTCCACCACCGAACAGACTGCGAACCCCAATGCCTCGTCCACGTCGCTGGGGAGCAATGGCGCCGGCGTTGCGCGCTGCATGGTCGAGTTCACCCGGTTGGAGGAAATCGATCTAGAAGACTATCGCGCGCTGCATTCGGTCAACGTACACGGCACATTGGGCTTGATCACCGTCAACAGCGATATCTTCCTCGTCGTCGTCAATGGCGCGAGCAAGGTGGCGACAGTACGGCCTGGCGAGACGGTGCAGAGGATATACTCGGTCGGCTTCTACTGCCTGACCAGCACAAGCTACGATACCCTGCTCAACGACGAAGTCAACCCCTACCCCACGGATACAATCGACGACGAAGGATATGAGATGGGCTTCGGTGGCAGGAAGGAACAATCGCCCATGGAACACCCGTGTCTGGCGCTCAAGAAGATACTCAGCAGTGGAACTTTCTACTACAGCTCAGACTTCGACCTCACTAGACGTTTACAAGACCGCACAACCGATGCCGCAACCGTGTCTATCGACAGTCTAGACGCTGGCTTTCTATGGAACTCATACATGATCCAGCCACTGGTGGACTTTAGGAGTCGCCTTGCGCCGAGGGAGAAGGACGCTTTAGATGCTTCGGGGATCCTGACGTCTGCCATTCGCGGTTTCGCACTGACCATCACGATTCCCAAGTCTTCGGCCCCCATCAGGGTGCAGGACTCAGGCATGCCGTCCTCCATGACGCTCATCTCAAGACTATCCTGCAAGCGGGCAGGCACAAGGTTCAACTCGCGAGGTATCGATGATGATGGGAATGTCGCAAACTTTGTGGAAAGCGAGACAATATACTGGGCGCCATCAGGAGCTTGCTTCTCTTATGTGCAGGTGCGAGGAAGTGTACCCATATTCTGGGAACAGCAGGCTGGTCTCCTCCCTGGACAACAAAAAATCACCATCACCCGGTCACCGGAAGCTACACAACCCGCCTTTGACAGGCACTTTGATAATCTGGAACTCAGCTATGGCACAACTCATGTTGTCAATCTGCTGAGCAACGAAAAACAGAATGAATTAGAGTTGACGCATAGATATCGCGGGCATATCAGGAATAGCCCTTTGAATCAAGGAAGCGACATCAACGACCGGCAGCATGACCTCATCAAGCTTACGGAATATGACTTTCATGCCGAGACGCGAGGACCCGGTGGCTATGAGATGGCTAGTATGATTGCTCAGTGGATCCAAGGTTCTGCTGAAGGATTCGGGTACTATCTCTCTGAAGACGTGGAAGAGGTGGCCAGGCACAATGGAGAAGACTACGCTGTCCGCCGGACAATGAGCATACTACAGCAGGAGGGGGTCTTCCGAACAAACTGCTTGGATTGCCTTGATCGAACGAATCTCGTGCAAACCATCATCAGCAAGATGGCACTCGAAATCTTTTTGAGTCACAAAGGCCTTCGAGCCAGTCAGGACTTTTGGGTCAGACATTCAAGTATGTGGGCAGACAATGGCGATGCTCTTTCAAAGATTTATGCCGGAACTGGAGCGCTGAAGTCCTCGTTTACGCGATCTGGAAAGATGTCGCTTGCCGGTGCTCTGGCGGACGCTCGTAAGAGCGCCACACGAATGTACATTAACAACTTTGCGGATAAAGGGCGACAGAACACCATCGACATGCTCCTTGGAAGACTGATTGGCCAAGTTCCCGTGCATCTATATGACCCGCTTAACGACTATGTAGTCGCAGAGCTTACGCGACGATCTGCGGAGTATTCAGAGACGGAGATGATCAATATTCTTGTCGGTACATTCAACTTGAACGGAAAGACGAGTGGTATCAAGAGCGATCTTTCGCCCTGGCTATGCCCGGAGGTCGATCCATCACAACAGTGCCCGGAAATAGTAGCTGTAGGGTTTCAAGAGATTGTCGAATTGAGCCCTCAACAAATCATGTCGACAGACCCAGACAGACGCGAGGCTTGGGAGGAAGCTGTCAGAATGTGTCTGAACAAGAATGCCGAAAAGCACAGAAAAGACGAGTATGTCATTCTAAGAGGTGGCCAGTTGGTGGGAGCGAGTTTGTCGGTCTTTGTCCGGGCAGACTGCCTTACGCATATCAAGAACGTCGAAGGCGCTCTGAAGAAGGTACGTCCACATTTACTTCATCTTATGTATTGCGCTAAAACATACTCCAGACTGGCATGTCTGGTATGGCTGGTAACAAGGGAGCCGTAGCTATTCGATTCGAGTACGCCAATACCTCAATCTGCCTTGTCACGGCCCATCTCGCAGCTGGTTTTGCCAACTACGAAGAGCGCAACCGCGACTATAAGACTATCAGCCATGGCCTACGCTTTCAAAGGAATCGATCAATTGAAGACCATGACACTGTCATATGGCTCGGCGACTTCAACTATCGGATTGGCCTGAATAACGAGAAGGTGCAACGGCTGTGCCATGTTGGCGACCTCGAGACCTTGTACGACAACGACCAGGTAAGGAGTCATGTTTTACTTGCATGGACCATAGCTAACCAAAAGCAGCTTAATCTCCAGATGGTAGCTGGCTTGACCTTTCCGTACTATTCCGAGGCCCGCATCACTTTCCCGCCGACGTACAAGTACGATCTCAACAGTAACCAATACGATACATCCGAGAAAGCACGCATTCCCGCTTGGTGTGACCGTGTACTTCGCAAGGGTGATAACATCCGACAAATTCATTACAACGATGCACCACTTCGTTTCTCTGACCACCGACCGGTCTATGCAACGTTTCAGATACTGGTGCAAAGGGTCGATGAAAAGAAGAAGGATGCCATGAAGGCTACTTTGTACAAACAACGAAGAGAGGTGGTTGGCGATACCCACGCGGCGGGCCGTCTGGGTGATGATGAAACGGACGACGAAGATCTGCTTGGGTACGACAGCATTGAGCCAGGATTGCCGCCTGCGAGCTCAGATCGGAGGAAGTGGTGGCTCGACAACGGTACTTTCATCATCTTTCCCGCTATAGCTTGGATACTCATCTTCAATAGGTTTACCAGCGAAAGCACGTGTGGAACCACCATCTAACAACCACTTTCCAAACCCTAATCGGCCCAGCAATCCGTTTACGCCTAGTCCAGAGCCAGACTGGATAGATGTTAGGCATATGCCGAGTAGTCGCAGACCAGAGCCACCGCCAGCACGCGGCTCACAAAGAGCACGCACAGTCGACTTCAGCGGCCCCTCGACCAGTTTACCACCAACGCAGAAGCCCGCGGCTCGTAAGATGATCGCTCCGTTATATCCGGGTCATGCCACTCAAATCCTCGGTTCAGACGGTGCGCGAGACTCGCTCAGCGACCTCCGCCGCAGCGGCTCAGGCGCATCCACACACTCCCTTCCCAGCAGCCTACCTTACCGCGCATCAAATACGCTCCCCCAAACACAATCCTCCAGTAAACCACAAGTCCTCCGCAAACCAGCCCCACCACCAATCCCCAATAAGAAGCCCTCTCTCCTGTCCAAGGGTTCCTCTCCAGGACCAACCTTCGCACCCCCTCCACAACGTTACCGCGACGATCCCCCGGAAGAAGAATCGAGGGCATATCCTCCGCCGTCAGCTAGACGCTCAATGGCTCCGCCTCCTAATATGACAAGGAAACCTGTGCAGAATCTTATTGATGATGACGGTGACAAGCCGGCATTGCCGCCGCGCACAGGAAGTGGTGGGAGTAGTAGGAGGAATTTGATGGATGATGAGCCGGACGATATGCGTAATATGGGCGATTGGGAGGTGCTTAGACCTGTAAGGTAAAATGAGCTTAGCGAACGCAGATAGAGAAGGACTTGGATTGATTGTTCGGTCTTTGGATACCATTCCATTCGTACAGCACCGGATGCTCAAATCCACGTGCCCACGTCCGACGCCTGAGTGCTTTTAGAAAGTACTTACGTAGATTGCGATCTCGAGATGAGATCATGTTGCTTCGCTTGATTTGATCGTAATGATCTAATACTTCAATCTAGTATAAAACTAAACTCTTGCGTGACTGTACGCGAGTTGTGACAAGGATTGATGCGACTCCCTGTTCAAGTCACGCGACGACGCGTGCAGTCGCGTCAGCGCTAACCCCATTGACACACCTCACGAGCTCCACTCACACACCACAAGCCTCAAACAACGCGACTGCGCATGCAATACATGCACCCATCACAACATGAAGAGAAAAGGTAGCGCCCATGGCTGTGGAGGCGTCCGCAAGAAAGCAAAGGGCGCCGGTGACCAATCCACTAAGGCCATCGCTGTCAATGCTACTCATCCAGTCTTACAACGCCTCTATCCCGAAGTCCTTACTCTGCGCCAGTATCTGCTCTCTCGGCTTCCAAGCTCATCGAAGAACAGGTACCGAAAGCTTTCGCAACTTGGATGTGCAATACCCGCTGGAGACAAAAGCACCACGGATGACCTTGACAATGCCGTTGTGCAGTTGCTCGACTCAGCATTAGTATGCACTGCAGGCGTCCAACCACAAAAGGACAAACCAACGCGTTTCACCGAGGAGCGTGAAAAGGATATCGAAGCATTTACCCAGCAACGATCGCAAAGCACTCCGGGCGGCACATTCAAGCCGGGATACTACAGGCAGTCCGAGGTAGGTCATACGACGCATCATCTACCTATAGCGTTCTGCTCGAAGAACTACTACTAAGTATACCCAGATCATTGATTTCGTAATATGGCGCTTGTTCAAAAGTTCAACATCTCACAAACCAGCACACTTACTCTGCTATGGCTTTCAAAGAGCAGCAGGCAGCAATCGCCGTGCACAAGGGAACAACGATAATCCAAGCCCATCTATTCCTGGTCTGCAAGAACGCCTACCTAATAGCTTCGCGAAGACTTTGAAAGAGCCAGTATGGTGTCGATTGCACGCATTGCTCGGTCAGGGCGGCGATCGCATTATCATAGACATGCTTCTGGAGTGCTCCATATTCATCCCAGTCAACGCTGATACGGGCAACTACTACCAACTCTCTGGAGTTCCTGTGCATGAGGTGAAATCAGATGAAAATCAGAAGAGCAACATCGCAAGAGTCAATGCGGATAAGGAAGGGCCAACCAAGCCTTCACACCTCAAGATTGAAAGCAAAAAGCCTGGTGCTATTACATTTGTGCGCAGTCGCATGCTATACGCTAAAGCAGCGCTCAATGCAAAAGGTGGTGTGAGATTCGGCATGCGCCATATTCGTGCGTTCCAACTGTTCTTCGAGTGCTTTATTGAGACTAATTCCATTTGTAGATGTTCTCAATCGATTCACCAATCGAGAAGACAAGCAAGAGACGATACATATCATGCGGTATATCTTCCCCCGTCAATTCGGCTTGCACAACGTCTTCACTTCCAAGGTGGATCCGCGTGAGACAGCCATGCCTTTCAAGGACTACACGCTGCGCGAGAAGGATATACATACCGCCATGTGCCGGGAGCTAGGTCCCAAAGGATTAGATGCCCAGGAAATAGCCAAGTGGAAACAGCGAACACCCAAGAGACTCCGGGGTGACGCTGTTAAACTGGTGGACAGACTTCGGGTTCGCAACCAGCGGTGCTCGTATATGGAGATGCTTCGTCATTACTGTCCAATCGAGGTACTGTTCTACAGTGACATGTATCGGAAAGTCTGCTAACTCAGACAGGGGGTACCCGTGTCAACGAAGCCAGATTGGAGGAAGAGCGCTCTTCAGCCGAAGGCAGATGTACCATCAGTCGCGGATCTAGTCAATCGTCGCACAAAAGCGCGACCTTTTTCTGTAAATTCCACTGTTCAAGAAACCTGTTTCACAGATCTGGCATGTCCAGCAGCACATGTATCGGCCTTTTGTCGCGCAGTCATATCCAAAGTTATACCGGAAGGATTCTGGGGCAACGAGCATAACAAGCACAATCTCATGTATTGGGTGGACCAATTCTTAGACATGCGCAGATTCGAGTCGCTTAATCTACATCAGGTTACACAGCACATACAGGTACGTATTTCCCTACATTGAGCATAGAGCTATGCTGACAGATTCTAGATCACGAACATAGCCTGGTTGCGCCCACCCAGCCAAGACGACGACACAAAGGTAGCCAAGTCGGACATAGATAAGCGTACGGAGATATTTCTCGAGTTCGTCTACTGGCTCTTCGACTCTTTCCTCGTTCCTTTGGTCCGGTCAAACTTCCACGTAACGGAGTCCAACGCGCATCGGAACAGACTCTTCTATTTCCGCCACGATATATGGCGGATGTTGACAGAGCCCGCTTTGAAGGAACTACGGATGAGTATGTTCGAGGAGATGCCTACTGAAAGTACGGAAAGATTGCTGTCCGCACGCCAGCTTGGTTTCAGTAACATCCGTCTACTTCCGAAGAAACAGGGTTTCCGGACTATCATGAACCTTAAGAGAAGACAGCAGGTGATGCGATATGGGACTATGACTCTCGGACGAAGTATCAACTCGGTGATGACACCAGCTTTCAATGCGATTACCTACGAGAAGGTCAGTAGTAGCTGGAGTCGACTAATGTACTATGGCTGATCTGAAGCAGTCATTGCGTCCAGATAAATTCGGCTGCTCGCTCTTCTCTGTCGGAGATATGCTTCCCAAACTTGTATCTTTCAAAGCATCGTTGCGACAACGGGGACTCGGCGATATTCGGCTTTATTTTGCCAAAGTTGATGTTCAGGCTTGCTTCGATACTATACCACAGTCACGCTTGTTGCGTATGATCGACAGTCTCATGTCGATCCAGGCCTACAACTCCGGCAAACATGTGGAGATATCCCCTCTGGGCCCTCTACAACGTCTCGGCGGCAAACATGTGGACCCAATGCCTCTCAAGAAGTACATACCGCATACTGAGGCGGCGACGGGTGTAACGCCTTTCCACCAACTCGTGCAAGATAGATTGGCTGGCACAAAGGCCAACACCGTCTTTGTTAATACCAACTTGCAACGGCGCGAGACCAAAGATGACTTGATGCAGCTCTTACAGGAGCATATCGAGAGAAATGTCGTTAAAGTTGGGAAGCGCTTCTATCGCCAGAAGACCGGTATACCACAGGGCTCAGTCTTATCGAGCATCTTATGCAACTTCTTCTACGCTCAACTAGAACACGATGTGCTCAGTTTTGTGCTTGATGAAGATTCATTGCTTCTTCGTCTGCTTGACGATTTCCTCTTGATCAGTATCAACGAAGAGTATGCTCAGCGCTTCGTACGCGTTATGCACAAAGGACACCCGGAATACGGCGTAGTGATAAAGCCTTCAAAGTCGTTGGCAAACTTCGATGTCACGACAGAGGAAGGAGACCGGATAGCGACGAGCGGCTCAGATGGTAAATTCCCGTATTGCGGCGTCTGTATCGATACGACGACGCTGGAAGTCAGCAAGAAAACAGAACGCCCTACAAAGGCCAGTAAGTGGCATTGCGCGCATAACGTCTATGTGCGGTTTTATATGCTAACCGTACCAGGTGTTGAGGACTCTTTGACTGTAGATCTGACCAAAATGCCTGGCCAAACGTTCCATCGGAAAGCTCTCAAGTAAGTCTCCTCCGGTACGCAAGTCCGACCAATCGGGCCATGTACGGGGTGAAAAGTCCGACAGTTTACTGATTTCTGATAGTGGATTTAAAATCCAGCTGAAGGCCATGTTGATCGATCCATCGTTGAACAGCGTGGCAACCGTACTAGCGAATTTGCATCAAAGCTTTCTTGAAGCGGCGGTGAGGTGCCTCGAGTACGCACGCGCGCTACCCAAGGTGCGAAGGACGTGTTCGAATCTCCTTATCAGTACGTCTAAACTTTCCCATTGTGAAGCATCGGAATCCCAAACCATCGAGATGCACATGCGGGGTCGTCCCGCGGGATGCTGTGCGTGGTAATGAATGATGGTCTGATAGCACGAAAGCGAACACGGCATACGCCACGAGCGATCGTGATTGCGCCGGCTACGCTAGCGAAGGAAATTGCTGACGGAGGGAATTGCAGAGACGGTAGACAACACGATTGCACTAGCCCATGTGATGCTACAGCGGCGTTCACGCTCGCGCGGCAGTAGAGAGGCAAAGATTGTGCAGGGCGTCATTTCGCGGCGCCAGCTTCAGTGGTACGTGTGGCTAAGCTTCCGTGTTGCACAGCAAGTGGATGCACGATCTGCGATTTGGCTAGATCGTCTCCACGGTTTGCAAGATGACATGGCGGGGCTCGTATTACCGGTTTCCAACAAATGCTAATTGAAGGGATAGGCTGGCTTGTAGAGCTTTTCAGACGGTGTTTCAGCGCAAGCAGACGCAGCATCGCGCGCTGCTAGCCTGGCTGCAGACATGTCTCTCGGCAGCTCGCATGTCTGACATGGCGGAGAGACGCATGCTGGAGGAGGCAATAACTTGGCATTGAAAGCTTAATACGCTAACAAAAGCGGGTTCCAGAGATAATGCAGTGGCTAGGCATAGAAAGAAGATGTTGGGAGGTGCAGGTGTGGATGCCTGTGTGGTGACGGGATAGGAACTCGGGAAAAGCAAGCTAAGGATCTGTGGCCGGGGGCCCACGCTGAGCGCCCACGTTTAGCGGCGGCATGTGGGCACGACTGCAAGCCTTGGGCCTTGGCTGCAGCGCTGTCGGGAGTGACGGATGGACCGCAGAAAGGATGATGTCGTTATTCGTCTTTTTCTTGCATATTGCAGCGCTGGTAGTATTGAGGCAAGGCGCGGTAGTGTATAGGCGGACCACTACTTGCTCCTGATAAGCATCGCGTTAAGCAGGCGACAGCAGATGACAGCACGCGATTGGCCCGCAGAAGCTGGTATCGTAATGTCAAGCGTACATGCGACGGCTGGGACACCAACCCCATCCCAAAGAAGCCGGGGTCGACTATGCAGGCTCTCAGCAGATGGACAGCGTCGTAAAACGCCATGCTAGGCGCATTGAACCAGGGTCGGGCTGGAGAAGCATACCTGCCTCAGTCGGCGCCGTATTGGTTTTGCGGTTTCAAGCACGATTGCATCTCACATGTTGCCAAAACCTCGCCCTTTGCTCCCATGCCAGATCCCATTCCCAACGTAGAACCGACGGCTGCTTGCAATTAAACTCGACCAAGGCATCTTGCGCCGCTGACGGGTCCAGAGCACCGCGAGGCCCACCACTGGAGTCTATCCCTGTCCCCCGACATCAGGGGCTAGCGCGAGTTCCGCAAATTGCGTCGCCGAATCGACCAAGATGCCGGCGGTGCAACATCACCAGCGACTGCCTCCTGTCTACGAAGCGGGCGATAGCGAAGACTGCGACGCCGACGTGCACTACATCTCGCAGGCAAAGTCGCTGTACATTATTTCCGCGCATAGCTATGTGCCTTCATTAATCAAAGCCCCTTGCGACCGCAACGACAGCTGGGCGAACCACCACCGACTGCCTCACCGCATTGGCACACCACTCCGCATCGATACGCAGCGAAGACCGCCCCGACCGCTCATGGCCACCCTCACCTACGCCCACGATGCCCAGCAAACGTTTGGCGCTCCGCCCGGCAGCCCGCCTGACCTCACAAACTCAAAGTCGTCCAAGTCGTCGAGCATCCACTCGTCCACCCTGCTAGACTTCATGGGCACGACGGAGAACCTCTCGCACTTTGAGGACATCAACCTCGACGAAGCATCAGGTGGGCCCTCCTCCTTCCCCATGCCTGCGAGCCCGTCTAATCGCGTTCTCTTCGAAGCCCCGCGAGCCTCGCTTTCCACCAGGAGCCTCCAGCACTCGCACTCGGCCCACTCCTTCCGCGACCTGACGGGTGCAACCAAGCAAAAGTACCCGAGCCTCAAGGGCCAGGTCAACCACGCCGTACGCCAGCAGGCCCAGCTCTCCGCCCCCGGCAAGCAAGCTAGGAGAGGCTTCACCTCGCCCTCTGTCCCCTCGCTCTCAAGCCTGAGCCTTGCCGCGCCGCAACGCTCCTCGCGCTCACCATCTCCGTCAAACACACACAAGTCTGCTTCGGGACCCCGCACATTATCTCGCAAGAGCTCGCGGAACGATGTCTTGCCGTCCCCGGGCTTGGGCTCCAGGAGGCAGTCGTGGCAGGACTCCAAAAGAAAAACTGTAAAAGAAAGGGAGGCAGAGTGCGACGATGAAGACGATGAACTCCCTGAGGATGCTGTCATCTGGAATGTTCCCATCTCGCCGCGCCCCACTCAGGATCGGTCGCCGGCGTCCTGGACTGGAGAAAGTCCGCCATTAATGTCACCACATCCTGGCGTCTCTTCGTCTTCGAGGACATCTCCCGCGCCCTCTGCGTCGCGCGTCTCCCAGCGAACCCCCTCACCCAACGTTTCTAGCAGGGGCGTATCTCCCCAACCCGGGACACAGCAAAACACATGGGCCGAGACGTACACCGCGTTAGATACCGACGCCAAGTTGATCACAGAGAAGCTAGAGGAGTTCCAGTCTGAGTTTGAGCGGAAACAGGAAATTTCGAGGCAGCAGCCCGGTCTTACGCGTTCAGCATCTATGAGCCAGCCAGAGCCAAAGAGCAAAAAGCCCGCACTCCCGCCTGTTCGCAAGAGCGATCCTCTGATCGACCCTTTCCAGCCCTCAGTTGAGAAACAGAAGTACCTCTCGCGCACCCGACCTTCATGGCTCCCACCCAAGAACCCCAAGGAGGAGAAGAAGCACCTCAAGGAGTACCAGCGCATGTTGGCTCGTATTGAGGAAGCTGGTAAGTTATCTGCGCCTTCCAAGACTCCATCTGCAACAACAAATGACTAACAATCGCAGAACGTCTCGAGGCTCAACGCGCCCAAGAGGAAGCGCTGGCTCGTGAAAAGGCCAGCCGCATCAAGGCTGAATACTGGTCGAGCTTACTGCTACCAAATTGGGCCACCGAGATGACCAACTCCGAGCTACGTGCCTCTCACAGGAAGATGTGGTGGAACGGAATTCCCCCACGGTTGCGAGGCCAAGTCTGGCAGAAAGCGATTGGAAATGACCTCGAGGTCACAGAAGCGACCTACAACATTGCCTTGGAGAAAGCACGCAAAGAAGTAAAGACACATGGCCACGAAGCGCTCGGAGGCCGCTATGTCTACATTGTCGAAAGCACCCAAGCAGTATTCCCCGAACTCAAGATGTTCGCCGCACGAAGCTCGCAGGCTGCAGAGGACGAGCAGCCGCTGCATCGGGACCTTGTCGATGTGTGCCTGGCCTATTCGATGTACCGCCCAGACATCCCACACTCAAGTTTCGACATACACCACATCGCCGCATTGCTCTTATTGAACCTTGCCGCGCCGCAAGCCTTCGTCACTCTGTCCAATCTGCTCAACCGCCCACTACCACTGTCCTTCCTCATCCACGACCAAAACGCCATACACGCCGCCTACTCCACAACACTGCACGTTCTGTCGAAGAAAGCGCCTAGTCTGGCCCAACGGCTAGAGACGCTACGAGTTGAACCCAGAGACTACCTCTTCCACACACTTGGCTCACTGTTCTGTGGTCGTCTAGGCGTTGAGCACGCGGCGCGCATCATGGACATCTACACCATCGAGGGCGACAAGAACGTCCCACGCGCTGCCGTCGCTATACTCAGTATACTGGAAGGCAGCTGCATGGAGGGCGAAGCAGCGCAGGTTGCGAAGACACTTCGCGAGAAGAAGATTGAACTTGATGTGGACGAGTTCATGAACAAGGTGTTTGAAGCGGGCAAGAGCTCGTAGACTGATACCGTACATAGTCTTGGTGTTGGTTGATAGCAGCGGCAGTCAACAGAAAGTATTAATACCGTATCGTACAGTTGAGACAGAAATAATCGACCTATTGCAATAATCGACCATGGAAGAGAAAGAGAGATAAGAATGAGGGACACCAGAAAAAAGATCGACGATATACGAAGACTCATGCAGCGCGACTTGGAGCTGAATAACAACAACATTTACCTGTTATTTCCTATCATCTTTGCATATACAACCGGCGTTTTCGACTTTCCCTTGCGTCTTTGCATACACGGAGTTTGTTACTTTCTTGTCTCGTGTGAACCATGGAAAGGCTCGTTTTGCGCCATACAATCAATCATATTTCCTTATCTATCTTGTATATAACAAACGCAACTACTCTTAGACGATTGGGAGGAAGCGAAAACCGGGTAGGTGAGTAGCTGAGCTTAGAATCTATAATCGCACAACAAGTATGGTCTCGATCTTTCATTGTTGTATGTGCGAGACTGGTTGAGTTGTGTTTACTGGAGTGACCCCTCTTTTCACATGTCGAGCCCAATGGCGGGGGAAAGTTTATGTTAGTGGTAACGGTAACGGTGACGATAATGGGCGGGAGGCGTTATTGTGGCGTAGCTGATGGGGTGGGAAAGGGGAGTCCGGGAACTAAGGCTTCTCGGCTCTCGTATATAACGGGTGCGGGAGGGGCTTACCTGCATAGTGCTATGTTGCAATCTCCGAATAGATACTATCTGCTCGAGGCGTTTTTGTGGCCGCTGCTAGGTCATGGAATGTTGTGCGTTGTGTATTTGTGTTGCTGAGAGCTGGCTTTGGTATAGACATCTGGATGCCTCGGTCCGTGATCCACAGGTGGGCAATGGGATGACATGTTAGACAAGAAATATAATTTGGATAGAATATTTGAGTTCCCAAAGCAGCTATGGGTGATATGAAATGTGTTGGTATCATGATGATTGGAAGACACATTGTCGCAGGGTGACTCGTGGTTTCGGGAATATGAGGTGGTATTTGTTAAAACTTGCCTACGAACCACTCTTGCGAGATGAGAGAAGAATTGCGTAAAGAAATTCTCTTGGTACAACTTCGGGCGTTTCCTCCTCCATTGGGATGTTGCAGGTGAGGTAAGAGCAAGACGCAGGAACGAAGTGGCGCTTGTGATGAGGACTAGCGTCATGGCCACCTGCTGTCATAGATCAAGGCAGGCAACCACAACAAAAACACTCAACTTCAACCTACGAAATTTTCTCGCGTACTCGCAAACCCCCTGCTTAATAACACATTCACCTGATGTGCGGCACTCGCTTGGTCGTTCCATTCCAGCCATCATGCAGCTGCGTTCACAGCTGCATTTCGCATATCGGGTACTGGGGAATGCGCATGCATGTCACCTCACTTGGATGCAGGAGATAATGACTAGGCAGCACAACGTCCCTCTCACTAAGAACCTGGTACGTGTGCTCTTGTAGACCCTTCCTTCATTCTTATCATCCAGGATGACACGACGTGCTTCATGGCCTAATCTCCCACGAATGCGCCTCTATAGATACTTCGCAGCAGAGAACCCGGATGCGTGGTCTCAGTGTGCGAAAGCTTACTGTCTGAGATGTTGCCGACTTTTCAAGTCTTAATGTACACTTCGAGGTCTAGTTTGTTAACTTGGAAGCAGGACTTTTGTTCAGGGACCGTGTCGTGTTGCGCCATCGCGATGCTACATCTCTATCCTGATACGTGTTCGAATTGTCCAGCAACTACCGTGGTTCCAGTCATGGCTTGAGCTCGTTGTGTTGACAGGAGCTGCTAATGGAGGCTAGAAAACTTGAGGACTCTCAAAGTACAGTATCGGCATGCACAACGGTATGCGCTTTTCCGTTTTCCGTAAACGAACCATTCATGGCGGGAAAAGAGTGCGAAGAAAGCTTTCCCGTGCTCATCTTCCCTCTGTCATAACGACATCGCCTATAGTAACCCATGCAAAGATCCTTGAAAGGGAAGTAGGCACTCGATCAACATCGGGTTTGAGAGGATTGGAGCTGTTGGGAGAGAGCAAGGACTCCCAGGGTAGCGGTCGTCCGGGTCACTTAGCATAGGGGACTATGTCCATACTACCTTTGACTTTTTGGGCTGCTCCAGCGCCAGCTTCTCTGCCTCTTGAGATTGGGGCGAATTGTCAGATAGTTCTACTACGGCTGAAGCCCCTACCCCGGGTCATCCATCCTGCCAATGGCTGGTCTTCTGACGTCGTACACATAGACTTACGTATAATAACATTCATTGTACAAGAATCGGTATCTACTGCTCCATGTCCTAACACTTAGATCTACCTCGCCTTCTCCTTGTTCTCGGCCGCCCTTCGCTTCGCCCGTACCTCTGCCTTCCTCCTCTCTCCACCATCGACCTTGTGCCCTCTCCTTACTTCCCAAATACCCTCTTGCAGTCGTATGCGTGCTCGTAGACCTCCGCTTCCCTTGACTGGTTCCACAAAGCTGCCCTTGATCGTCTTCGCACCCTTTACGATAACGCCTTGCACCTTGGGTAATGTCTCGACGGGCTCGACTGGTGCTTCAGCACCGACCGGTACATTAACAACCAGCTTCCTCGTACCCGGATCATGTGTGGCCGTCGCAGCTGCGGAGCGGGGACTTATCGTGTTGCCGAGTTGGGGATTTGGCGGTACTGGTGCCTCAACAACCTTCAACTCTGCTACTCCGTCTTGAACGTGCTTGCAGTCTCCTCCAATTCCATACTCCCCGTTCCTGTACTTCTCCCGCCATTGTAAGAGATAACGTCTTGAGCGTGCTGGCTCAACGCCGAGTTCCTTCAGTTGCGGTGATGTGAGTGTGAAGAGGGCTTCCCAGGACGGTATCTTAGTTGCGTGTGCGGAGAGGCCGCGACCAATTGCGCTGAGGAAGGCGGTGTGATCGGGAATGAATGGTATCGGTTTGGGCACCGGGCGCATGGGAATTGAGTGCTGGAGGTTTCGTACGCATGTCTTCGGTATTGACACTGCGGATGTCGCATTGAGAAGCGGGCGCCTGAGGATCATGATGGCGGTTGCTGTGACATGGTTAGCATCTGTATATGTATTCCAGATTGGCATATATCATACTGTGTCAAGAATTGCCCGTCGCGTAGCAAAACCCCCAATTCGCGTTGATGTCGAAGCTGCAGTCGCCGTGATTTTCGGGAAAGCCAAGACGACGCTAACACCCGCGGCATCGCAGCCATCCAGCAGCCCCACGTCACCAAGTCTCCCAAAGCTCCACAGCTTGCAACCCAAAACACCAATTGGCAGTAGTAGAGAGTCTCCTATTGCACGCCTACCCTCATATCCACCATGTCCGGCCCCGAAGTCCACCACCTCTTCCACCATCCCATTGCGGACCATTCCTTCTCCGCCGACCGCCAGACGCTCGCTGTAGCCCGCGAGAACAACGTCGACCTCTTCCAGAAGACGGGCAGTGGATACAAACTCAAGGATGAGCTCACAGGTCACGACAAGACAGTTACCGGTGTAGACATTGCACCCAACTCTGGCAAGATTGTGACTTGCTCGCAGGGTAAGCTCGGAGCTATCTGGTGGGCTGGAGCAGGCAGCTAATGCAAGTGATAGATCGTAATGCCTACGTTTGGGAGCCGTCGCCGCAGGGATGGAAGCCTACATTGGTGCTCCTCCGTATCAACCGCGCCGCTACCTGTGTCCGCTGGGCACCCTCCGAGACCAAGTTCGCAGTGGGCTCTGGTGCTCGTTTGATCCCCGTCTGCTACTTTGAAGAGGAGGACAACTGGTGGGTCTCCAAGCACATTAAGAAGCCCATTCGCTCCACCATCACCTGTGTCTCCTGGCACCCCAACTCAGTTTTGCTCGCCGCAGGATCTACCGACGGACACGCTCGCGTGCTCTCTTCCTTCATCAAGAACGTGGACGCGCGTCCGGAGCCCTCGGCATGGGGAGAGCGCCTCCCATTCAACACTATTTGCGGCGAGTACTTGAACAACACCGCAGGTTGGGTCCACAGCGTTGCCTTCTCTCCCTCGGGTAACGCCCTTGCATTCGCATCCCACGACAGCACCCTCACCGTCGTCTACCCGAGCGGCCCCGAACAAGCTCCCCGCGCCATCCTCAGTGTCAGCACTCAAGTCTTGCCTTTTATGTCGCTCTTATGGAGCTCTGAGGATGAGATCATCGCTGCTGGATACAACTGTGAGGCCTACCGTCTGAAGGGTGACGAGTCTGGCTGGCAGCTTACAGGAAGTCTGGAGGCTAAGAGCCGACCTGGTCTTTCGGATCAGCGTGAGGAGAGCGCTTTGAACATGTTCAGGCAGATGGATCTCAAGGGCAAGTCGGGCACGGATGACACCAAGCTCAAGACTGTGCACCAGAACACCATCAACACTATCCGAAGCTTTGAAGAGAGCGGAAGCGGTATCACCAAGATCAGTTCCACGGGTGTGGATGGAAGGGTTGTTATCTGGACTTTGTAGGCACAGACTTCCAGTGGGTCAGGTTGTTGAATAGAAAGATCAATTGCCTCGCACATTGCCAGCGAGAGTGGAGTAGCATCTAGCAGCTCGGATATCAAAAAGAAACTCTGATCCCATCTACACGAATACTTTATATCGTACATGGCCCCACACTTTTCTCGTACACGGCTACGTATCTCGTAGTGAAGGTGAACGCGCCATAAACGCCTGTGCAACACTTCGTCCCTCAGCCAAAGCCAGGGAAGCCCTGTGCGTTGAAGTCAAGTGGTACAGTGGGCGCTGGTGGAACACCCGTACCCATACCCTGTGTCGTCTGCGCATCGTTCAAGAACCAAGACCAATCTTGATCAATATCCATGGGCATATGTTGCCACGAGAAGTTGTTCGTCGGCAGTGGGAAGTTGTTCATGCTGTCATCGTTGATCTGGGAGTTGAACGTGTCTCCTGCAGCAGCGCCGGTCGCCGAAGCATCATCTGCGTTGAGGTTGTTCCAGTTGTAGAAGCCGTCGTACGATACAAAGGGCGAGGGGTCGGTGAAGTTGAAGGCCGAGGTACCGGTACCTGCGGAGACGGACGTCTTGGGAGTGACATTAAGCGATTGTGTGGGCTGCGAGAAGACGTCCGAAGACGTCCGCGACGGCTTCTCCGACGTGGGTGTGTAGAGTTGTGCCGATGTCCCTGGGGACCTTGAGCTCCCCATGCTGGGTGAACGACCAGGAGGGGCTGGGCCTTTTTTGACTAGTTGGCCCCCTCTCTTGATGGAGATGGTACCAAAATATGGAATAACAAAGTTGGAATCTCCGGTGCACGTTTCGTCTAGCTCGTTGCTTGTGCCCTTGAACTTCCCCATCATCTTTTCGAGCACCTCGGCGGACTGAGCGGCGACTTTGCCTCCCTTTTCGCTTGATGCGCGGCGGAAGATGTCGATGCTTACTTCGATGAGGCGTACGTCTTCTTCAATCTCTTTTGGAGTAGGCCCGCTGCCTGAAGATTGGGAGACGATGCCAAAGTTGAGTAGGCCGATTTGGATAAGAACTGCAGCTGTGAAACCGATGAAGTCGATAGCCTTGCACTCGTAGAGCGGCTGAATGTGTCCCATTCGAAGAGACTGGTACAGCCGTAGTACTTCTCGTGAGCCGTTCAGGCATGCAGTTTTCGAGTATGAGAAGCGTGAGTTCGATGCTGCTTTGAGCATGAATGGCAGATGCAGGTACACACGGATCTGATGGAAGATAATCTGACCCATGATTCGCTCTCGCAGTTCTGCTGCATTCGTCTCCGCGTCGGCGAGTAACTCCGTGTAGTTCAACCATGCCGGATCGAACTTCTTCCACAGGTCTTCCAGTTCTTGGTCGAGCTGCAGTGCCCAGGCGAAAGACTGTTCGGCGACTCCCTGGTTTCGATCGATGACCCTCCCTGCAAGCTGTGAGAGCTTCGTGATACCGACCAAGGGATGGATGTATGTGCCGTCGCCAACATCAGGCATCGTCAGGTCGCAATGCGCGTCAGTGACACCGTATGGAAGACCCAGTAAGAGAGATAGGAACCGGTCGCCGTGGTACAAAGCCCACCAGATGCTTTCATGTGGTGCAGAGGATGTGCGCTTGCGGTGCAGTCCCTTTCATGGGTTAGTCATAGCTCGGCAGTTTGTGACAGTATGGACTTACCATGAGCTGTGCATACATCAAGCCCTTTCGATATGCGATCCAAGCTCTTCGTGGTTGACCTACATCCGCGTACCATTTGGACTTCAAGATGAGACACTCCAGGCCCTCCAAGCTTGCTGCATACTCATCATCGGACAGGAACCATCGGTCCACAGCCTCGATGTAGCGCTCAACATCGTCGTCATCTTCCGATGAACAGATTCCGACTGACAAGACAACAGTAGCAATAGCGCCAATGTTACCAGTCGTCAAGGCTTGCGCAGCAAATTGAGGCAGTGTTTGCTCAGGACCGGAGGTGCCACTGCATTTTCTCCGCCATGTCTGCCACCAGTCACTGTTCGAGTTTAGAAGTTTGGTGAGTTGATCGTAAGGCGGTAGCATCGCAATCAAGGCTTGCTTGCATTTCTCTCGTTTTGCGGAGTGCGCGATGGTGGCTCCAGCAGCTATGTCATCGTCGTGTCTGTTCTCTATAGTATACCGATCGTCAGCCGCTCCTCCAGGCTTTGGTGTTGATTGCTCCAAAGGGCAATTGCGGGCCTTCGCTTGCGCTTCAGCATCGTTGAGCTGTAGACAGTAAGTATCAGATAGAGCTTATAGTATTGAAATACATACTGCATCTTCGAACACAGAGAGGATAGGTATGTGATGACCACGGTCTGAAGCAGCCCGCTGATTGTTCGGCAACTGAAAGATGTTGGACGAGGCCCCTGATGAAAGAGGAGTCGGTGGGAAAGTATCCTTGTGGTAAGTAGTAGGCGCTTTTGGTGACGAGGTGTCGGCTAAGCTCTGACTTTGACTCCGGCTTTCTGACTTGACGGTTTTGTCTTCTAGCAACGTGTCGACCAAGGCTTCCAGTCGTGATACTCGCTCACGGAGATTCTTCCTGTGGTCGACAATGACTTCCGGGTTGGCATGTTCTTGGTCGATGCACCTGCTGCCGCGCGCGAAGCATTCTGAACAGACATCCGGGTTGTCGGGCTGGAAGATGCATCGGATCTTGCGGCGACGGCCTACGCTCCATCAGAAAGGTCCACAGTATAGCAATAATGAAAGATAGAGTAGAAGTGAATGTTGGCGTAATGGTGCACGGGAGAGAGAAGAGTAATAGTGATGTGTAGCAGTATGGTGTAGAGTGATCATTTAACCTAAGGCAATAACTGGATTCACATACATTCGAAGCAACTATGCGTACCCTTACGCATCTTTTTGCGTGTCGGTAACGTCTCCTCCTTGGGCATCTCGATTCGTTGTGTTCCAACCACCCAGATCGCACGAACCTAGCTCTTGCGACGAATTCGTCCGGACTCGGCTCTGCACGGCGCACTCCGGATCGCGGAAGTTGATGGATGTATTATCGCGTCCGCAACTTGTTCTGGCAAAAGCAAACGGACCCAGTTGATGAGAAATAAAGAGGCTTCAGTGGTAGCAAGAAGTCAGACGTAAGCTGCTGGCAGTGATGGGGTTTCAAAGCAAATCGAGGAGGTTCGGACGGTCTTTCGTCCGTTAGGTCCGTGTATTAGGTCAGCGAAGGAAGCTGAATAATGCCCGCTTAACGGCCGTACAAGGACTACTGCTGACCACGGAAACTTATAGTAGGCCAGGATTTCCAGGCAACAATGTTATCTCGCGTTTGCGGGCTCTCGGGGGTTCGGTCGAGTCGGAGATCCTTGACACCGTTCCCCATTTGGCGAAGTATGCGAAGAACGATGCGAATAATCTCCAGGTGTACGAACAGCGGTTAGCCGGAGGCTATGCTAATGCTTAAGTCGATCATGAAACGTAAAGTTTGCGGGTAATATCGTATGATGCGACTTGGCCGTAGTCGCGACCTCGATAATGCATGCGTCGCAATACGCGTATATTACCCCACGGGAGTCCCCGCGACCCTTGCTCACGATATAAACCTCTGTTCGGGAGGAGATGGGTACGCTGTCGATGGAAAAGTCTGGACCCATTATGACATCGTTTTCGAACGCTTGCGTGGAACGCGGTTGGGCGCAGGCTAGCAAGCCCTATGAATAGTAGGGCACCACACGTCATCCGTAGCCTGCCGCATCATACCTAGCAAGATCACCGTCTTACTGCCCATCTTTCCAAACCCAACGCTCTAACCAAAAGGATATACGGGCCCTGTTACACAGATGCTCAATATGGCACCTTGATTGAGAACACTGGATGAACATTTCTCACTCTACTATCAATTGGCTGCAGCACGCGTTCTGCTGAACACCATGTCTGCAGCACACGACTTCCGTCATAACCAGCATCTTCCACCGAGCCCACCGCCCTCACCCCCATCTACACGACGGAGACACAAGAAGAAGAAATCCGACCCATTTGAGGAACTTGCAACCACACCAATACCTTCGCTGCCGTCTTCTCCAGCAAACGAGCTGGACGACGAACATGAATCACTTTTGACACGAGTAAGCCAATTCCCACGACGAATCTGCTCTTTCATCCCTAACAAATCTCAAAGATTATCTTGACACCTGTATTATTCATATCCTTCCTCCTCTCCCTTTTCCTCGTCAACTACCGCAATCGCGCCCGCCGCACCGAAGCCCACTCACCCGGCTTCTCTCTCCTCACCTATCTTGCCCCGTCCAGCTGGCTCGATCCAGAACCCTACCAAGACCCCGACGATTCAACATGGGGCCGAAGAGGAACCATCGGACACGTGGAGCCTCATGACGCTATAGGCCCGCGGCCTGACGAGCAAGGCGAGGAGAAGCCCAAGAAGAGGAAAAAGAACAAGTCATGGCATCTGAATAGGAAGATTAGGAAAATGGCCAAGTTGGAGATAGGCGATGCGCTTGAGATGCGGGGGCGCATAATTGTGGTTATGCTTGTAGTGTTGGGATTGACGTGTGGCATGTTGTGGATGGGTGTCAAGTGGACTGTTGTCTCGGTATCGGGCATGATGTCTGGCGAGAAAGCGTGATTACTAGAACGAGATGACCGTTTTCGAATAATAATACGCATGATGCACGAAGCGCCAGGAAGTTTTGTTACATGTCTTGAATTGTCTAAACCTGGACTCCTGCTCCGGAATAACCTAAGAACTATGGCAAATTACGGGAACGCCAACAGAGGCCGTCAAGAGGTCGTTTCATCATCAAGATACAGTCGTGAGCGCATTACTCGTGAATGAAGAAAGAAGAAACGCCAATGCGTAAACGAAGACCATGTACAGTCGTCTAAGAAAGAAGGGTATCGCAGCCTTTTCAACGCCCAGCATAACTTGAGAGCCACCTCACCATGCGCTCGAGCAGAAAATGAGCCAAAGATCAGGGAGCAACGAAAGAGATAAGAAGCAGTAGTCGGGGTATCAATGCTTGAGAGTGAAGAGGCGCGCGACAAGCCGATCGAAGAAGTACCCCATGTCGGCATCTCGTCTCTTCTCTTTAGCTTTCTTGATCAGGTAGCTAGATGTGTCCTCTCTCTTGATAGCCTCGCGCAAGCTTTGGATAAACACATCTTCTGGCGTGCCCGTCTGGTGAGGCTGTATTGACTCGCCCTCCCAGTCCGGCCTGAGTCTAGCGTGGCAGCCAGAGAAGCACGCGATGTAGAACTCAAGTAACTCCTTGACACCATGATCATCGACCTCTACATTTTCTTCTGTAGTAGATGAGCGTGTGGTGTCGTAGCGGGTGTGGTACGGCAGCTTCGTGGCATGGTAGTGGATAGATTCTACCGTCATCAGAACAGTGATGAGAACAGCTAGGGCGATGGGCCATTCATCGCAGTTCTTGTTTAAGAGAAGTTGCTCTAGTGATGTGAGTACATCTTTCATCAAGCTGAGGGCAAGACCAGGCATGATCGCACCGAACTGCGAGCGGATGAAGCAAGGTGTGGGAGTCAGGTCCTTGGGTATGTTCATCGTACTGCGGATGACTTGTTCCAACATGGGGCTCTCGGGGCGTGATGGCAGTGTTATGTCGCCGCCAATGTGAACAAGTACGAGAAGCTTGAGCGCTTGGTGAAGTATGCGGTAGTGAGGAGATTTTGTTGAGAGGGATCGTGAGAAGACGTAGATGTCGCGTAGAATTCGAAGCGGCGAACAGTATAGCGGGAAAGCACGGAAGTGATGCGCTACCAACAGCGACAAGTGGGAGTCAAGGGTTTGCGTTAGTTGGAATTGCGCATCAGCTGTTAGTACAGCTGGAAGGACAGCATGCTTGTGCGGTGAACCACTATGAGGCTGTGGTGGCCATGAGTAGATGATGTGTTCGTGTACCAGAGGAGCGTCGTCGTTTAGTTGTACAGCATATACTGAGACAGGGAATGTTGGACCGAAGCCGAAGTTCAACGGAACAGTGTAGGTGACGTCTTTTGAGATTTGGAATCGGCCAGCCGGAACGAACGACTCCAAGGGTCGTGCGGTTGGATGCCACCCGAGATGGTCAGAGAGGAATGCCGCGGAAAGATCAATGAGCGTATGGTCCCGACACGGATGGTTGACAAGATCACCTTTGTAGTGATCGAGACAAGCTCTGCACGGAGTACCAGGATCGCACTTTTCTTTCCGCCGTTGACAATTGGAGCAAGCGCCAATAATGCGCATCAACGCTGCATGCCGGCGCTGCTCAGCAGTGAGAGCTCTCTTTCGTCCCTTTAGCGCTCTTCCCGGCATACCCTCTGTGCTAGTTGGGGCCAGCCGATTGGTCAATGGATTGGGTTGGTAGGATACCCATCCGTAGGCGTCAGAAGTGGGAGATGGAGTAGAGGCTTTACGGCGAGAGAGCGAGGCGCTTCTGGACAGTGCAACACTACGAGGGTAACGTGAAGTGCCTGGTGATACCGAGAGCATAGGAGGAGCTCTTCGTGCTGATACAGACGCTGTAGCTCGATTGTTGACGCTGTGTCCACGTGTAGTATCCGGGATGGCGATGGCTCTGCTACGACTGTGTAGATCATACTCGCCATCTGATCGCCGATAGGATGGCGGCATCGAACTGTAGCTCTGTGAGAAAGATTGAGGGATTGCGATAGGCTCGACTTCTGATCTGCCACCGTCGTCTTCTGCAATAGGTTCGATGATCCGTGGCTGTTCTGCCCATGTACCAACGTTCGAAAACAGCCTGGAATGCCTCATATCCAGACCGCTGAAGGAATGGGATGAGTCTGCAACATGAGGATTGAACACCGTTTCAGCCGTGCTCTCGAAAGACCCTGCCGATGAGGTGAAGGTTTCTGGGATACGCTCATATCGTGTGTCCAGAATGGGTGAATCGCTGATGGTTCCTAGCGGTGACAGGAGACTGTTATCGCAGGCACCGAACGATCCGAAGTACTGGCTATCTGCTTGTACGACGAGCGGGGAAGTGGATATCGTGTCAAAGGACATAGAACTGCCATGCACTTGTTCAAACGAGGACTGCCCATCTAGGATTGATGGTGGGGCAGACACAGTATACTCGAGCGAAGGCGGTTCATCGACGATTGAGGGCGGCGCTGAAACCAGGTACGCAGGCTCAGAGGTATAGCTTTCCGATAGTTGGTGGCCTGCAACGTAGCTGCGCTCTTGAGTGCCCGTGTAGTTGGTCTCCCCTTGGAAGAAAGGGTCGTACAATTCGTCGTCCCAGGCAACGAGATCCTGCCAGCTTTCGTTCGGTGAATCCACGTATGGGAGGCGAGACATACTTTGGGTTGGCGGTATCGCGCGTTAGGCTGAAGGGTAGGGTGCAAGCGAGGCTGGAGCAAGACCGTAAAGATCACCCCTTCGCTGGGGGTCTCATGCGATGAGCGACGACAGATGAAAGTGTGGACAAAACTGAATGTCAGAGGCTTTCACTGTAGGCTGGTGTCTGCGTAACATCAATCGATGCCTCCAGGCTGAAAGGTGGCCAAAGTTATATTCCACGCGCAAGCTGGGGCAACGTTGGGGTGCTGCGGCTGACTGCGCGAACTTGACTGCCTTGCATCAAAGGCCACCAGGGCAATTGACGAGTAGTCGTGAACGGGCTTATCACGTTGTTGCTGTTTATTAGTCAATGACTGGGACTTATTGTAAACGGCCGCAGGCGGTTGGTGCTGGAAACTTTGCGTCGATGGTATGATGTCTTAGGGCTGGTCGGCAGTGCCATCTGACCATGCGCGGGCCTGCAGCATGGCGGCCGGTCAACTCGATCTGTGATAGCCCTGTCACCGTGCTTTGCCGGCTACGTCTCCCCGCTGTGTACTATGAAATGGAGCTCGAATCAGAGCTTGCAACGTGAGCACTCTGCGACGCAGAGCCAGCGTGTCGGCTTTACCCATTTGCGCGAATTTGGTAGACCATGTCTAAAGAGGCAGGCTTCTGGAAAAACTCCGCCCCATCGTGGCTGTGGACGATGGGACTAGTTTGATCCACTCCGGCCGTGCGTATGCCTCTCTGTATACCAGGGCGTTGTTACACATTCTGTCTCTTCGACATTTCGACGAGGAGGAGGTAGGTGCTACGTCTCCAGGGCTGTCAGACACCGTGGTGGGGGTTGCAGAAGGGCCACTGTCTTTCGTTGTTATGCAGAGGCATCTGAGCAGGCTGAGGGTAAAGCCTACGTTTGCCGAGCTGGAGCAACAACTTGACCCTTTTGGGGAGACGTCAGTTGCTACTCTCTCGCGCGACGGCAAGACTGCCGCGCGGGATGGAAAACCTCGGTTCAAAGGTAGCGTTCTTTGATGCCCTCCCCAGACTGTCGTGAACAGACAAGCCAGGGTCAAGCGAACATCTAGCCCTTCTAAGTAAACGGCATCTCGAATGGACGCACTATGTATTGCCAAGCGAGAAGCAGCCTGACGTGTTGCCTTGTATGTCGGTCTATCACGGCATGCCACCATTACCGAGCCGTTAGAAGAACTGCGCCTTACGCTGTCCCTGCGCTAGATAGTGCAGTAGTATGTACTTGTATGCATGCACTCCACTCATACAGATGTGTAGCTAGCGAGCCTCACTCTTCTGCCGTATTTGCGGCTCTGCGCATTCACTTCCCCTTCTGCTCGAACACGATCCTGACCTAGACTGCCCTTCGCGACGGTCAATGCAAGAACCTGTCACCAAGATCGGACGTGAGGCGTGAAAATGCAGTAATGTTGACATAATTCATATTGAAGGACCCAACGCCGAGGGACGGAGCGGGTCCAGCCCAAGGGAGTATTAGGGCAGGTGATTTGGCCAAAAGATACCAAAACAAGCAACGCAAACAGAAGACGGCCGTAAGAGTACGTATATGCGAACAGTAGGACATACGAATGTAGAAAGTACAACAGGAGGAACCAAGTCCAGAACAAGACATGTACGAGTACATGCATACCGAGCCCACCCGAAACAACCGTTGACTTGACGTCGGGTATCATCTAAAAGGAAGAAATATGTGAAGCAGACTGGTATCGTACAAAGGCCGATCGCCAAACTACTCCGAGCCTCGACGAGGCTCTTTTCTCCCCAATTTTGTCAGACATCGATCATGTCGTCAGATCCCTGACTGGGTGTCGGATCAGAACAGGACCACGCGCGCATGCGGATGATGATGTCCAGATCCGGATCCCCGTCTAGTCAGGAAGCCTCGGCGGGAGCGAAGAATAAGACGATCTCGCCTCTGTCGTTCCTTCTGAGGCGCAGGTCCTTCCAGAGCTCTTTCTCCTCTTCCGCCTTGGAGGGCGCACGATCGCGCTGCTCGGAACGCTCGCGATGGTATCGTTTCAGAGCCTTGTTGACACTCATACCGCGCTCAGAGTCTGGTCCCTTGGTGATGAAGGACATGAACAGCCCCGCGCGCGCATCGAAGTCTGACGAGGCATGTGCGACGTCTCCACTAGGGCGCACAATGAGCTGGCCTTGACCATTTGGCTCCGGGGAGTTTGTTGGCGAACGGTGGTACTCAATGGCCTTCATGGGCTTGCGCTCTCGTGGTGCTGGTGACACAGAGGACGAGTATTGGCGGCGGCGGATGCGACGAACCTCCGTGGTAGAATCTTCCCGCTTCTTCTTGGGCCTGATCTTCACAAGAGCAGTGTTGGCCTTGCGCTCCTTACGCTCCTTGAGCTCCTTTCGGTCACGATCGCGGCCTCTGTCCTTCTCCTTCTCCTTCTCCTTCTTCTCTGCTTGCTCGCGTGCCTTGATGTCAGCCTTGCGCTGCTTTGTTTGTTCTGCCTCGTATTCTCGCTGCGCGCGCATAAGAGCCTTGGAGTTGCCCTGCTTAACGCGTTTCATCGGGCTCAAAGGCGAGTTGACGTAGTCACCTGAGTCATCTGGCGAAGGTGGGAACTCAGGGCGGGCAAGGAGTCTGTTCAGTCCTCCAGTAAGACCAGAGTGGAGCATCGCGGGGGCATCGGCCATTGTAGTATCCCTTTCCTCTTGGGCGCGGATGGCCGACATATCGAGTTCGCTGGGCGAATTGCGCTTGCGCTTGCGATCGGTCTTCTTCGACGTCGTCTCCACATCGGTATCGCCCGACTTTGTCCTGTTGTGCTTCGACTTGGGAGCAGGCGTGGCGTACGAGTCGTAACGCTCACGGGAAGGGCGAACTTGCTCAGTCCCGTACGAGAATCCGTTCTGTGCGAAGGACTCGTCGTCATCGGCTACCTGGAACTTCATGACGTCTGCGATTGCGGGCAGGTACTGCTCGTCGTATGCGGGCGGCTGACTGTCTTCGAGCATACGCGCTTCATCGATGTGCGTGGTCGTTCTCGGAACATTGGGCGTCGAGGAGGGGTCCAGGAAATCGAAGACATTGGGCGCTTCAATCGCGGCTTGCTCATGATAGCCTAGAGAATGCGCCGCTGGCGGAGGAGTGGGTGCGCGAGGCGGGGCATCCACGACTGCGACGGCGTTGCCATCGTCGCGCGCGTCTTCGACGTAGGCGTTGTGGGGAGTGAGTGCTTGCGAGTTGTCATGGTAGGCGCTGTCTCGCTTCTGCTGCGGACCCTTCTTCTTCTCTTTGTAGAGTTTGCCCTGGTACTTTTGGTCTTCGGTTATGCAGGCCTGTTTTACGTCCGTCAGCCACTTTGAACCATGAAAAGTCGAACATGGCGCAATGCGCAGTGCTGGCGCAAAACGTGCAGCGATCGCTACTCATTGTATTGACACGAGCGGATCGTCATATAGGGCAGGAGAAGTATATGCGTACCGTGTGGGATTTGTAAGAAGTTCCAGGGAAGTGCACCATGCAGTCGAGGCAGGTAAAGGACGCGCCATAGCATTGGTTGCGGTGGCCGTCAAGCTTCTTCTTTGTGAGGACGTCTCCACAGCCCTAGACCGTCACAGTCAGCATACAATGCATCTCTAGGCAGGGGCGCATGGTGGGGGAGGGTAAACATGGGACATGGGGCTCAAGTACCTCGCAGGAGAACGACACCATGATGGGAATGCGGGTTTCGATGGACAAGTAGCGGTGAACAGCTGGCAGACGGTCAATGGAGGAGAGGATGGAAGAGTCGGTGTGGGGAGGGGGCGCCGCGTCGTTATCACCCCTCGCTGGCCCAGGGAAGGTTTCAGTTGTTTGGGATACAACAAAAGTCGGTATAGCGCTAAGTTGCTTTGGGAACAGGCCCCTGTGACAGTGCGCGCCTCGCGACTATCCCGAAATACATCAACTGACCGCGCATCGCAGCTGCAGCCCGTTAGCGCCTGCGAATGGCTGCACTTGAGCCACGCGCCCGCCGAACTGGTGGGCTTGGTGGGCTGCCCATGGCCATCTCTCAATGGCTCGCCGACCTGGAGCATCGCCGTGCCATGACGCACTCGTATCACACACGGTCCAGAGGGGCACAGTGTCGCAGGTAGAGTACTATGCTTCGTTCTACTGTCCTTCCATCATGCTCGATAAGGCTATCTGTCTGGCGCACATCTTGCCTGCGTGGCTCTCCTCGCGACAGGGCTGCTCCTGTCCGAAGGCTGATCTCTCGAACATTCATTCGCTAGAGTATGCTAGGGCAATTTCGAGTCCGGTTTACATCCCACCACCACCAAAGCCACTGCGAGACACTGCCGTGTGAAACCCCGCCCACGATCTCTGTGATCTGCCGGGAAGTCCGGAGCTGCTCCGTCGATATCTTTCAGCTGTCGTCTTGACTATTGGCTTATTGGCTCCCTCCCAAGTCGCGAGCAGCCATTTGCGGCGTAGCAGGTACCCGCAAATAATGCTATCGTGACCAAGACGCGACCCGTCTGCGCAGCGCAATGTCTCGGGCATTACGCATCAAGTCCGCTGCGCCATCCAACCCCAACCTGCATGCAAACACATCCTGGATGTTTCAACATGGGGCTTTTGCGGTCGTAAAGGATACATTGTCAAGTGTATTCTTCAAGGCGACGCGCTTGCCTGCTGATCTCTCTGCCGCTCTAGCGCTTTATAACCCGGGTCTCATGCAGCTGTGTCTTTGTTCGATGTCGGATCGTCGTCTCCACACTGGATGTTGGTGTAGGCGGTCAGTACATGTCTCACATGTGGTTCGTACAGGAACAGTACTTACACCGCAATCATACGCGTCGCCTATATCTTCGCAGTTGAACTCCGGCTTTCCCAGCCGCTTGTTGACGATGTTGTGTACGTAGCAACCCCACATAGCAGCCGCTGTCCGTGACGAGACCTGGGGAGGGTACTTGGCAAGTACTTGTCCGAAGTGCTCTGCGCATTCTCCGCTGAAATCTCAGTCAGCGCGTGACCTCTATGTATTGAACGCCGAGTAGTGTAAGACATACCAGGGGTATAGGCGTTGGAACAGGTGTACATATGACCGCAGCGCCTCTTGCTCCTCGTCGGTAGGGCTTTCGGGGAAACGAGCGAAGGTTGTGTGTAGAACTTTCCACGCGGCGCGACCAAGTTCTGCCCTGCATTTGCTTGTTAGCCTGCCTCCTGTGTTGTGTATGGTGCCCGCGCAGGCCGTGATGCACCTACTTCACCGTCGCATTCTCTAGTTTTGGCGCGATGGCATGTCCTGTGAGCACAGCTTCACTGGTACGGCCTAGTTTCTTCTCGGTCGATGGCGATGCTAGGTGTGCTGGTGTCACTTTGTAGGGTCCTACTAGAATAAATGAACAGAGGGCGAACACGATTAGGGCAAAGACGACGAATCTAGCCCGGAGGCCAGTAATGCGGATCATTGTAGAGTAGGTATACTAGTTCTCTGAGACGAGGAAGCGATGTGTTAGGGTGGCAGGAAGCGTTCCATGGTTCACGTAGGATGTGAAAGGCTGTCGTCCATGGCCACGCACTCGATGCCTCAGATAACGCCAAGCATTGGGGCTTCGCAGCATCACGCCCGAGTGGTCCCACCACGCGCGGGTAATCTGCAGGTACATCTGCGCAATCGAAGCTAGTTCGCATTGGAACAACATCTTCAGGGCTCTCTGCGATGGGAAATCTACAATTTGCGGCGGGTGGGCTTTTGATATATTGCGACGGCTGCCGGGGGATATTACCGGGCTACGTCATCCGATATCGCAGTAGGGCTGAGCTTACTGAGCCTCCGAAAGCGTTCAAAACTTTGGAATCACCAATTGACTGACCTGCATATTGACTCGCACCTCAGCACACGACACCCTAAACCACTTCAAATAAAATAACAATGTCAGACTTTCCTCCTCCACCAGTCGATACCATTGGTATGTCAATTGCTAACCCGGTCGTCGGGACGTTCCACACGCCGCAAAGACCCGCGCTAATTCAACCACAGACTGGAGCAACGTGGGCTTCAAGATCCGGGAAGGTAAGGCTTACCCTGTTCCGAATGACTTCAGCGCGTGGCTGCGTTCAAGTGTGGACGAGGAGGCAGAGTCTACCTCTGCAGCGTACTCTCAGCCCCACCATACAGTCATCTATATGAAAAAAACGCATTTGAACATCTCCTAACTTTGCAAAGTCGCTGGCCATGTTGAATCACACTACTCTAAAGAGACCGGGAAATGGACCCCTCCAGTCTTTGTCGAGGATCCATTCCTACGTATTCATGGTATGGCACCGGGCCTAAATTACGGAATGCAGTGCTACGAGGGCATGAAGGCTTTCCGTGCACCAAACAACACTATCAATATCTTCAGGCCGAACAAAAACGCTGAGAGGATGCAGCACTCAGCGTCTTTCATTTCCATCCCGGAGGTGCCGACAGACCATTTCCTCGCCTGCTGCAGTATGGCCGTGGGAATGAACGCGGCGTATGTACCGCCCCATGAAACAGGCGCCGCAATGTATATCCGACCACTGCTCTTCGGTAGCTCAGCGCAACTTGGCCTGAATCCGCCCCAGGAGTACACCTTCGTAGTCTACTGCATCCCGACTGGTGTCTACCATGGCTCAAACCCAGTAGATGCAGTCATCCTTGAGGACTTTGACCGCGCCGCGCCAGAGGGCACTGGATCGGCAAAGGTTGGCGGCAACTACGCTCCAGTATTACGGCATAGCGAGAAGGCGTACAAGGCAGGCTACGGCATCACCCTGCATCTGGACAGCAAGACAAGGAGCGTTGTTGATGAGTTCTCAACATCTGCCTTCATTGGCGTAAAGAAGGACGGCGAAAAGGTCAAGCTCATCGCATCCAACAGCAAGAACGTCATCCAGAGTGTCACAGGAGACAGTGTTCTCAGAATCGCCGAATCCTTTGGCTGGGAAGCCGAGTCGCGAGAGGTACTGCAAGCGTTCTGACAATGCGTACATTGAGCTAACAATTCCAGATCGCCTATGACGAACTCAAGTCCTTCGACGAAGTCCTTGCTGCTGGAACCGCGGCGGCTCTTGTGCCCATAAAATCCATCACTCTGCCTTCCAAGAACGACAAGTTCACATACGCAGAGGCACAGCAAGAACCAGGCCCAGCATGCAAGAAGCTCCTCTCAACCTTGAAGGGTATCCAACAAGGAAAGATCGAGGACAAGCAGAGCTGGTTGTTCAAGGTAGAGAGGCCAGAGCAGTTCGGAAAGCAAGACCGGGCAAATGGTGCCAAGATAGTTGGACAACTGCCTTAGAAAGACGTGTCAAACAAGGTTCAAGCGTATACCATATAAAAATCGCAAGAGTCCGAATGATCGCCACCAAAGTTACAACCCGCACATAGTTGAACTTTTACATCTACACGAAGGATTTGTGAATAGTGTGACGCTGATAAAAACAAACATGGATTACATGTCCGCTTTTGCTTTGTCCTATACTTAGACGTGACTGTTACAACCCAAACACCCGACAGCAAGACCACGCGCTTGAAACGAAGAAGACGATCACAACACTCGAAACGCGGAGCTTGCAACGGCAACCACTCGCGTTAAAGGTGTTGGTGCCCCAAGAGTATAAGTGCCGAGGCGGCCAGAACTATTTCCTCGACACCCCCACGCAGTCTAGCCCCATACGCATACGTCATCCCTGCTTTTCACCCGCAGAACCCACCTGCATCTGCATCATTCGAGCGCGCGTCTACCCAGCAGTGCAACGAGGCAGACACCCGACATCCCTACCCTTTCGCATACCCACGAGGCCCGAATCCTTGATTAGTTCGTCGGTAGTTACCGCCTCGCACAGAATAACTGGCACGCCGGTGCCACACGATCCCTCGATAGAGTCACATCGCAACCGGGTGCAACATGCCTGGATCGTTTTCGAGGATTCGCGACAAGGCGAGGCGCCACTTGGGTGATCCTAGTCCGGACGAGGCCTATCTTTCTTGTGAGTCTGCATCGACAGAGTGTAAGAGGGTGAAGACTGACTGAGAGTAGATCACGATGTGAGGGGTGTGTACGCGTCGCCTATTCCTTGACTTGCGCTCCCATGCGCTTTTGAACATTCGACAATCATACTGACGACTGCAGTGACGCGAGCCGATCTGGACAGTATCAAGTCTAATGACTGGCTTACGGACAATGTGCGCATACCACTTCTCCCCAGTACACCACAGTCACGGCTAACACATCAACAGGCAATCGCCTTCTGGCAAGAATACCTCGAGCGGGAAGAGCTCAACGCCTTCCCCAAAGCATCCATCGTCCTCCTCCGCCCCTCCATGTCCTACATGCTCATGCAAAGCGCCGAGCCCCTCTCCCTCAAAGAAGTCCTCCCAAACTTCAGTCACACGACCCACGTCTTCCTGCCGATAAATGACAACATCGACGTCACACAAGCCGAAGGCGGCTCGCATTGGTCCCTCCTTCTTGTCTCTATCATCGACGGCGTGTCCTTCCACTACGACTCCATGACCCAATCTAACGAGCGGGAAGCACGGAGTACGACTATGAAGCTGGAACAACTGTTGGGTAAACGACTGCGGTTTATCCCTATGAATGATAGCCCGCAGCAAGAGAACGGCAGCGACTGTGGCGTCTTCGTTTGTGTGCTCATGCGGCATTTACTGCTTAAGAGGCTGCTTCGGGCCGATGCAAGCAAGAAGGTTAGCATGAGCATGCGGGATGCACACATCAACGCGAAGGATGGACGGAGAACTATGCTCAAGGTCATCGAGGAGAGGAGAGACGAGGGCAAGCGGAGACGCTCGTAAGCTTCCCATGCCTGAGTACGACTATAGAGCAGAAGCTAACAGTTGTGCAGAGGAAGCCACTCGCCGTTTAGGAATCCCTCCGCCCACTCCAAGAGCCCGCCACGCATAGGCGACGAACAGTCGCAGGAGCGTTAGTACCCGCTGTGATTTGTATCGAAGGAATTTCCTTGCCGAGCCCTATGCGATGGAGATGAAGAACACAGCCTGTTCTCCTGTGTGAACATAGCACTACATACACTGCGTCCACGGTTATACATACGCGAGCGAGCGTAGGATACCCCTCAATCGGGAGACAGACTGAATGGGGTCATGAATTACGATTTACGTGTTTTATGTTTACGCAAATATACGAATTGTTGGCATCAGCACTGGAGTTGATAATATTAATGGAAATGCACATGATAGCATCTCTGCATCGCGAATTGGGCTAGGAATATATGCGCATTCGAGCCTATGTGCATGTCTAGTCTACGACAGATACCACTAACCAACGTGATAGCGCCACTCATGCATATACAAACGTGTCCAGACGCTTCCTTCCAAATCCCAAAGCCCACGAAACAAGGGCTGCGCGTTCTGCATGTTCCACAGAGTGCTCTAATCCAATCAATAGACATTTAAGTCGTCTTGTCTTCTGCCTTGGTTTCCACCGGCTTAGCTTCGCCCTTGGGCACAAGATTACCGTTGTCGTCCCGCGGTATACGTTCCCAACCCGTCTTAAACCTCTTCTTGCTTGCGTCAAAGCGAGGTAACGGATGCGCCTCAGTGTTCAGTACGATTTGGTCGAGAGGGAGGAGATCGTCGGGAGAGAAGAGGAGGTACATGTATTTCAGTGTCTCGGCCTGCATGGATGTGTTAGTAAACCCGTCCAGTACTCTTAAGAAAATTGCAGACGACGCGGAAAGGAACTTACAAGCCAGAAACTCTCCATGTTGTCTCGGGATGGAGGAGGTATCTTCGTGACATCACCGATACTGGAGAACCCGCCATTGTCCTCTACGATGGTGTGCTTGACAAAAGCTTCAAACATGTCCCAGCCCCATTCGCGGTAGATATCATCGCCGGTTATGCGCCACATGTACAGGAGTGACTCTACGGTTTCTGGCCGTTGGAGGTTATGCGTATCAGCTGGCTTGAGGTCGAAATCGCTCTTCCAGCCCTCGCCGTCGGGAACACTGGTGTCGAGCTCGGATTTGGACGTGAGGATCTCGGTGCGGTACATCTTGGGTGGGTCATCGAGCTGGAAGTATGCGATTTCAGGGGCGAGGCCTGTGGCGGTTACTTTGTACATGCCCATGCATGTCTTGGTAAGTTCGCGGGCGAGGGTTATGTCTTCTTCTTGTGCTTTGCCCCAGGTGGGTAGTTTGCGTGCATCGGCGAGGGGGATGCCGCCGGTTGCGGCGAGGGCGATGGTGCCTGGTAGAAAACAGACGAGGTGATCCATCTTGGGGTGCAGTTTGCCTTCGATACCGCTTGGCCGCTCTGCTAGGACAGTAAAGTGGCTATTCTTCGTGTACGTGAGGAGATGCTTCTTTGCGCCGTTGAGCGATTCGTTCCACATCTCTTGGTAGACTGGTTCTTGCTTCTGGGTCTGCAGGTACTGCTTGATAAGGTACTCGTAATAGCTGTCTCCACGGCTGCCCCATCGGATCTCGTTACCGCGGAAGGTGCCTTTGTCTGCGTAGATGAAGATGGGTAGGAGACCGTCTTTGGCGCCGTTGTCGTCCACGACTTTCATTACTTTCTCAGCCACATCCCAGTAGTGTGCCTCACCGGTGAGGAAGGCCAGGTATTTCATCTCGAGTTGGAGAGTAGTGGCTTCAGCGGTAGATGACGCACCACCGTCAGCGTGCGAGGCTTCGCCTTTGGCGTCTCTGAGGATCACACTGGCCCATGGCACACCCGAAGGTGACTCGTACGCGCCCATGAGACGATCAGCTAGGTCGGTAGCCTTCTCCAGGAAGAGGTCCTCCTCGTTCGAGTTCTCAGGCTTCAAGCCTGGAAGTGTCTCTTGCAAATAGTGTGCAGACAACAGACCACCAAGCATGCGTATAGTTGTTTCGAAGGTGTTGACGTCCTGTTTCTTGTCATAATCAAGACTCGTCGAGATCCATTGCCGCGCGTGAGTGAGTTCTCTGGTGAGATTCATGATCATGAGCGTATCGAGCGCGTCCACGATGATCCAGCCCAGACCGTTGGGCTCAGCCATGTATCGACCCTTCTTCGAAACGGGGTGGTACTCGTCGTAACCCCAGCCATGCTCCTCGTACGCGTTCCAACTCAGCAAGAAGGCGTCCTTGACTGCTTGTCTCCGCTTCTCCCAGTCAACTTTGCTCTTCTTTCCGGGAGCACTTCCGCCTATGTTTGACAACAAGCTCTTGCCCCTATCCTTCTCGTCTTGTACTGTGCCCACAGTTGTGCCTCCACCAGACCAGCCGAACCAGTAGAACAGCCCCAGCACGACCAGTGCTATCAGCGACATGCCCCTCTTACTCCGCAGGAAGCCTTTCCTTCCCCTCGCACCACCGCCATATCCATAGCTTTTCCCTGAAGGCTTGTCCTTATACATTGGCAAGCCCTTTTCGTTCCCCGGTAGTTTGCTCCAAACATTATCTTCAAACTTTCGTTGCGCGCTCTCGAAATTGGGTACGTTGCGCGGGATGGCGAAGGACATATCTGAGTCCTGGATCGCCTGTTTCGTGGCCTCGACTGCCTGCTTGGTCGATTCGACGGCTTGCGAGGCTTTCTTGTTGGCGGCGTTCTGGAGGACGGCGAAGGCGGAGGGTGTCTTGAATGCTGTTTTGCTGCGGAGGTTGAATGGGTCGCGTGTCGAGTTCATGAGGCAGCGCGACGCGTAGTGCTGATTAAACAATAGACCAAGCGGAGCGAGTGTATTTCACCCTTGCGAAGTCTGATAACTTGACATCTTGCTCCAAACTCCAATCGACTTGGGAAGCAATGCTCAAAGCGCCCTCTGACTCGCCAGGTGTTCATTGCTCACCCCCGACGCAGATAGCTTGGCTTGACAGGGGTCCGCATCTCAGGAAACCTCAGCCACAGCGGAGTTCAACGGGGAAGCTCCACCCTCACCTCAGCCTCGTTGCGACTCGCAAGCATCGCTCTTTCTTGTGGTACACACTGTATACGCGTATTTAGGCACAGGCACAACCACAGTCCCTTCCGCGACCCCAAATTTATCCCGCCACAATGAGACATATCAATGGTAACTGCGATGCGGCAATGTATCCTAGAAGTACTCGAACATTGTTCTCATGATCATCGCCTACCCTGCCGTATTTCTACGATTACCGCGTCTTGTCGTCATTGCTATTTACGCGTTACGTGATGGCGTCCTACACCAAGGACGAGATCCGCTTCCTATTCTTTGCCCTCTTTTCCTGTCTACCCTTACACCGTTGCTTTCGTATCGCTCGCACACCTTCGCCGCCATTGAACAGGACAGAAACTCCTAGTATCGGAAAGTCGCAACCGAGAGTGCATCTGCGCAAGAGCAAGACGAAGCAATACTCTTCTTCTACCATAACCATCTCACCCAGCGAAACGCAATGTCAGGCGCAAGCATGAAGCGCATTCAGATTACACCAGACGGTTCGGGTCCCCCTACAAAACTCGACACCGACGTTCCTACCTCTTTACCCGACGCCAAAGAAACCAAGATTCATCCCCAGAACGCCCCAGACGCTTCAACAAATGCCTCCCTTTTCTTCGTTGGAACTGCGACTACAATCTTGGAGTGGGAAGGCATCCGCATTCTCACTGATCCCAACTTCCTCCATGCTGGCGACCATGTTCACCTAGGACCAGGCGTCGGTGCGACGAGACAGACAAACCCCGCCATCGATTTGGAAGAGCTACCGAGAATCGATGTGATCTTGCTGTCGCATTACCACGAAGACCACTTCGACCGAGAGGTAGAGGAGAAACTGTCAAAGGGACTCCCGATCATCACTACACCACATGCCAAGGAATGCTTGACAGGCAAAGGCGAAGAGTCGTTCAAGAATGTGCATGCGCTCGACTTCTGGAACAGCTTGCTTCTAGATGTATCGCAGTCAGACCAAACAAATAGTAGTGGTCCAAAGCCCAGCATCAAAGTCACAGGTGTACCCGGAAAGCATGTACCCCCAGGCCCATTGAACGTCGCGAATGACATTCTTGGCGCTGTACCACCTACAAATGGTTGGATGGTCGAACTCGGATACTCGAATGGTTCTTCTAGCGATGGCAGCGATTTCGAGAATGGATACAGGATCTACATCTCGGGCGACACATTGATGGTGGACGAGCTCAAGGAGATCCCTGAGCGGTACAAGGATCAGAACATTGATCTCATGCTGGTCCACCTGGGAGGCACTACCATTCCTGGGCCTAAGATGCCGTTGCTGATGGTCACAATGGATGCCGAACAGGGCGTACAGCTGATGCAGCTCATCAACCCCGACCTGACGATTCCAATCCATTACGACGATTACGATGTGTTCCTGAGCCCGCTGGATGATTTCAAGAAGGCGGTGCATGCGGCGGGTCTGGATAGCAAGGTTGTGTATCTGGATCGCAAGGATCAGTACAAGTTCAATGTGAAGCAAGGACAGAAGCCGACGCAATAGCTGTATTAGTAGCCCTCTCGGTAGTGACTCTGTAGCTAGCTGTTCAGCAAAATTGACCATGATACATGATGATTCTTGGTGCACGTCGGAAACAGGCTGTGGTCTTCGGAATGAAGTTTGACTTTTTTCATTCCTGGTGGTAACCCAATGTGAAGGGTTCCGTGATGCCATTGAACAAAATTTATCCGTTGAGACGCCGTCCGCCCATGCCTTCGTGCTTCGTGCGCATCGTGCGTTGATGTCCTTGCACACTTCTGTCCTCAGTTCCTCATGCGTTCGATCCGTTTATGCGGTGTGCTTGCCCTTGGGGTTCTTCTTGCCAACGTCGGTGATGGTAAGACCTGCGGTTGTTAGATTCGTGCCATTGGCGCTGGAGTATTGGGGATGTGCGTACCCGGGGGCAGACTCTGCTTGAGCTTCTCGGCCTTGTCGGTGTCCTTAAGGACGAGGGTGTAGACGTTTGTTGAGCATCGGACCTTGAACTTGATGTTGTTGACCTTCTTGTTCTTCTTTATGCGGGCGGCTGTAGTAATGTCAGTCCAGTGCTCTCCTCACGTTCGCTGCCTCGATCGCCGCAGGTCTCTGCAGCTCGCATTCATCGTGCACAATCCCTCCTCGTACTGCAACCGCAACTTCTCCCGGCGAAAGTGGTAGACGTACACTTGGCATCCTTGCGCCTGCAGATCTCGATGAACTGCTTGATGTCGGAAACTTCGGAAGGCATCTTGACGATTTGTGTGTGGACGGGTCGTTGGAGTTCGGGATCGTGAAGTTCGGAGACGCCTAGGCACAGGCCAAAAATGCTGTGGACTCGCTTGAAACGCACGGGCTGTCATGGGGCTGCCCGCAAGCGTTGCTGCTTCGGGCCTGGTGGGGTGACGACGAGTGTGGCGTAAACCAGGAACGCCATGGCTGCGTTCCATGAAACAGTGCTGCCTACAACCCTATAACTGCTGCAGTTCTTATCGGATTCTTTCAAGCTCTTCCTGTATCTCGGAAACTCCTGACTTCCCGTCTCACACGCACATACCACCAACTTTCACCTTTCAGCATGCCGACCCCCATCGATCGCGCGGTGCAACAACGTGTAGGTTACTCATGGCTCTCCTGGCATCTACTTTACATAGTGGGCCTTCTACATGCCGACTTGATCATATGCTGAGATAATGTAGGGCCCGTTCTTCGCGTTTGCTGCAGTCGTCGCTGGTGTAGCAGCGTGGAGCATTTGGGGACAAGACATCTTTCCTAGTCAAGACCCCACTGGCGGTGCGTTATTCTATACCATTTCGAAACGTTGAATGAATTCATACGGGACCTTTCTGACAGGTTTCAAGACCCAGAAACATGGACACATGATCAATGTGTTACCTGGCTCAAGCACGTAAGTTCTCTAAAGCCTCAGTATGACGAAGGACACATGCTACCGATGGCTACCTTTCAGCTATGGATTGCCTTCTTTAGACTGAGGCATAGGCTTTTGGTCGCGTCCATGCTAACGTCACGGCAGAGGAACCTACATCCCTCCCCCGTCGCAACAACCGCTGAGCTACTGGAGCGGATCAAGGCGAACATGAGGGTAGCAAGGGAGCGAACACCAGGTCAATGAGCACATTTAGTCCAAGATGTCTATCCAATCCAAATAAATTGCAGGCTTATTTACAGACTTTCCCCCATAACTCCTGCAGAACATCATGGTAGTCGCTCGGCTGATGCATCGTTAACCGATCGAACGTCAAATCGACCCCGAACACCTCCAGGCCTCACCCTGTTTTTGGCCACATAACTCCTGCAAAATATCACGGTAGTCGCCCGGCCATCCCATCGTCCATCCGTTCAGAGCATAAAAAACCTTGACTTACTCCCGGTATCACCAGCTCACATCAACACCGTACTCCTTTCAACATACCTTTGGACCGTTTCGATACTCCACTCTCATACTAGTTGCCACCGTCCGCCTTCTTGAACTCCTGCAGGATCTCAACACTAGCGCTGTAGTGCTCTGCCTCCTCGGTATAGGCACTCTCCTCTTCCATCACGGCTTGATTAAGACGGTCCAGCTCTTCTGCCATGCGCTGCTTGTAGGGACCCATCTGTGCATCGATTTCAGTCTGCTTCTTAGCAGTCTCCATGCGCCTCTTGCGCATGTCCTCGAGTTTCCTGCGCTGGTCTGCGAGCTGGCGCTCGATAGAAAGCGTTTTGGGTGTAGGTGAGCGCGGGACTGAAGGCTTAGTAGGTGCCAAAGGCGTCGGAGTAGGCGTTGGCTTCGTACGCTTTGGTTCTGGCGCTGTGCCGTTGATAGTTGAGAATGGACGCTTTTCCGGTCCAACTGCTACGGGGGGCGCATCCGGCTTCTTCTGACCGTTGGTAGTGTTGGTAGTGATAAGTGCTGGTTTCGCGACCGCCTTCTTTGCTGGAGTGATTGGCGTTTGCGGAGGCTTCTTTACTGGGGCAAATAGCGACGGGGGTAGCTTTTTGGTGGTCGCCTTGGCTACGGCTACAGATTTCTCTGCGTGCGCATTTGCAGGCTTAGTGCTTGAATCTGTGAGGCTGGGTACTTTCGCAGTCATATCGGCCGTCGGCACAGAAGGCGGGTCGACGATGTTCTGTGTGGTCTTCTCGCCATTGTTACTGAGGGTGGAGGTAGAGGTGCTGCTACTAGTGTCTCTGTTGGCAACTGCCTGCTTGGCCTCCGCAGTTGGTTGTTCGGAAGGCGCCTGGGTCTCGTTCTGGGTCTCTGGGTTCATGGTGCTCTCAGGAGCTGCCGCAGGAGGTACTTCGGGGGTCGCAGTCTGTGTTTGATCTTTAGGGGATGACATCGTGGTAGCTTCAGAGGGATTTGGTGGAGGCCCATATTTCTTCTTGATGGGGCTGGACATCTATAGGTGGATGTCAGGAGTAGGCAACAACTAGGCTGATTATGCCAAGGTGATGCAAAGATTGGGGCAATGGTAAAGATAAAGTTAGGGAACTTTCTCTCTTACCTTCGGGGCTGACTGTGTGCTTTTCACTGGAGTGGAAGGTGTGCCCGCGGGCATGGGAGATTCTGATCGCGACGAGGCGTCCCCGTCATTCTTCGATAGGGGCTTTGCGCCTATGGTCAGAGAAGGAAGAGTTTCCAGCGCTAGAGTATGCGCTTCGCCTATATCTTTGTCGTCAGGGTCAAAACTCATGACCATGTCGCGGTCGAGAATGTCCTCTGGAGCACCATGTTAGCCGCACACTTGAGAAGAGTTAGAAAAGCTAACCTTCACTGCGATAGTGGAAACGAAAAATGGCCCATGGCTCTGAGCCTGGACGCTTTGCATCTGCCCTACGCTTGTGAAGGCTTGGCTGTGTCCCCTCCAAGGGAGCCGTATTTCTCTCCAATGACATCTTGAGAGTTGGAGGTATCAACTTGAAGCTTGCTTTCTGCTCGGTTTCATCCGAATGATCACACTCAACGTCACTTCTGATCTCGTAGTATTTCTTGACGTTGTTGACGTGCGAAACACCCAATTGTCGTGTAATGTACAGACGATGCTCCATTGTTCCGAAGGTTTCAGGCCCGCCGTCTTGTGTCATAACCACATCCAAGAGAGGAGCCACTGTGATTTCGGTATCGATGATGTCTTTACCAGTCTTGCAAAGGAACTTCTCAGTGTCGATTTTCCTGTTGGTCTGTACGCTTACAGCCTTTGCGACATACGAATGGGCCTTGCGTAGAACTCCGTCTACAATAGTATCATACGCTACAGCCAGAGTCTGGATATTTGTTAGACTCTTCTTTCGGATTTTTGCAGGTATTTCGTACGGTGCCCGTGAACCTGCCGCCGATTCGAGGCTTGTGACCCTCATCAATGGCCACATAGCAGCAAATGGCCTTGTCTCGTGGGTCAATGTATTCTCCGTACTCTTCAAGCGGCGCAACCCGACCTTCGACATAGACATGAACTTGTGCTCTTCTGTCGCTGCCCTTCTCGATGACCTTCATGTTCGAGCGAGTTGTTGTAAGACTTAGATTCAAAGTGATTGAGGCGTATCTCGTGACGACTCGATACCCCGCGCAGGCTCAGAATGGACAGGAAGTGGAAGCGCAGCAACAGCTCAATTGAGGGATGCGGAGGTGGCAAAGGACCTAAGGCCGATGCGACCGGCTTGAGTGGGTGTGTATGGACTGGTAGAGGTTGGGTTCAGGCAGCGGATCAGATCTGGTTTCGCGAACCGGGTCTCATATGAGCACTATCGACAGTGTTGAAGGCGGAGAATGTCTGGCACTATGAGTGCTTCTACTACCGACGGTCGCGCCTTGGGATTGCGGTCGTCGTGTGTTCTTGGAGTGCCACCAAGGGCAGTATGAGTCCGGAGATGAAGGCTTGATATGCTGTTGAGGATGATAGAGGATATAGTGATGAAAAGGAATGGGTAGAGTGGAGGAGGTTGTATCTAATAGATCAGAAGACCTGATGAAGATGGCAGAGCAGTGAGGTGAAGGTGAGACTAGTCTGGGTGACACATGCTAGAGGAACGCTGTAATTCCAGGGACTGCCACGCCCGGCATATTCCAAGTGAGAGTCAATTCAGGAGCGCTCATACACCCAGTCAAACGCGACGGCTGATATAACTGGAACAACTCGTAGAACACACCAAACCTAGACTGCTCTACGGAGCAGCACATCTTCAAGAGCCCACATGCTATATGACTTGCAAGAGCAAGCCGGCATGATTCTTGGTTCTGCTCTCAGAGTAGACTGTCATAACCGACTTGAAGCTTTTCATCCAAGACCTGTGGGCTCTGCCACCCCTATGGCATGATATGAGACGGGCATGTAGCATGCTGTGGGAAGATTACGTTGACAGCACCATTGTGCGCTACTAAAGTCTACTGACTCCACAAACGTGCGCTTTTCTATGGCTACTTTTCAGACGAATTCTGGTGTAGGATGAGATACTCTGTACTATGCGAATCGTAGCCCATGCGGATCACATGCAAATTCACCCGTGATAAATCACGCAGGCACGGTGACTGTGAAAACCTAAAGTATAGTCTGGAGTGGAATAGCTGCGAAAATGGGGAGAAGCAATATCGGGAAGAGTGAAAGACATTGTTGCCCTGCGTCGGAGATAATAGAGAGAGCGAGCCGCGGCGGAAGGACGGATGTGGTCATTTGCCAAGCGCGGTTTCTTCCTTCGGTTCGGATGCATTTTCGGGGGACGGCAGCTTCAGCTTGTTTCTCTCCACCTCAAATCCCTCACCACCAGCCCAACGCCGCAACTCCAGCATGTTGTCGAGGACCTCTCAAAGAACAGCGCAGGTACGAGCATGTCTATGCGCCCGCAATTGGCGGGCGCGGTGGAAATCCGAGTGCTAATGCGCCTGTGCAGACGCTCCTGCGGGGCGCGAAGCCTGCCTCTCGATGGGCACCCGCCATGGCTACCCGCTGTACGAAGACCACGTGAAAGATCCCCAAAAATGCAGAGTCTAACGCGGCGACAGCAATGGCCACGGTTACCCAGGACATCTTCAAGCCCACCAAGTTCGGCGGCAAATACACCGTTACCTTGATTCCTGGTATGCGCGATAGCCGCCTATAAATGGACATAGATTCTGAACATGCGCAGGTGACGGTATCGGTGCTGAGGTCTCCGAGTCGGTCAAGGAGATCTTCAAGGCGGACAATGTTCCCATTGAGTGGGAGCAGGTCGACGTCTCTGGTGTCGACTCTGGCAACGTCCACTCCGAGGAACTCCTCCGCGAATCCATTGCTTCGCTCAAGCGCAACAAGCTCGGTCTCAAGGGTATCCTCCACACGCCCGTCGAGCGCTCCGGCCACCGTTCCTTCAACGTTGCTCTCCGCCAAGAGCTCGACATCTACGCCTCCATCGTCCTCCTCAAGAACATCCCCGGTTACGAGACGCGCCACAAGGACATCGACTTCTGCATCATCCGTGAGAACACCGAGGGTGAATACTCTGGTCTCGAGCACCAGTCGGTCAACGGCGTCGTTGAGTCGCTCAAGATCATTACCCGTGAGAAGTCGGAGCGCATCGCCAAGTTTGCTTTCGCTTTTGCGCTCGCCAACAACCGCAAGAAGGTCACCTGCATCCACAAGGCCAACATCATGAAGCTCGCCGATGGTCTGTTCCGCAACACCGTCAAGAGGGTTGGTGAGGACTACCCCACTCTCGAGACCAACGACATGATTGTCGACAACGCGTCCATGCAGTGTGTCTCAAGGCCCCAGCAATTCGACGTCATGGTCATGCCCAACTTGTACGGAGGTATCCTCTCCAACATCGGTGCTGGTCTCGTTGGTGGTCCCGGTATTGTCCCCGGTTGCAACATGGGCCGCAACGTCGCCGTTTTCGAGCCTGGATGCCGTCACGTCGGTCTCGACATCAAGGGCAAGGACCAGGCCAACCCCACTGCTCTGATCCTGTCCGCTGCCATGATGCTCCGTCACATTGGTCTCGATGACCACGCCAACCGCATCTCGCAGTCCGTCTACAAGGTCATTGCTGACGGGTGAGTTCAAATTTCCAGTGAAGAGTAACATGTGATTGACATTTTCTAGTACCGCCCGCACACGCGACATGGGAGGCAACACCACCACCCACGAGTTCACCCGCGCCGTTCTGAACCAGATGGAGAAGGCATGATTTAGCCATCGTGATCTTCGTGTTTGCTAAGCTTTGATCTAGCGCGATGATACCGTCACATCTAGGCCTCGGCTCACATTGGGTTAACCTAGGGTATGGAGCAATAACATTATTTCTTAACGATTGGACGCAACGGCACTTGTACAACTACCAGCTGGAGTGTGAATAGAGCTGTACTTGTAGGTGGTATATAGCATGCTGCATGATTGAATTGACCATTCTTATACCCTCGTGAAAATGCCAGACCCAGAACTCCGTGCTATGCGTAACATCGTCATCGTGATGTGGGTATATCTAGAATTGGATCCTCCTCTTCCGGCCAGTGTACTTGGACGAGGCCTTGACGACCTTGCCTTGTCTCTCCATCTGCTCCTTCTTCTTCATGATGTATGCCTTGCTGCCTTTGCGTTCCTCGCCCCTCTTCATGCCCTTGGCCTTTCTTCGAGCATCTTCGACGTCGACGCCGTCCATGCCCCTCACAACGCCTGTAATGTCGCCATCCAGCGCTCCACCACCCACAGTCAGAACGAGATACGTCTTCGCGCTCTTAGTCCCCATGTCATCCTCCAAAAGACCCGCACCGAAACCAGCCTTGATCGCGGCCTGCGCCACCATCTTCTTCTGCGCGTCGTTCTTAGGGTAGAACTGACACACGGCCCTCCCTCCCCTCTTCAAACTCGCATAGAGCTGGTTGAAGAACCTCGATAACCTGCCCGCAGGACTCTCCTCGCTCGTCTCAGCATTGCACAGCCATTGAACCGCACTGATACTAATCGCCGCATCGAAAGTTCCCGGTCTGAACGGCACACCCTGCCCCGCGTCCGCCAGCAGCAAATCTCCTTCTACCTCTTTCTCCAGCGCAACGCCCAGCATGGATGCGCTGATGTCGAACCCAATCCACACGTGTGGGCCGCCGGGTGTGCCTTGCTCAGCGGAATGTGACAGAATCTCGCCACTGAGACCGGAGCCGCAGCCGACGTCGAGGATCATGGATGGCGAGGTGAGCGCGAGGAGTGAGAGGGCGCGGTGGGTCATTGTGGACTGGATCTTTTGAATACGCGACGAGGTTGTGTATTTCCGTGATTCTGAGTCATTGTAGAAGAGGTCGGGCGGCCTGGAGAAGTGTAAGCGCTTTGTTCTTCGCTATGCGATTTGCGGTGTTGGGAGAATTGCGTACAGGATGTCTTCAGGGCGTGACATGGTTGCGGTTGTGGACTCTGACTTGTTCTACAATGTGCCGTAGTCTATTCTTTATGGATTTGAAACGTGGAGAGGATTTGCGCAGTGATTGTCGAGAGCGAGCGCGGTCTGTCAGTTGCTCGACGCACCGCAAGCCAAGAGTTCGCACGACTTTTTGGTGTTGCACCCCACACTCTGCCGCGGGTCCACGGGTTTCTCCGCTAGCTCTGATGCCACCTTTGGACTGACCTCATCGTGCCGCGGCCAAACTTCCAGACTTCATCCCTCTTCGCATCCCCCTGAAGTGTGTCAAAAGTCAACATGTGGATACTACCGCTGCTTGGATATGTCGGCGTTATCCTGGGGTTCGCGTTCCTGACGCTTGCGATAGGTACTTTGCTGTGATGCTCTTGGTCTGTGGTTCATGGGGCTGACGCAACGTAGCTTCCGGCCTGTACTACCTTTCTGAACTCGTCGAGGAACATACCGTCTTCGCGAAGAAACTGCTCTATCGCCTCATTTATGGCGTCGTCGGCATACAAGTACTCCTTCTCGTGGTCGATAGGTTCCCAATTGGACTCAGCGCATTGAGTGTCGTGTCGCATTTCATCTATGCGCAGAACCTAAGGCGGTTCCCTATCGTCAAGCTCACAGACCCACTCTTCTTGGCCTCTTGTGGTATGCTATGGTTCTTGGAAGTCTCTACCGGCGCAATGCTGACCATCGTTCCAGCTCTTGTAATCGCGAACCACTACCTGTGGTTCCGCCACTTCAGTGCTCCACCGGCGAGCTCATACTCCTCGTATCCCTACTCCCGCGATGCCAACATCCCCACCTTCACCGAAATCGCATCCTACTTCGGCCTTTGCGTCTGGCTAGTCCCCTTCGCCTTGTTCGTATCCTTGTCCGCCGGCGAGAATGTTCTTCCCTCGATGGGCTCGGAGTACGCGACCGGGGACGGTAGCACCTACATTACGCCAGGAAAAGCACCAGAATCATACGGAATTGGATCAGGCGTTGGTGTCGGTGGAGCCAGTAGCAGTATGGAGGGAAAGAGGAGGGCGAGAAGTGGAACAAACGCAGGCATGGCGAAGGCTGTCGTCACTGGTGTCAGAGAGTGGGTTGGGGAGACAGGAGAGGTTATGGGACTGTGGAAGGGTGAGAGGACGAGGCCGTCATTCTAAGAGCTGGGTCTCTATCGGATATGATTGTACGAGTAATGTGGATGCTTCATGCAAAAGATTGTCGCGCATTGGTCGGTTTCCTACGTGCCTGCACTTGTGTCTCTTCACCTTGCGAAACTCGCGTCATCGTCGGGAAAAGCGCCAAATGATATAGCGCACGCGACCTCCAAACCCACAGGCCTTCACCTTGTCTCACCCCACTTTCCACGTCTCCTGCCTTCGCGCCACAAGACACTTTTGGGGGTCTCTGATTTACTATTCCTACACCATCATTCGCAATGGTCGACATACATCTCTCACGCGCATACAAGGTGCTTCCGGTGCCCCAGATACCAATGCTGCAGCGCGAGACTGCCTCTATTCAGCCAGAGAAGATCGATTCGCGCAGCGCCCGCAATCTTTTGTGCAAGGTCTTCAAGAAGAGTTACGCCCATCCGCCTACCGCAAAGAAGTTGCAGGCCAAGTGAGTGACATTTTGTCCTGAAGAACGATTGCAGCGACTGACTTTATCACTCAGCCATGTTCAATTCCTACTTGAGACGCCTATCGGTCGCGACTTCAATCTGATTACCGCCGCTGGTGTGGAGTTCAAAGTACATTCTGCCATGTTGATTGGCGGCCCGACGGCATTACAGGAGGGACTGTTTCCCGGTGGTGTAAGTTCGCCCTCTCTCATCTCTTTACTCAGGTGCAATTTGCATCCTCAAATTGCGTTATCGCCTTACATTCAGCTTGATCGAGACTGACATCAACAGGCAACAGTTCTAAACCCGCCAGAGTTCGTCAATCTGCCGCCTCACTTCCATCCTATCCTCGTGGACCGTATCGTCAATTTCAGTACGTCTCACTCGTGTCTGATGTCTATGAGCTCTCAACTAACCGCAAGATCCTTATAGTCTACACATCGGACTACCTGGTCGTCCAGGACGGTACCAAGCAACTCATTCAGAAGAACTTTAAATTCTACCATGCAACTGTAGTTCCAGATATCAACCCACCTACCGCCGCTACGACCGCTCTAGTCGACATCCATGACTGCACCTTCCATCTGCACATGTACGCTCTGGCCGAAGAGCTAGAATACGACGCGCTGAAGTCAGCTGCCCACACCAAGCTCGTCCAGCTATTCGTCAACGTGCGCAACGAAACTCCTTCCGCGATCAAAGACGCCATCAACGCTACCTTTGCCCCTCTGGGTAGCCCATCGCGTATCTGCAAAGACGGAGACGGTATGTTGCAGCAACTCATTATAGCAGGCGTCCTCGCACACGAGTTCAAGACATGGACCGAAGCAGATCAAAAAGCATTCAGCGACGACACCCAAGGTCCTGAGTACGCCGACTTCCGCAGCGCCTACAACAGGGTCAAGGGCGCGAACCAGGATCTGATTGAGATCGGAGATACTGCTAGGTCGTTGGCGGCGGAGCGCAAGGTGGGTATGGAGCGTAGGAGGGCAGCTAAGAAGGCCGGTATCGGAAAAGTGGATCAGAGTAAGCTCATGGTTGGAAGCGGCTCGCCGTTGGGCGTGTCGAGTGCGCGGCCTACAAATATGAAGGACAACTTCAAAAGACGTGTAGAGAAGCGGGGCGTTGGTGCGGTTGCAAAGGTGGATGGAGATGAGGATATGGATATGGAGGTTGACTAGACTGCTTGTCTTTCGGCGATGTGGACTTGGGTACATCACTATCTCGTGGTTCTCTTGGCGCGACCATCTCGCGGTTAGGTGGCTTGCAAAGAGCTTGAAGTCTCAATAGAACAGTCTGTGCTGGGAATCCATCTATTGTTTGGTCTGCTCGGTTACGCATTTTCGCATTATGCTTTCGCAAAACAACTGGCTGAGATGACGTTGAGACACCTGGTGACTGGAATTGCAGTGAAATGACAGTCAATGTATGCGAGGTTTTTAGCTAGCCAGATGCGTCGTATCTAATCTTGTACGTGCCTAGGTGTTGGTTGTTCAGGTAAGGGCAAGTGAGAGCTGCACTTGCTTGGTGAGAGAACTTGAAGCGGAGGCGCTCGCTTCCGACTTCCGCCCCGAACGCCTACATCATCTTTTTCCATCCTTACACATCCCCGCCAGCGACGAATAATTTCAACCAGCCAATCACCTCATTTTTTAGCATTGATTAAGCGTCACTAGCCTTTCATCGGTCGTTGCTATTTTTGCGATATCAAGTCGCGCTTCGGTGCCGGCTGTCATGGCTTGCAACAGTTGGGAGAAGCTGTGTAAGGCTCAGCGCGACTACCCAAAAGCGAAGTTCGCAGACTCGTTCGTACAAAAATCGCTCAAGAAGACGCCCAAGAACCCATTTCTCTTGGTATGCTAGTCGACATTGGAAAGTTCATTCTCAGGCTAATTTCAAGTAGGCATGGAAAGCTCGGTTATGCCTTACATTGAACAATGTGGACACCGATGTAGCAAGTCTGGTACAACAGGCCTGGGAGCAGCCAGGGGTGAATGATATCCGGTTACTGTCCTACTTGTATCAGATCTTAGCCGAAACTACGCGGAAAGATCAGGATAATAACTTAAACATCAGCGGAGTGGGCGACGGGAACCTCAAAGTTTGGCAACGTGCTGCGAAAGCATTAGGACGCAAGGAAGACCGTCAAGATCTCTGGTCTGCTTTGGCGAATGTGGCATTGGCAGAGGAATGCTGGGAAGACTTCCGCCTGGTACGTAAGAAACCGGCATCTGGCCATGACCTGGTTGTATCTCGACACCTTTGGGAATGCGCATCTCCTCGCGCCTTCCCGCTACCACAGAATACTACAACATGATGAGATTAGATTTGTTGCTAACGCTTGATAGGCCGTCTTTCACTACAGCAAAGAGACCAAAGAGGGCGCTGGATCAACATCTGCGAAAAAGCATGCTCACTTCACGCAAACACTCGCTATTCAACTCGCAGCCGAACAGCAGCGTGGACTTCCCCAGGGCGAGATGAAGAGCAAACTTCAATTCGACCTGGCTCGTAGACTTTTGAAGCAAGCATACGAGGCGGCTCCAGATGACCCCATTGCTTTCAAGGATATACGCGATTTGCGTTTTATGGGCGAAATCTTCGCGCGGCAAGCGAAGTGTAGCGAGCTGTTCGAACACTGGAACCACCCGCCTGCAGCCCTCCAGGACCTTATGACGAAACATCGGAGTGACTTGTGGGGCATGAAGATCAGGCTTGCACGGGAGAGTAAAGAATGGTCTCTACTTGAAAGCCAGTGTCTTGCGTACATCGAGCGCATTATATCACAGCAGGAAAGGTATGTTGAATCAATGACGACGTGTAACACCGTAAAGTGGCTGCGGGCTGCTTCAGCGACTTCTAAACCCTACTTGTTGCTGACGTTCTTAGCCTTCGAGAGACTTGTGCCTGGAAGAAAGACATTTGGACATCCTTACTAACCGCCACATACGCAACTCGCTCCGCGGACGATGCTGTTCGTCTCATATCCGATATCACAAGTCGTACTTTCAAACCGGAGGAGTTCCAAAGCCAAGACCGCCCCTTGAGACTTGCGTACATGACACTTCGCCAGAATGTCGCTCCAGGAACTCCAATGCTGGCCGACTGTAAGGCCTACTGGAAAAACCACGCGAACCTTATCACATGTTACGCAGATATTCGACCATTCCTAGATGGAATGACCTCAGAGGATCGAAGAGATTTCTGGGATTTTGCGCAAAATCACTACGAGGACGCGGGGAAGTCAATGGCACAGAATCAGTACCCGGCTCAAGACTGGATTGTCCATTGCGGGAACCGTCTGAAAATGTGTTATCTTTTCTGGATATCTCTGTCGACGCCATCTGCTCAAAGATGGCAAGGGCTCATGGAGGTACCTTTGATAGTCGCACTGCGGGCCCCTCAATTACGGTCACCCAGGTCACCTGAAGGTTTCGTCGCAATATATACACTCCTCTGGATGCACCATGAAGCTATGCGTAACGAAGAGCCCGATCATCCCTTCGGAAATACGCCAAATTCACGAGTTCTCCTTCAAGCTGCGATGTTGGCGCGCCATTTGGTGGCGAGCGACAAAGAAAAGCAAAATAGGCCGCTGGCACTACTTGCTGCACGACTACACCTGAACCTCGGTCTAGGAAAATCCGCTTTCCAGTTGTACAGCTACACCAAATGCAAAGAGATGCTAGTGCATACCTTGTCACCATATGTTCTGTCACGCATCTCACTGACACATCCATTTGGTGCCAAAGGCTACCAAGGATTCTCAGCCGAAGAGGAACTAGGAAAAGCGGTCGGGACAATGGAGAGGATGGAACGCAAGATTAATGAGACAGTATGTTCTGATCTCCAGTCGCTTCCTTGGGACCAAGCTATGGAACTTTTGACTTCGAAACGGGACTTCAAGTCGAGCTTGACAAAGCACATATGCAATACAGAGAGCCGTCGCATAGCACGACTTAAGGGTGAACCGGTCGATAATCTTCCCGTTATCGACCCAAGTAGTATGTTGCACTCATTTTGAAGCTGGAAATTGGCTAACTCATGCAGGCTACCGGAATATCAAGGACGTCGTGGATAGAACTGTGTTCCCAAACTACGAGCACTGTCAGCATCCTGGACCACTTTCATACATCATGCCCAACGGTCTTCCTGAAGTTCATTGGCTGGCCAAGAGCCTTGATATCTGGGACGCTAGCAGTAGATTTCTCTATAGAGAGACGCAGGTGTTGGAGTTCCAGGGCAAATGGATACACCGAGTTGCCATGCCTCCGGATCATGCCTGGGAAACCGAGCCTGACATGACGCTTGCGGAATACCAAGTTAAGGACATATGGGAGGCAATCAACCTCATCGTTAAGACGATGACTTTGCAAGGAGTTCCTCTCGAAACGCTTCCTGGGGCGCTGGAAGCACTTCTGGAACAGGTTTCCACGATGCGACTTGCAATGGAGAAACTGCGTATGCCTGGCGCCACGCACCAAAACCCCGAAGATGAACCTACCATGTTCCACGAGAATATGCTGATGTCCTGCTATACCAAGTTCGAGGTCCTGCGCGCACTTATCAAGATGATCGAACACCTACGCGAGAAGGTCATCAATGCGAAGACCCACCAAATGAAGGCCAAGTTGCCGAAGAGCTGGGTCAGTGACATGGAAACTGAGACGAAGAATTGCTTCGAGGCGATACGGAATGTGGCGCATAGCTACATCAACCTCATCGAACAGAGAGGTCGTGCTGCGATTAAGGCGCAGGTGCGGTGGGGCAAGACGGGTGAGGCACTGAAGCATGTGCTGAGTGACGACGATGTCGACTTCTACGCAACTGAATATGTTGATAGCGCACTACAGGCATGGAAGGGTGTGCTACAGGTCAAACTCAAGTAGATGGACAGATCGCAAATACATCTCGCTATTCATCCTGCATGCCGGCCTTCTCAGGCGAGGTTCTGCGAGGACATTCTAGCTCAATTATCAAGCTAGTACTTTCCTCCGCTTGCGTCCTTAAGGATCTCTAGCTTCCACTACTAGTTTGGCGTTTCCGCATACAATAGGTTCGCCTTTGAACACTGGCTTGATGGCCAAACTATCCCGATATATGTATACGTGTCATGTTTCTATTTCTCCATGAGCATCACCGATATCCTCTGAACGTCCTTCGTGCCCTTCCCGGCGATACAACACTCTCTCCGGCTACAATTTTTCTAACAATCATGACCCAAGGACTGACTCTCAAAGACATCACACCGCCCAAACCCAAGCAGAAGTACTGCTGTTATTGCGAACACCCCACGGTAGTAGTGAAAGTCATCGATAAAACGTTGAGGTTCCTCCGGTTGCGAGGCAATAATTAGCCTTGCCTCGTCTGCTGTTGCACCTGCCATCATAAGTCGGAATCGTGTAGTGAGTGAGCTTTTGACTTGCTCATGATTGTTATTGGGCGCTAGTAGGGGAAAGTGAGGATTTGGTATACTGAAAAGGACCTGCGGAGAGATTGTGGCAATGAATGGCGACTGACACATGATAGCGACTGATGCATATCGGCGAAATGCTAGATACAATTGAACAGTCAGGCTGGCGCCTGGGATGCGTCGCAATGAGCTTGCTGTCTTTTACCTTGTTCCTGACTAAATATTGCTGCTTTCCTGCACTGAACAGCCCATGAGGGAGGACAGACTGCGTATCCTCGCACCTTCACAACATTTTCACGGCTGCGACTGTCACTTACAACGCTCTTTCCACTCTACGTCAGATCCAAACATTAGCGTTGAATGTTCAAAATGCAGCTCGCCCCGTAAACTCTCCAGGCTCCCGTGTGCAAATGCAAACGCTGTATCCCCATAACCCAACTCACTCACGTTCACCTCATTTTTAGCTCCGCCATCGTTACTCTTCCGTTATTCACCGAGGATTGCCTGGGAGTCTCACTATCACCGCCGACTTGGCTTTTCGTTTTACTCAAATTCGTTGCACTCCCGCCGCTTGCTTCTGCATATCCCTCGCTGTCAACACCCCGCAAGCTCTTTGCCATGGACTTCGACTTTACGGGCGATATTAACTGGTCGCACACGTCGCCAGAGGATCACACCAAAGACTCACTATCTGAACGTACGGACTTCGACCCGGCGTCCTCATCATCATCAGATCACGGTCCTGACCTTGCCGACCAGCCAGAGCGGCACCCCATTGACCCGCTCCCTGATCGTACGGACGGCGACCCGTCGTCCTCATCGTCCTATCACGGTCTTGGCTCTGGTGACCAACCGGATGAGCACACCAAAGACTCGGATCCTGAGGGTAAAGCTTGCGATTGGCCGTCCTCGTCAACAGACTGCGGTTCTAGCTCTGGCGACCAACCAGATGGACACACCAAGGACGCGCTTCCTGAGCGTACATATTCACTCGCAGATCTTAATGGCCCACTGAACACAGCGACGGACATACCAGAGACGCCAGACATTTCTATCCATGCCCCAGATACACCTTCGCACGTCAACGATGGGGAGGAGCCAAGCAGCCAGGAGGGAAGGCTTCAAGTATCCGCTCGCGAAGACAGGTATGAGGACCTTGGTTACCTCGTCGATAAAACGGGAGCAAGTTACAATTGTTCTGGATCAAAGCTGACAGAGCAACTTCCTGGTAGTGTTTCTCACGCACGAGCTGAAGCACAGCGTCGACTACAACAGGATGAGAAAATGAAATGGGCTATCGAAGTTTCCAAGCCCAAACCCCTCGTGCCCTCCAACAGCAACTTCGCATCCCCCGAAAAGTATCAATTAGCGCTGTACAAAATCACCAAAGATCCAAACCTGAGACCCAAAGGGAAGTCGAGCGGCAAGTGGCGCTGTTGCAAGTGTAACCGCGGTCACAAGATCTACACTCAACCACACCCCCAGCATCCACTCAGCGTTCTGAGCTGCGAATGCACCCATCGATCATGTGCTAAGTGCAAACTCGAAGGTCTAATCAAACAGTTCCAACCGATGAGCGATCCGGCGGTGGTCCATTTGTCTGAGGATAGAGCCAGGGCTATACGATTCGGCGTCTTCTGTGAAGGCTGTGGTCTATCCTGGCGCGCGCAAAGAGTCCCAGTCGAGGTCAAAAAGACACCGAAGAAGTCGGCCCTACAATGTGTGTCTACGCTCCCCAGGTTCCTAACGAAGCGCGGTGGTGGTGCACCCACTTTGAAGGAGCTGCGATCTAGTCGGTCGATGAACAACCTCCACGATCCCACTGAGTCACGTCCTCAGGCTGCACCGCTGGCCGCTTCCAGGTCCAGCCTCGACCTCCGAGCCCTTTCGAAGGAGATGAGGAAAGAGCATGGAGAACAAGCTGAGCCGGTTCCCGTCAAGTTCGCAAGCATCCAGTGTACCTGCACTATGACCACTGCAGACTCCTCGCTCTGTTTCCAGATCATGGATAAGCCAAAGGACCATAACCAGACTCAGCTCGTGAAGAAAGTGGCCGCGCGCAAGCCGGCTGGCTTTGGCAGTAAGTGATATCCGCATACGAACTGACGTGAAACATGTACTGACTTCTTTCACCAATGTTTAGGCACACCGGAAGACATTGCGAGAGGTCATGGTACCCCGACCTTGACGTTGAGGGGACGACAGCACCCAAACCCGCTCCGGAGCAACCTTGTCGCCTAGAAGAACGACAGCAAGAAATTTCTCCGAGATCTCTTGCCAAAACGTCGGAAGCCAGACCGATCAGAGTAAGACCTTGGATGGGGGAGACAACGTTCGTGAGATTGGTGTATTGGGCCGAGATTTAAGGCCGCAGGAACCAGGTTTTGTGGACAGCTACCCATGCTCCATCTTCTTTTCTTGGATGTTTCGGTCAGACGTTGGAAATGCACTATGCAAGTGCTCGGGGATTGGCACGTTCATTTGTTTCTTGTTTGGGAGTCTACTACATGGTTGACGATGCGTCGCTGGAAATCGCAGGCAGACATGGTTTGACTGTTCATATGGGCTTTTGAGCCTGTCGATCGTTGTCGGTCAGAATTCCGTAGGATAGGCGATAATCAGGCCCTTTTTGACTCCATGGTTGATCCTGATGTTGCACCTGTGACGGCATCGCCACACCGGGTTCCTCGTATGAACAGGGCGTCTCTTAACGAGGGCGTTAAGGCCTGATCAGCACTCTTTATTTGGAGTAGATAGCGCTTGGTGTGATTAATGTGCTCCAGCCTCTTCGCACCCTCATGTGAACTTCAGCCTTAGGTGTGACTGTCGTCTTCTCATCGTGACAGCTCTGTCGGTCAAGTCCGTAAACTCGTACACCAACGGCAACACCACCAGATCACTCACCCAATAGACTAGTATGTAGTTTTGAGATCAATACGAAGGCTTCGCGTGATCCGGGTAACTGCCTTAAACGGCAGCCTCATAGACAACCTTGCCGCAGACGCCACGGGGTACCTAGGTACAAAGGGAGCGAACAAGACACCAGCGGCACTGCCCCTCAGCGGTACCGGCCTAATATATGAGCAATATCCTAGACTGAAGGAGTGTCGGTGTGGAACGTTTGCGCGCGTGCTGTGTATGGTATGAATTGCCGCCATGCGAACGGTCAGCCGCCCTGCTGAGCACAGCCTCAGGCCCTGTGGATCCATCCAGACGCCAAACATCAGGCAGCGGTTATGAAGCGCAAATAAAGAGAACAAAGCTATGCGCATTGTGAAGCATCTGCCCTATTATTCCAGTCACAGTTTTGTATCACAAACAACGTTTGAGTCAATTGCCAGCAGTATCCGTGTGCCATTCCATTTGCATCGTTCCACGACTGCCCCGAGACCCCAAACAAACCGGAGTCAAGGGTCCACGCTATGTCATTGGCCCAGTATGACTAGACCCCACCAAGAACATAAGAGACAAGCCACGGAACTGACTTGCATTTCCAGCTTCCACACTTTCCATCAGCCTTCTTCTTCCTACACCCCTCTAGTCCGAGCAGCTACTTTCCCGACAAAGTCCGGAGTTATCGCCGCCAAAGAGCGACTACAGCAGCTGACAGGCCACTTAATGAAGAGCCCAATCTGGACCAAGTTCACCGAGAAATTCCTAAATAAGAACGAGACTATCAACAGCGAGTCGACTAAGAAAAATATGGCTGGAGAAACGTCCAAGCCAACCTTCAATTTAAATAGACCGAAGGTTGGGGATGCCCAACTTCCACCGTTGCCATCACCGCCGCCAGAACAACACAAAGATTTTGTACACTCTACCCCACCGGTTCCACCTACATACCGCAAATTCACCGTCTTTACCGCTGGCAGTATAGAACTGGGTAAAGCGATTGATTGGCAGCCACTCATGGCAACCCTACTTTCGCCCCTGCCCATCACCGTGTGCAATCCACGACGACCAAACTTTGAATGGGACCCAACCATCAGTCAACAAGCCAAGGATGAAAAACTCAGAGAACAAATCGAATGGGAACTGGATGCGCTAGAACAAGCAGACGTCATTTTATTCTTCTTCGACGTCGACACCAACAGCCCAGTCACTCTGCTCGAGTTGGGTCTGTGGGCACCTTCCGGCAAGGCGGTGGTTTGCTGTGGTCAGCAGTACCATAGATCTGGCAACGTTGACATGGTGTGTGAGAGGTACGGCGTCCCGATGGTCGAGACGTTGAAAGACTTGGTGCCAAAGGTCAAGGAGATGCTGGTGCAGAAGGGCATGAAACTTGACGATAATGGCGACTTGATCGAGGAGAATGTTCATGTGACCAAGGAGAAGCCCAAGTCGAAGCTGAAGCTGGAGGAGGAGAAGGCTGAGTTGCAGAGGCAGGTCGATGCGCTCAAGGCGATGCTGGCGGCACAGTCGAAGATGTGATCAAGGTGAGTTGCGTGGGCTCTGGTGCGACTGGCGTTGGCGGTGTTTCCTGCATGTTCGATATAACCAGCGTGGGTGGGGTATCTCAATTACTAGTACAGCCTTGTTCTGGCTGTATCACATGTCTCTCATTTCTATACGCCTCTATACCCGGACTTTCTTACCCAAGGTTTCTGTACCTACCTAGGTAGTATTTTCCACCCTGATACCTTTATAACGAGTAGACGGATATAGTGATGCTCTAGTAATCGATATGAAGGAATTATACCACAAATATGACCATACTACTCTCTGCTCTTATCATTATTGGTAGACACATCACCCCATGCTAACAACGTGGCGCTAGCCGTTTCGATGTGAACGTTCGTCTAAGCACCAGAACAGAGGACATCTGCACTCTCGGTTCTCTACGCCCCTGCTCGAACAATCATGTGCCTTCCAGATTACTGTAAACATCCCCTATCGGATCTCCTCTCCTGTCTTCGGCCAACCTAGTTTCGCGCATGGCACGCCTACCTTGAATATGCGACTGGAGGGATCGGTGCAAGCCATACCAACATAGCTGCCAGATGCGCCGAATAACCAGATCAGACCCCGCGAATTCTTTTGGTGCGTGAACAGTTGGGAAACCGCTGAGCCCAACAATCTCGCAGTCTTACAGCCTCGAAGCCATTACGAGAACCAGAGAGACAGATGATCGATACAGTCGTTCGCCGTCTCAATGGCATCGCCGTTACCGTGGTGATACACCTGACGACTCCCATCACCCACCCTCAACTTCAACCTCAAACCCAACTCTAACCCACAAACTACACCCCACACAACCAACCAGCACCTCTTTCTCGCCCCTCTCCTCCGCATCTTCCAACTCTTCTTCTAGTATGCTAAACCCTCTATCTGCACCACATCGACACGCTCGCGTCCATGTCGTCTGCCCTCCCCCACTTGCTTCTTCTCCTTGTCCTTGTCCCGGAATTGCCGTGCCTGTAGATGTAGGTGAAGATGTATAATCCCCTTCCCACATCTCAAAATCCCCCAAATCAAGCAGTTCAAGCCCAAGCACAAAATCACTCGACAACTGTATCTCGCCCCTCCCCTCTCCTCTCTCCTTGCCCGTCATCGTCAGCCCATTGCCATGTCGCAAGAACCAATTATCGTATTCGGACTTTGAGGTTGCGTTTGCGAGAGTCGTGTAGGCTTCTTTGACGTCGTCGACTGTGTATGCGGGTTTCGTCTTCGTCTTCGTCTTCGTTGCGGTCGTCGTCGTGGTTGTCGTGGCGGCGACGGCGCTCGCTTTATCTGGATGCGCAGCTAGCAGGGCGAGCTTGTACGCTCGGCGGAGCTCTGCTGGTGTGGTGTGGTGTTTCGAGGTCCAGCCTGGCGTGGGCAGCTGCAGGATGTGGTAGTAGTCTTTGGTGTAGGCCATGATTTTTGCCTTGGCGCGGCGGTTGTGGTTTAGATGGGTCGTGCGGAGGCCAACAATAGGGCGTTAGGGGACAGAATGTGTTGCAAGGAATTATGAGCCTCGCTCGCCCTTGGAGGGCTGGTTCGGAACTTTTGCCATACGCGACGCGACATGAGAAACGGAAAAGTTGGGCGGGGGAGGTCACCCGGCTCCAAGTGGTGGGGCGGCTCATCCCACGGGGTCTGGCACATGGAAAAGGACCGATCAGAGTTCCAAGATCGACGGCATATATGCAGGTCACAGTGAGTCAGAAATGACGCGCCTCAATGTTTGAATGTCACGCGGCGTAAGAGTGCAAGATTGAAGTAGCGATTCCTTTGGCTAGCTAAGAGTGCAGTATGATGACATTAAGCCCTCCAGAGCTTTGCGTACTGCTCTACAGGCCATCGAAACTGATGTCCTGACTCCCAGAATCACCAAGAGGATGTCAAACATCTCTGTCGGCATAGGATCGAGGTGTTTATGTGCTGCCAAAACGAAAACATGGGGGAATTGAGGGTAGCATCCGACGTACCGAACGCCGCCCTATCTCGCCGGTAGCAGCCCAAGACTCTCATGGGGAAGAGCTCAGAAGTACTAGGGTCGTGTGCGGAACGCGACCCCAGCACACTGCGTGCTCGATGGGACAGCGCCGGCAATAGGAGAGTAAAGGGAAATACATTCAGTCATGGGGAATTCGACCGTACCGAACCGCTTGCTGCCAAAGCCAATTTTTGAAATCACACAGAACACGTACAACTCCGTAGGACACTCGCTGCCGGCCTCCATCGTCTATTCGAGAACAGATGACGACGGCTGAGGATACACAAGGTCGAGAGAGGGAGAGTGTGCTTAAGCGGCGGGGGCAGGGGCGGCAGCAGGAGGCTGCTCCTCGGCCTTGGGCTCGGATGCAGCCGGTGCGTCCTCAGTGGTCTTGGCCTCCTCCTTGGGTGCGTCGGTGGTGGCGGCGGCCTCGCCCTCGTTGCCGTCTGATGACGTCCAGAGAGTGAGGTTGTCACGGAGGAGCTGCATGATGAGGGTGCTGTCGCGGTAGGACTCCTCGGACAGAGAGTCGAGCTCAGCGATGGCGTCGTCGAAGGCCTGCTTGGCAAGGTGGCAAGCACGGTCCGGTGAGTTCAGGATCTCGTAGTAGAAGACCGAGAAGTTCAGCGCAAGGCCGAGACGGATGGGGTGGGTGGGTGTGAGCTCAGTCTGGGCGACATCGGTGGCCGTCTGTGTTGCGGAATTAGATGGTTTCATATTACTGGGTAGTCATTGCGTCATACCTTGTAAGCCTCGTGTGCAGCGGTCGCAGCGACCTTGCGCTTCTCACCGGAAGCGAATTCGGCAAGGTAGCGGTGGTAGTCGCCCTTCCTGTGCCGGTGTTAGCCCTGTTTGCAATGAAAACAGCGGAGAAAGCGGTGTGGACGCACATCTTGTGGTAGAAGACCTTGGACTCGCCAGACTCGGCCTTGGGGATGAGAGAGTCGTCGAGGACGTTGAGGACATCCTGGCAGACCTGCTCAAGCTCGGTCTCGATCTTCTGGCGGTAGTCGCGGATGGTGCCGACGTGCTTCTCAGAGCCCTTGGACTCTTCCTTCTGCTCGATGGACGAAATGATGCGCCACGACGCGCGTCGGGTACCGACAACGTTCTTGTAGGCGACAGACAGAAGGTTGCGCTCGTCAACGGTGAGCTCACCGGCGACCTATCCTGAGTTAGCCGGGCGCTGATGGGAGCCTGCGCTGTGGCGGGCGCCTGCTCGTCTAGGAGCGGATGCGGTCGGGCATACCTTGGCGACTTCCTGCGAAACAATCAGCATGTGAGTTGGGGGGAGCAGCGACGGGCGAGCAAACTGACCTTCATGTATGTGACCATCTCTGCACACGACTGTTAGCTTGCGCGGCCAAGGGTGGGAGCGCGCGGAGACTTACCATCGTAACGCTCAGCCTGTTCGCACAGCCGGGCGAGGAAAGTCTTGCTATTGCGACGTCAATTACAGGCGGGCGCTGTGCCGGGCAGCTCTCTCGTACCTCTCACGCTGCGGGAGGTTAGCCTGCGTTGCTTGCTTGGGGATTATCGGGGCTCAGAGGGGCATCCCGCCGGGGACAGTAGCGGGGGGATGGGGCAGAGTCAGCACGACGTACCTCAGTCGCCATTGTGATGGTTGAGTTGGTGGGTGTTGTGGTAGTCGGGTGACTGTGGGGGGTGGTGCAGGTGCGTATGGAAGGATAGACGGTGGGCGGAGTTGTTGAGGTGTTTGTGTGGATCAACGGGCAGAAGAGGATCGAAGTTGTTTTGAGGAAGCGAGCGTCTGCCCTAAGAACCACCCGGGCCGTGCACACCTCAGAGCGAACAACACCACCACTGCGCCTTCCCCCAATTGGCGCCTGGCCTGCGCTTCACATGATCTGCTGCCCCGTTTGCACGCTGGCACACACCCTTTGCCATCTCCAAAAGCCTCAGTCTTCTCGCGCCCCTATCGCCCTGCTGTTGCGCCGCCGTGTAAGCCTATCTTGGGGCAAGCTGGCAATGAGGGGTACATGGGCACGTGAGCAGCTTCAGGGTCTGTCCTTTCACCGGCGCCTTCAGGCTTCAGCGACCCCAGGGCTACCAGCGACTACCATGCCCCGGGCCTGGTTCGCGACACGTGCTATGGCAACCTCATCTTACTCCAGACGCCTGTAACGTCGTCGTCCAGCCGTCGAGCCGTCACACCAGTCGGGCTCTGAAGCGCGGCCGCCAGCAAGAGGCTGATTCCTAGACTGCCGTCCCATGTCCAGGTGGGGGCCAATCAGTGCCGCTTGGAAACAGCTAGAAAACCTGGCCGCAAGCTGTTGCGTTGCGACGTTTCTGCGCCATGATTCGTGTGACGTTGCGGTGAAGTACCACCACCACCACCACGACGGCCAAATGCCAGAGCGTTAGCCTCCCGTGTCACATGTGGCTGATCTGAGGCGCCAGGCCAGCTAGGCGACCTGGCGTCTGTATCCACATGGCCTCATAGGCGGGCTGCAACCCTCTCAATATCAGCGCGCATGTCGTGAATTTGCCTGAATACCAAGGCAGCCGTTTGTATTCAGCGCTCGACACGGACAACGTTGTTCCCGCGTGCTTGCATATGCACGCCACACTATCTTATCTAAAACCAACCGTTTCCGTCTCGGCATCATCTCGTCGTGCACGGAGCCCTTGATCCGTTGCAGCCGTAGACTGCATTGACAGACACTGTAACACATATATGGTGCGGCGCAGAAACATGGCCGTGTGCCCTCCTTCGCTCTGTGGCTTCTGAGGCTGTCTGCGTCTGACCCAACGTGTCTTCATACAAGCATTCGCACCGTGCCTCACATTAACAATCGCCAGACACCCAACATCAACGCCGCCGTACCCGTACACACGCCCATGAGCCACTGCAGCGTTGAGAACTTGACCGCCTCGAGCCTCTCCCGCAGCTGCGCCGTCTCCTGCTCAATCCTCGTCTCGGTTTCCTTCAGCTTGAGTTCCTGCACGTTTGCCTCTTCCCTTATGCGTCCCTTCTCCAGGTTCAAGTCTAACCGTACTGACGCCTGGGTCCGTTGTATCTCGTCCCGTAAGCGCGAGTTCAGCTTTGCGAGCTCGTTTGTGAGGCGCTCGTGCGATGCGCGCGTTAGACTCGATTCAGTCGAGTCGGCCGTCATGAGTTCGGAGCGGAGTTTGGCAAAGTCGACTTTCTGCGTGTAGGTGGCTTTCTCCTGGTCTTCGCGGAGGACCATGGTGCGCGTGAGGTTTTGTATGCTGTACATGTCAATTGCAGATCTTGAGTAGTCGTGTCTAAACTGACCTCTCCTCAATTACATCGCTGAGAACCCTCATCATGCCCTCAGCTTGCTCTTCCGTGAACCCCTCTTCCTTCAATCGCTGCACAAACTTGAGCGTGTCGAAATGATGGTCCTTGGATTGCCGTGCAGTTGCGCTGAAGCTGCGCCGTAGCTCGAAAGCAGATGCATAGCCGCTTGCATACTGTGGTGATGTCTTTGGCCACTGGATCGTTGTTCGTGACAATAGCTTCGGAAAGGCAGCGCAACGCTCGGAAGCTACACAGCATCTATGCCGACTCTGTTCCAGTGCGCCCAGCGCTGCCAGCCGTGACACCCGGGCGGGCCATGATAGTTGCGGTAGAAGAAATCGCGGTATCGCTGTCGCCTGAATCGCAGGAGCTGTCATTATGTGGGTGGTGTAGTTTCTGTCTTGTCTCGCCGTCGAGAATTCAAAGGCCGCGGGTAGCCAAGCCCTGCACATGTCATTGCCGAATTCGGCAAACCATTCCACCTCCCCAGCGCCTGCAAAGGGGAATTGGTTAGTCATGTCATCGAAGGAGCTCTTCCAAGTGTGATGAAAACATGCGTGGGAAGGTTTTCATTGTTGCTTGATATCATATTGAAAGAGTTCGCCCAAACATACATTCCAGAAAGCATATGCAACGCTTGCTATGCATTTCGCCGTTGGGACAGAAGAAAACAAAACTGTTGGCCGTCCGTCTATCTGCCATACTCAAGACTGGGCACAATGACAGGCCCGTACTTCATGGGCGCACTGTATCCGCCGTCGTTCTGCACCATGAAATCAACCGCCAAACTCAACTTGCCGCTACCATGTCCAGGGACCGCCTGACCAAACGTCCCATTGACGATCTCTGGATCGTAGATGACACAAGCGACGTAATTCCTCCGACCCATCAATCTCTTGTATTCTCGTGGTTGTCCATTTACGTCTTGCGTGAATATTTCCATCATGTCTTCCTTTGTGTCGCTGGGTTGGTTGTTGCTGCGATGTCCGTTCTGTGGTACGTAGAGAGCACGGTTGTTGTGGAGGAGTCGCAGCACATAGTTTCCAGGTGGCCCGTTTACCACTGACGATGAGATGATCTGATACATTGTCTTGTGATCTTGGGGTCTCGATGGGTCATGGACAAGGCCAGCACCGCAACAGTCGACGGCACCAGAGAAGAAAGTCATTCGTAGCGACTTGTTGTGTGCGATGCCTTGGAGTGTTCGAATCAAGTACGTTCGTTCAAGGTCCTTCAACATATTAGCATCCGATTTGACGGTAGATAGGAAACACCAACCTTTGAATCGTGCGTCCATTGATCTCTGAGCTCATCAAGCAAATCGATCTCACCGAAAGGACTCAAAACTCCGCTCATCAGACCCGACTTTCCAATAGCTTTCTTGACAGAATTGAAGCCATCGCCGACTACACTCTTAGCACCGACGACACCAGCAACGCCAGCTGTCACCTTTCCAAGCATGTTGAAGGTACCCGTAACAGCCTTCTTACCAGTAGCCATCGAGTGAGCAAGATGCTCAACTGACTCCAGGCGAGGGTACACGATGGGAACAGGCACCATCCAGATGCAGTGCTGAACACTGGGCGGTAATGTGGCAACTTTCGGGAAGATACCTTGATATGTCGGTCCTGCCATCACCTGATGCGGGTTGCGCTCAGAGCGACAATCTGGGCCAACAACCGTGACGCATGGACCCAGATACTTGATAAAGTGCCAGCCTGTACCCGTGACGGTGAAAAGATCCATGTCATTGTTGACGTTTCGGAGGATTTCCAATGTTGTGTGGTGCTGGAAGAGCAGGTACATCTCAATACCCAATCTTCCAATGTTCTTGAACATGTTCGAGAACTGCATGTATTCAGGATAAGACCCGAATCCATCGAAACTGTATGATGTTAGGGTTGCTTGCTACCTCACGCCCAATTTGAACTTACATATCGTGGTCATCCAGAGCAAGGATGTGAGGTATTTGTGCGAATGCCTCCCGCAAGTGTGGCTGATCGAAGTGACTTGTGTAGTAGTGGAAGTATGCGTGACAGACATCTTCTTCATGCTTTGCAGTCCATGGCGCATTCTTTCGGGTCTCTTTGCCGCTCATCGCAGTCCATTGCTTTAGCAAGGGGAGCTCTTTCCATAGCCGGTCTGCATAGATCTGTCCTCCCAATCCTAGTTGTACGTGAAAGCCACCACACTCGGCGTTCTTCTGTAGGATATCCTTCCACATCAGGCCTACGCCACCAAGCTTTGCTCTCTCATTAGCGTTGACATTCAGCGCAAAGTCATTGCCAGAGTGGGCGATGAACCGCCAGCTGGTCTCGTTTCGACCCGCGACCAGAAACTCGAAGCGAGTGCATCCCAGATGCGAGGTGATGGCATAGGTCCATTTCGCAGCGTGCTCATCTTCCATCCTCAGATCAATGTCGTATCGGTAGAAAATCCATGTCTGATGTGTATAGATGGGATTGGCCTTCAGTTGTCGCGGGTTTGGTGACAGATCTGCACTCTGATGGATGTGAATGGTCGGTGGATGAGGGGTGTTTGTGATGAGCAGTATTGAACCTAGCCACAGACCTCGCTCGATGTCCATGTTAGTGTATCTGAGGTAAGGTCCAAAGTAGACGCCGTTGGTAGGAGCAACCTTGTATTGGTCTACACCAGCCACTGGAGGCGGACCAGTAAAGCCGGTAGTGGTTGGCGTCGCAAGCGGCGCCATGCCAAAGTCTCCGGGAAAAGTGGCCGTCTGTGGAGCAAAGCCAGGCGATGCGATGGGAGCCTTGCCGAACGACGGGGACGCCAAAGGTCCGCCAACAAATGTACCTGTCGGAGACATGGGCTCATTCAGATTGAGAGGTGTCGGGCCTTTGGGGAACTCCCACTGCGTAGACTGAGTTGGAAGATGGATGTAGTAATACTGGCCAGAACTAGGGTCCAGATGTGCTATCCAGCCTTCAGGGAGCGGTGGAGGAGAGGCCGGCCCGGGTCCTGGAGCTGGACTTGGTGTGTGAGCGGGTTGGGTGGTTTGTATTTGAGGAGGGAATTGGTTTTGCGTAGGCGTTGGTGCGATGACGGCCGCAGGTTGTGATGGTCCAGCTTGTGGACGCGGATCATTTGCAAATGCCGGATGGCCTTGATTAGGGTCAGAGAAACCGGCTCCCTGGGCAACTGGCTGCTGTCCCTTTTCGTTGGGATAGCTATGAGCCTGACCTGTTGGCGGGGTTGTTATACTCGAGTATGCTGGTGGTGGCTCTTCATTCAGGTTCATGCGTCCCATCTCGTGGTTCAGAGGGTGTTCCGGAGGTACGTTCACGTTAGTAGGAGGCGGCGAAAAGCGAGTATTCGGTGCCTGCGGAAGGGGGCCTTGTGGAGGAGTGCTCGAAGGAGGCACTTGATCCATACCCTGGTATACGGCCGGTGGGCCATGTGGGTTGCCTCCAGGCTGCTCGGTTGGCGTCCATGGTCTCCTCGCGGGTTGTTGCTGGCTCGGCTGTGGTGTTGAGAGACCCGGCCTGGGCTGCTGATTGGCATAGATCTGGTTGCGCTGAGCAGCTGCCGCATTCTGGGCACTTTGTGCTTGCAGGTTGGTGAGTGTGGAGGTTCCTGCAATGCCAGCTGCGGCAAAGCGCGCTTCTATGCCACCGCCAGAAGGGGGGATGATGGGCGTCTCAGGGGGCGGGGGAGAGCCTCTCTGTGCCCTCACTGTTGACGTCGATGCGGTGGAGCTCATGCGGTTGACGTCCATGGGCGTAGGCACCTTGAGTACTGGCTCATTCTGGTTGGGACCTGTGTATACGACTGGCGCCGCGGGAGCAGCCGGCGCCGCGCTGGAGCCTCCAGCGGGCGGAGGGAAGTACTGCTGGTGGTATTCGGGGTATGGGTTGCTGGCGCCCACATCTTCGCTACCCTTTCGCTGCGGCGCCTTCTGGAACAAGCCCTCCTTGTCGGGAGCCTCTGGACCTGGCGAGTCTGGGAGCGGCTTCGGGGCTGTCCCTCTGCGCTCCGCCAGTCTCGACGGCTGGATGGAGCCGTCTGGATTCCGCGCGCCATAACCACTTATCGTCGGTCGGTTGGGGTCGTTGGCGTCGAAGCGAGCGCGCTGGCTGGGCGAGGTGGGACTCGGTCCTGTGGCATTAGAGCCTCTCCGCGGTCCGTCTGCGCCCTCAGGGGGTGTGGCTGTTCGCGCGCGCCGCTCCCTCTCGCTGAGCGGAGTGTATCTGCCTGTGCCGAGCGTGGGCTGTACGTTTGGCGGGCGGTCGCTGTCGGGGTAGGGGAGCGGGGCGTTGGGCGGGCTGGTGGGCGGCGCGGGGAACGAGGGCATGGGAGGAGGGCGCGAGAAGGCGGGCTGGCTCGAGCTGCCGGCCGAGTCTGTTCGCGGCGGCGGGCTCTTGCCATCGCGACCCTTCTGTATCCTCAGGGGCCCGACGGTGGGAATGATGGGCGTGTCCGGGTTGTTGTTGTTGTTGTCGTATCGCAGGAAGAGCTCCTCGTCCGGGCGGCCCTGCTTCCTGCTGTCCATGGTGGTCGAGTGCAGGATGTGCGCTCCTGTGTGTTTGCAGCGGCAGTGCCTGGATCGCCGGCGATGGCAGGCGGCGACTTATTTTTGGCTACGGGTGCGGATAGCTCGACGTGCGCAGGGCAACACGGTGGTGTGGATGGCTGCTCGGGGTGGGGTAGTGGCTCGAGGCTCGATATGACGCTGCCGGGCGACGGGGTGCATCAACTGTACATGAACATGCCACGCTCCGGGCCCTCAGGTTTTATGCGAGAAACGAGCGAGCACGGCAGTGTCTACGCGATGCTGCTGACTTACGTAGCCTTTCTCCCATGGCCCTCCAAGAGTTGGGCTGCAGCGGGTCTCGCCATACTGACCTCCCTGGGCTGAGGAGGCCCTCTGACATGTGATTGGACCTCTTGACTTTACGCGCTGCGACCGAATTTGCGGCCGCTCCTGATCACACTTGGCGGCGCATACGAGCAGCATCCTGTACCTGATGTGGCACACACTACCATCTGCTTCCAGCGAATCACACCATCTAGCCCTGAAGTCATCTGTGGCTGGTAAACACCACGATCTTCCACGCAAGGCGGCCCGCGCAGTGCAGCGGGCCGACAACTTTGTGAGCACCCGCGAGCTTCGGCTTGTCAACACCAACGCGGCAAATCGGCTTCAGACATCCCAGTCATTAGTGCCAGTCGTGCAAGCGAGCATGGGGAAAGGCCTAGTAACAACACCGACACAAGGATCAAAGACCATTCAGCTGTAATAACGTACTGTGTTTGAGATGATGAGAATACGGAACAACTATGAAATCTATCAAACTTTTAAGCAAAGGTTCACCTCCATGCACGCTTCTTCTGAACTCGCTATTACAGGCATAAAAATCCTTCTATGCCGCACAACGACGCAGTAGAATAATTACATATCCATAAGAGCAGCGGCACCAGACTCGCTGCACACATAGACGACCTCGTGGCTGTCGCTGAAGCCGTTGAAGCGAGTAGCAGAGCACTTGGTGTACGCGCCCATCTCCTCAAAGTAGAGCCAGTCACCCACATCGAGCAGCTCGGGGAAGGTGCACGACGACGAGATGACGTCGATGCCGTCGCATGTCGGACCCCAGATGGAGTACTCGACCTGAGATGGCGTATCGTAGCCAGAGCGGCGGACGTCA